CCCCCCCCCCCCCCCCCCCCCCCCAAATCTTCATCAGCCAACCATCTCGACGATATGTTTGTTTTATTCCCCACGTCCGTCACCGGCGAGCTGTGCCCTAGTCTGGTTCAGGGCCATCAAATGACACACCTGGAACCGGGATGTCGGGCCGTTTTGACAGCATAGCAAACTCGAGAAGCACGGCTCTAACTTTAATCTGTCCGAGTATCTTGAACACCCCCCCTCTATTAGACTTGAATTTTTCTCAACCCACGCATACCGCCTTTTTCCGTCTCACGGTATCTATAGCTGTATATCTACACGGCTGTGAGAATTGCTTACAGATCCGGCACCGGATCAACCTTCTTGACCACCTTGGCCGGGGATCCCATGGCAACTGAAAAGTCTGGGATATCCTTAGTTACGATGCTGCCTGCTGCGATCGTGCAACCCTTGCCTATAGTGACGCCCGGCATGATAGTCGTGTTTCCTCCGATCCAGCAGTCGTCACCGATCGTCACCGGCTTGGCGTACTCGACGCCGTCTCTCCGGGACTGCACGCCAGTCTCGTGCGTGGCCGCAAAGATGGAGACGAAGGGACCAAACATGACGCGGTTGCCAATATTGATCATTCCGCAGTCGAGCAGGACAAGACTGATCGTTCACGTCTCCGTTAGCAACAGGACGCCTATCTTCGATGGCCTCATACTTGGCCCATCACCTACTTGAAGTTGGAGTAGAAGTCGTCGCCGATAGAGACATTGCAGCCGTAGTCGATGTTGATCGGCGGTTCTATATACGCGCCCTTGCCTACGTGGCCAAAGACTTCCTCAAGCATCTTTTTCCTATCGGCTAGGAGCGAATCTGGCGTGGCATCATCCGGAAAATGGGTGTTGTACTTGTGCATCATCCTGCGGGCGCGGAACCGGCCATCTATCAGCTCCGGTGCCTGGCAGTTGTACCTAGAAAGTCCGTGGTGAGCGTCCCGGCTCGAAGCTGATCTATATCCGCAAAGCGCGCGTCTGTCTTGTCTGAAGAGGGGAGTTCATACAAGACGCCCGAGACCATCTTCTCATAGTCATCGCACCACGGGACATTGGCCAGTGTCTTGGCGCGCTCGATTGTCGCCTGGTCCTTCTCTTTGCTTGCCATATTGAAGAAGGCGTGTGATAGGTCGGATGGTCGGATTGAAGACTGGATGTAAAGTCCTTGCCGTGAGCCCTGCTCGTGGTGTCTGACGCTGCCCGAGGAGTCTGGACGTGTATGCGATTTCAGCTGGAGCGGTGAGAGTGAGTCGTGGCATCAAATGCACCTACCTGTGCCACTTGGGCCATCCACGGATCCTTATTCACAGTGGCGTTATTTACGGGGTCCCGGACATGCTAAACGCGGTAGACGTCACGCCCAACCTTAGCGCCCCGCTCGCCAGAAACTGCCCAGCTTTTTTGGCGGCGTAGGTGCGAGACGGCACACATCACACGGTTACATGCATCATCAACCTGAGCATGCTCACAAGCTCAACGCAGAACAGCAGGGTAGGAGGTCCTGGCGTGCTACGGTACAGACTACACCTCTAAACCCACGTAGCTCGTCGTCCGGGGTGGAGGATGAAAGAAAGAACTGGGTTGCATTCAAATTTTATGACGATTCTGTTGCGCCAATGCCCGTCTTAAAACTCTGGTTCGCATGAGTTCTACTCCCAGCCTTGCCCAACGCCAGCTCATCATCCACCGCTTGCCATGTACATGATTGTTACATGGCAATCATGTCGGCAGACATTGAACCAATTCCTGTTCCTGAAGAACTTCCGCAGGTCTCGGCGAGCCCCGATTTCACTCTATTTCCATTCCTCAAACGCTCTGGATCAGGGTGATGTTGTCACCCTTGAGCAATATCCGCCCTAAGTGATTTAGCATGATGGGTACCGAGATACCTGGGAGGCCGGATGGGGCGTGGCAAACGATCCGCCGACGTACCTAGAGGTTCCCTCGTCTCCTCCGTTCTCGTCTTGGTGATCTGGCCCACCGCAACGGCATCGTCAAGCACCAGGTTCAAGAACTCGTCGAAGCCCTATCTCGCTGTTAGTGATCACCCGTTGCTTCTGGTCAGGCCTTAGGGTCTGCGGCAGGCACTCACCCTAATCTTGCCCTCGATACGGATCGAGAGCTGCTCGTACAGCCATACACTGACGGTAGCATGCTGCGGCGCAAGAGTCAGTAGAGGAAGCTACACCTGAGCTCACTTGGGGGGGCACTTGCAGTCTGAAGCAGCTTGAAGACTTGGTTACTGTTCATTGTGTCAGCACGTGCTCACTCTGTATCATCCCGATGACGGTTGTGATGGTCATGATGCTGGGACGATCTCACATGGGGGGCAGCAGGACCCGGCGACCACCGCCTCCATGGCGTCCGGTCATGATGTCGTGAGAGTTGAATGTGATTCTCTGGAGGGGATAGCGTTCCGAGACCAGGGTTGGACGTTTTGAAAGATGGATGGCGAGGAGTTTGATGGATGACAGTGAGGTACCGAAAATGCAAAGCAAACACGCGCGCCTAGCCTGCTCGCCAAAAACGCCAGTGCAATATCGAAATCCTAGGCAGGCGCACAGACCAATTATCGCCAAATTGGCCGGGAAGGGAAAATTTGGCCCCGAGTCCATTCCAGTCACGTGATGGCTGCCAGCCACTGCACATGTAGGTACCTTTGCCCCAAACACGGTGCCAAACACGGTCCAACCCTTGCTGCTGAGGTCCTGGCCCAGACGACCGCAAAAAGCTCCGACACCAACTCCGCCCTCCGTCTTCACAGCTACCTCTGCTCTGTCTAGTGTTGATACTAAACCCAGACATACCTAGGTACTCATAGAAAGACGAAAAGTATCGGAAGTCTAAGTGAACAGGACCAAATGTAGTTGGGATTTTCACTAAGTCCCGGGTGTTCCTTTTTTTTCTTTTTCGAAGCGCATGTTTTCCAATAGTCAGGGACATGGGCCAGCAAGGATGGCTCCGAGCATATGTGGAAAATTGCCTTGGGGATCGAGACACCTCGATTTGCGGCAGGCAGCTAACTTACTCAAGCGACGGTAAGAAGAGCACCAGCTCAAGGTTGACGGATACAACAAATACAAGAACAGCCCAAAGATATATCCAGCCAAGGTGCTGCAGGTAAAAGTTGGTGCTGTGCTAGAAGTGCAAGCTACTTCACAAGAGGACCAAGCAAGCTAAAGCGTCCAGGCACGATCTCTTCTAATAGGGTTTCTGCTCAAATCCCCATGTGATCGATAGACAAGTAATCAAAGTCTACGAGATGGAAACAATAAGCGATTACATCAGTGTAACATTCATAATTTATTGTAAATACCCTGAGTTTGAAACATTGTCTACCTCATTAAGTTTGATAGTTATCATCCTGCATTATACCCAGGATGTGTCAACTACTTTGACACAATGAGCATGAGTGACTTATCAGTCCTCTGCCATGCAACTCTTAGCTCAGATATCGTTCCGTCATCTAGGCCGACTCCACCATGGCCGTTCCAGCCTTCTCGTCTGCATCCAAATGCGCACCCTCGGCGTTCTGCCTAAAGTCTTGATCCTCGGCGCGAAGCTCATCCATGATGGTCTTGTTGGCCTTGCGGATCGGCTTGACGCTGAACAGCCTGTCCATGGCCTCGAGCGGGATAGACTTAGTCTCGGGGATACAGAAGTAGACGAAAACGACCGAGATGATCATGAGGCTGGCGAAGAAGAAGTACACGCCGTAGCCCATAGCCAGGAACATCTGCGGCGTGAAGCGCGAGACGATGAAATTCCAGAACCAGTTGTTGGCAGCGGCCGAGGCCTGGCCGATGGAGCGCGTGTTTTGGTCAAACATCTCCGAGTTGAGCACCCACGGCGTGCCGTTCCACGACGGCGTGTAGAAGACGGTCCACAGGTAGAAGAAAAATATGGCAGCAATGCCGCCGGATGACAAAGTCCCCGAGGAAGCCGCCTGGGTCCCCGCAATCTTGATATACGCACCAATGAACCACATGCAGAGCGAGCCCCCAATGGCGCCGATGAAGAGGAGACGGCGTCGGCCGAGGTGGTCTACCAGATAGAGAAGCCACACAAAGGTGACACAGGTCTTGACGACACCAAAGATGCCAGTAGTGAGGAAGCTGGTGTTGGTTCCGGTGATGCCGATGCTCTTGAAGACCGTCGGGCTGTAGTAGTTGATGGCGTTGATGCCAGAGCCGTTCTGGAAGAGGAACAGCATACCGCCGAGGAAGAACCGCCACTGCACGCTCGACTTCTTCAAGGCGGCGAATGGCTTCCAGAAACCGGCGCCCATCTCGGATTGGAAGCGCTCGATCTCGTGGTCGATGAACTGGACCTCCTCCACCATGTAGATGTGCGATGGCTCGAGGTTGCGAACCCAGCAGAGGACGCTCATGGCCTCCTCCCTTCTGCCCTTCATAAACAGCCATCGAGGAGACTCCTTCAGCCACAAGGCACCGATGAGCAGAATACCGGCCGGGATGAGCTGCACGGCGAAGGGGATGATCCACTGCTTGTGAGATGGTGCCATTGTCGTGTTCACGCCGTAGTTGATCCAGAAGCCCACCAGACCGCCAATCTGCCAGCCCATCTCATAAATGCCAACAAGTCGTCCGCGGATGGCTGGAGGGGCCATCTCGGAAATGTAAATCGGAACCACTGGTCGGATGATGTCAGTCCATTGTCCAGTCAGAGATGGAACACGTCTACCAGAATCCACGTACGGTTTGATGCTCCGCCAACACCGATACCTGCTAGCACACGACCCCCGATGATGGGACCAATTCCGCGGTCGCCGCTGGCAGCAAGCATGACACCGGCTCCCACAAGGAAGACCAGATCAAAGAGGATCAGCGACTTTCGCCGTCCGAGATAGTAACTAGAGGCATAGGCGAACAGGCTGCCGAAGAAGGCTCCGGCTTGGTAGACAGAAACGATGTTGGACGAGAGCAAGGCTCTACCTTCGTCGGTGTACGAGTCAAACTTGAACTCAGTCTTGAAGGAAGGCAATGCCAGCGTCGTGCCAATGAAGGCAGAGTCGTAGCCTATTGTGCATGCCGCGAATGAAGCAATGATGGCAGAGACATAGACTCGCCAGTTGTACACATTGCTGGGCGTCGGCCTGTCTTCCTGGAGTGCCAAGAGCGTCATGTTGCTGAGTTGAAGGAAAAGCTTCGACAGTTTCAGAGCTTTCTTCTTTTCGAAGCCCGTGCTGATCTTGAAGTGGGCAAAGAGTAGAGTGACAAGATCTTCAATCTTGTTCGCTTCGTCCTCTCTTCATATACACACACCATTTGTCTCCTCACTAGACGGAGTCTGTCGAAGTCGAGCAATCAAAGCGACCTGGTTTCGACATTGATGATCTGGAAAAGTTCTCTCCCCATGGGGCCCCCAAATACCGACCCCGATGCCGCTTGCCGCAGCGCTATTAAACTCTCCTCCCCTTCAACAGCCAGGTCGCGAGTGCGCTACAGTCTTTGCTAGTGAAGCTAGTCTCGGTGATTTCCTCATTACACCAGGATCCCAGCTGGATAAATGCTTATCCAGGTGGCGGCGTCTCGGGCGCGCCCGAAAGTGGATGGCACATTAGGCCAAGCGTAGTCTAGAGGGTCTCGGGTTTCGATTCTGGTGCCCCGAATCGACTTCTTCCGGGCCCTTGAGGTAGCATCATCTTGGCAGCTCTTATTCCGTCGATACCACGTTGCCGCCCATCCCCAACGACCGAAGCATTGACAAGGAATAATGCTGAGTTGTTCGCTCTTATATATTAATATCAACATTATCGTCAATAAAGTCCCATATCGTCGTCTTTCATAAGAGCATATCTTTGTTTATGTTGTCGCTTGGACACTTCCAGGAGCACCCTTTCGGAAACCTGTGACGAAATGAAAATATATCAACCTTCAGCTCGATCTATAAGAGACTCTTGTCTGAACAAGACCATACTCAGGTTGAATACATGTGCCAGTTCCCATACCATCGGTGATGGCAAGCACACCGCTTCTCTAGAGACAAATATAAAACATACTGTAGCTCCAATCGAGTCAGAAGGTACTGGCTAATCACCAGGGACGTACAAAGATATTGAGTTTGTCATGATATTCAGTTAGCCATGTGCGTATGATGGAGATGTCTCCCCTGTTGGATGCTCGTTCCTCGGCTTTCGGCCGCCTGCCTCAGTTGCTGACAGAGATGGATACTGTTCGAAAGCAATGTACGGCGATGTTCTTTGCACCAATATCATGAATACCGATGACTCTTGGAGCCAAGTATCCTATGTAAAGCGTCCCTTCGTAGCCAGCATTTTGGGTAAGCATGCTGTCTCAATCCATCCGCTGAGCGCTTTCTGCGTATTGTCTGTCAAGACATCGTCATCATTGACATTTCTTGAGGTCTTGCGGTTGAGTTTGCCATGATAGTTTCCGCTGAATATCTAGATGGGATTGTGGACTTGAAGATGTACCTTTCTTCACAACCACCACATATCCTGCTGGTTCAGTTCTGGCTTGGGCATAGGGGGTTAGCTATATACCAAACCCACTCGGAACTCATCCACGTACGGCCATAGATGGTAGAAAACTCGGGATCCCGTCCGCTCTCCCATAGATAAGCTGCCAATCGCCGGAGTAGTAGTTGGGTCGGTGACGACCAGCGAATGCCTGGTGTTGTACGTTTTCTTCTTTTTTTTTTGTTGCTATCTCCACAGCCTTGCTACCTCTCTGCTTCTCGCCATAACTAGCAGCACCCCTTTCTATGCACGACCGCACTTTTGCACGTAGCAGATGAATGATTGACTGAAATTATTTTCTGCTTGACTACCTAATGGAATGGCCCACCTGATGCCCCCTAGCTTACAAGTACTAGCAGGTCGACGCCAGTATCCACCACCAGAATCTAGGTACTTCGTACCTTCTGTTGATACAAGGATATCAAGTGGCTCAAAGCTAGGTAGGCAGTAGAATGGTCCATTTCAACAATGAATTGGAAGCAACGACGTAATGAGAAGTCTTTCCTTTTTAATCGAAGCCAGACCCCTCTGCCTGAAAATAAGAAAGACATTCCATGATAGACACAACGCCTAGTCAAAAGCCTCGTCCATCGGGAAAATTCCTGTTTTGGTCGGATTTATCCGCTGGAGAAACGTTGGCAAAGGAAAAGTCTCTAGGACCAGGCGGGTCGTTGTCCTCTCTGAAACCCTCCAGTTGATGGTCTTGATCGCTGGGCAGGGGCAACCTGCTTCGTCCCATTGCAGTAGCCGCTGATGTGCTCGTCCAGCTCCTTCCGCACGAGCAACAGCTCTCTCTCAGCGTTCTCCAGACGGGCCTCCAGTCCCACGATCAATCGACTGAGGGAAGCAATGGTCAAATCGTGCTCCTGATGCCATCCTTTTACGACCTCGACATCTTTGTTTCGGCGGGCGAATTGTTCAACAAGCTCATCCCGCAATACTTCAATGCGAGTATTCATGCCGCTTGTCACCGTCTCCATTTGTCCGAGACGATCTGAGAAGAGATGCTTACTCCTGGGCTCCTTGAGCTGCTTGGATTTCATGGCAGGGTCGTCTTTAGGCTCCTTGTCGTCATCTCCGTCTTCTTTCTGACGTTGCCGTTCGTTTGCCACGGGGCTTGACTTAGCTGGCCGCCAGGGACGCTCACGAGTTGCGAGCTGGCTGAGATGCCCTTCTCGTAGGAGACGTGCCCAATCTTCACGCAAGAGCTGTCTTGCCTTTGCATCGGGCACGGTAGGTGGATGTTGAGTGACCTTGGCGAGCGAACAGATCCATTGATCAAGGATGCGGGTCAGAGGAGATTCTTGTTCGGTATTTGCCCCCTGCATATATGCACTGCGGCCAGCGACGAGGCAATAGTGGAGGGCTTGGGCGGCTTCAGGCCCAAGATTGTGGCGTTTCTTGGGCCAGGCAACAAGACCTTGCCAAAAATCGGGTTCATGGTAACAGCGGTGGTAGTGAAGAAAGGCGCGTACCAGGACCATGGCGTTATTTGCGAGGCGCTCATCCGCATTCGCTTCGGGTGCGCTGTAGGACTTGTTTCGAAGCCAACCCGAAGCTTGTTCGAGATCTTGCGGGCGGTCAACTTGCGAGAAATCAAAGCCTGGGAGATTCTGAAATGCATCCTATACATTGAGCTCCATGAAGAAAGGACGGGTCCCCGAGTCAACCGGAGGTCTCGGTGTCGGGGAAGTTTGAGGATGTTCGGAGGGAAAAGGTACAATGACGGGGCTGGGTCTCAAAATGGCTGGAGAAGATGGAAATCCACTGTCGACAGGGTGAGGTCAGTGAGGCAAGCGAAAGAATGAATGCTTTGATGGAAGCAGGTGGTTGAGGCCTCATCCTGGCTGTTGTTTGCTGTTGGGGTGGTCAGGTGGGAGGTGACTTCCGCGTGTAAGTGAGCCTGCAGCAGGTACGACTTAATACATGTACTTGTACTCCGTAGGTGTCTGTGCGTGTCTGGTCTAGGTACCTTACCTAAGGTACCTATCCCTGGTGCATGTGCATGTTGGTCGCTCCCGCAGTTATCTCTTATCTAATCATAGATAACGACCACCGTCATCAAATCAATCAGTCGACTTTTCGCGCCGCCCTCAGGCCGGCTCGATGCTTCGACCTTCTCTTTTTAGTCATTTCTCTTGCGGTGCATCCCTCTGAATTGCAGAGTTCGTTTGCTTCCCTCTCAAACAATTGCTCGGTCCCTTCTTTTCTTTGTACTTGAGATTGGCCTAGGCGCGTGAACAGCCGACGAGATGGCGTCGCCGGCACAGGGAGGAGGCGAGGACCCGTGGAATCACGAAGTCAAGAACAAGTTTGAGACGTACGTCGCGCAATCCACCTGTACCGCACCATCCCCTTCACCGCCCTACATTCCGAAAAGGCGATGATACATTTGCACTCTCGCACTTTTCTTCAGAACCCCACGCGCTGACCTGTGCGCCCAACAGCAAGTCCAAGAGCGAATTCCTAGATCCCTGCCAGGAGGCTGCGAATAGAAGCATCAAGTGTCTCCATCGGAACGGCGGAGACCGCTCCATGTGTCAAGACTACTTCCAGTACGCTCGAAATTGTGTCTCTCATGCCCAGTAGGCCATGCGCGGCGCGGCGCTGACACTGACCGCTTGATCACAGAGCCTATCGTGACTGCAAGAAATACTGGGTACGCAATGTCCAGACTTGGCGCTATTCCTGCTGATTGCCGAATCTAACTTCTTTCATTAGATCGACAAACGAAGAGAAGATCGTAAGAAGGACGGGAAAGGCTTCTTTTGAAACCCCCATATCACTCGACCCGAGCTGATCGTTCGACCTACCCATTCACTGTCACGAAACCCTGCACCCTGTATGATTACGAACATATGTATCATATGTATAATACTAGACGACGAGAAGATACCAACCAGGCGTGGAGAAATTTAGGAGACGGAAGTGTCCATCCAGTCAAGGGCTGCCGGCCAAGCTGGCCCTTTTTAAAGCAGTGTGCGTGGGACGGTCCCAGTACCGCTGACCAGGGAACCAGGGGCCGAATACAACCCGTGCGAATACTTTGTATGATGTTGTGATGCTACCGTTAGAGCTGTTCGTGCTCAAGTCTTTCAGAACCGGGCGTGCACAGGGTGAAGATAGCTCTCGAGACTGGTCCAACTCTGTCGAGATGATGAGGGAGGCTCGACATTAGATTGCGCAGGTCGGGCGCGCCGTCTGCCGAAAGGAAAACCTTTTAGGGCCCCAGAAGTCTTGATAGTTGACTGACAGTACCGCGTGCAAGAGATGTCATCGAGAACATGTAATTGGCTCAGTTGCGCCCGTCAATGAATCCATCCGTGGCCATCGCTCGACGGATCCAGAGAGCTCCACCATTGGATGACCGGGCTCCAAAATTTGCACCATCGCTGCCGGAGGAATTGAATGCACTGATGAGGCTTTGGGCTCTTGGAATATCATCACACTTGCAGCAAACTCCTTGAGCCACATCTGAAACGAATGTCGGTCGACCTCTAGGGATAAAGTAGGTTGAATTGTGACTGTAAAGGAGTAGTTCCCCCGAGCGTTTTGGAGAGCACGAATCCGCCGGATTTCATCGTGCATTTTGCGCTGAGACCCCTCCAGCGTGCCCCTCGCATCGCCTAGAGAAAACCCCCACATCCCACATGCAGCCTGCCAGCAACGTCCAAATCTTTGCACCATCCGCCCTCGTCCTGCCGCCGCCATGTCTTCCTATGGCCGGTATTACAGACCGGCCTTGAAGCAATCTGTCGATGTGCAGCTGCAGACGGCCTTTAGTGACGGCAACTGGTCCAGCGTCGTCAGGCTGGCTGATAAGCGGGCCAAGAGCACAAACGACCCCTACTACGAGGTTCAACGCCTGCCCCTAAGTCCACTGCATTGGTCATATGTGATCTAACACTCTCCTCCTAGGCTGTCAAGGTCTGCGCCGAGTCACAGCTCGAGTCGTTGACCGAGCGGTGTGCCGCTGCTGTCGCCGTTGATGTGCTGGTGCGCAAAGGCACTACGCCGAAAGACGTCGAGGCCTTGGAACTCTACGAGTGGGCATGCCGTGACGCACAGCCGCCTCTGGACTACGCAGAGACCCTCGGCGTACTGAGATCGAGATGGGTCAAGGCCAATCCCAGGAGCTTAGCGGGAATTTCTTGCCTTCAAGCTTGTCTCGGCCAGTGGGATCTTGTCAATGCTCAGCAGGTAGGCCGCCTTTACCTGGCTCGGTATGCGTTGAACGCAGCGCTGATACTCGATAGATCGCAGCTATTCTTGACAAGTCTGGCAATGCAAGCGACAGGAGATATATGTACTGGAGCATAGCGCTCACGTACCTCCTCTCTGTGAGCCCAACCCGCCCTTCTGACGCCAGCGTGCAATGGTTCTGACAAGCCTAGACGAGTCCGCAATGCCCAGAGAGCAAGAAAAAGATCTATGGAATGCTTGCTGTTAAGCAATTAGAACGAGCGTCTGAGATCGCAGTAACGGTAGGTCATTAACTCCCAGTCGTTGCCGCCAACCCATCTGACCGTTCTCCAGAAAGCCGAGCAGACAGGAGACAAGGCCAAGCCCGCCGCTGTATCTGATCGCGATATGAGAGAGGAAGAGGAGTTCATCCTTTATTACAAGATCCTCAAGGCGCAGGATGCCCGCGACGACTTTGTCAAGAAGATCACCAACCAGCATATCGGCGCACTCAAGCTTTTCAACGAGGGCAAGAAGCACCTTTTGCTCGAAGCCATCGCCGCTTTCAAGTCGTGGGAACGGTGGGACCTGACCTTCGACTTTTGCCAGAATGTTCTCAGCGTTACAGATCTAGACGGATCCCCTTCATTCCTCGCCTCGGACTGGCAAATCTGGAAGAGCTTCATTGCTGCCGCTGCTAAGCAGAGTGACCCAGACAAGTAAGTGCCGCGCTGGCGATGCGCCCATCGTCCCGTACTGGACTAATTTCAATGTTTAGGGCTTTCGAAGTAGTCCAGGACGTTTTGCAACGGTTTACATCGTTCAAATCCAAGATTGCCCAGATGTATGTCAAGAACATCAGTCGCGCGCTGGTCGAGATCGCGTTCCGAATGCCACCTACGCTTTTGTCCGCCAGCACAGACCCAGCACAGCCCTCTGCCAGAGTAGTGCAGCTTTGCCTTTTTCTCGAGAAACATTTCGACAAGAGCTCTGTGTTTGACGATCTCAGGAGCTACGTGGAGGAGATGTCATTTGTGGAGACCAGGTCTCTCCTGGATCAGGTGCTCCCGAAAATGCTTGAAGCTGTCAGTGAACCCGCACCCTTTTCATGACCAGTATCGTCTAATTCGAGTAGGACTCTGATCCCGTTCGCAAAACTACCCTTCGTCTTTTCTCCCTGAAGCTCAGATACTTCTTGACCACCTGTCCACAAAGCCTGGGCCAGCCAACTTCCTCTACTGCCGCGCCATCGGATGACGTTCACATACTCCGCTACCAATGCAAAACATGTGAATCGGTGGTCGGGAAAGCTTGCCCAGCCTGTCTTCGACAGCTTTCATCGGACGCCATAGCAGCATATGAAGTAGTCGACGCCGATTCTGACCTTGTCAAACAGATCCCCGAGATGGATAAGGACTCTCGGGTTGATCTGGCATTGCTTGTGGCCTTTAGCCTTCTGAAGCTTTCTGGCCTTTTTGAAGATCAGGAGATCGTTAGCACTGGCCCTCTGACAGATGTTGAAATGACACCTTTGCTCCAGGCCGTAGTCCTTCTAGACGCCCAGCTACAGAGGAACACGAACGACATTCCATTGCGTATCCTGCTGGTCCAGCTGTATCTGCTTCTCGGCTGCGGGTCATATGCCTATCAGCTGTGGACACCTCTCGATGTCAAAAGAACGATTCAGGACGCGTTGAGCCCTTTGTTCTTCGATAGGATATCGAGTATCGCCCCCGGGCTCTTTCACGGCAGCAGACCTCTGACAGAACCTTTGCGATCATACTACTCAAGCACCCTGCGCGACCCGGCTCCCGTCAGAATATGGGATGCGTTTCAGTCTGGGAGCTACAGCAGTATCTTAGACATGGCAGAGTACGATGATAGACTACGAAAGAGCTGCACTCGTGTCATGGCGGTAGTGGAGGAGCGACAAGCGGCAAGGGCTTTCGGCGGGAGGCTGGAGGACTTGGATGATGTTCCCATCTTCTGTAAGTGAGCCTGGATCAACTCTGGATCTGCCAGGTCTCTAATCAAATCCGCAGCTGAGATTGACGATGCGACTACCCTTGTAAATGCCATTGACTACGGATCCATCCCCAGCCTCGAGAGTTCCTATGTCCCGTCTGTGGCCAGGTCACTGCGCCTCGGGCCTCCTCTCTCAGTAAGTCGGCAACTCCCTGAGAAGACCACACCGAGCGCTGTACTAACACATCCACCACAGAACACGAGGGCACACCTTTCGATGCTGGCTGAAGAATACCACGAACTCATCTCTTACAAGCCTCCCAAGGATTACAAGCCCGCCAAGCCAAACGACGCTGCCCTCAAGGACCGCGCCTTTGTCCTGGAATCTCTCTCGTCCCTGCACAACTCGATGACCACCTTCCTCCACCTCGCCGCTACGCCATCGCACCTGACCAGCGCAGAGTTGTCCTACTTCACTATTCTCTCCCTCCTTGCCGGCGCGCTCGTAACAGCCCTGACGGCAGACCGCACCGCCCCCGTCCCCTCGACGTTCAACCTCCTCACCTCGTCCATCAAGTCCGCCCTCTCGTCCCTCCGTGCCGCCTTCCTGTCCACTTCGTCTTCCTCTCCTTCAACATCGACACCGACCCCGCCCCTGTCCGAGGCGCGCACCTTCTACGCCCTGTCGGACCAGCACACCATGTCGACGCTGCGCGACGCCGCGCTGGCCATCAAGCACAGCGCCGCCTTTGTGTTGTCACACAACGAGGCGCAGGCCCAGCGCGACAAGTCCGGGCGGTCGAATCTGCACAAGGAGGTCCTGGCCGAGATGCGCGGGCTCGAGGCCCTTGGGGGCAAGACGGCGGACGAGGTGCGTGACAGCGTGAGGACACTCAAGGAGCGGCTCGGGGAGGGCGGGTGGCTGGATCGGGTGGAGGAGTGGTGCGGCCTGAACGGGAATGGGGACGAGACCGCGAATGCGCTGCTGCGGGTTGTTGGCGGGGAGATCTTTGTGGAAGAGTGGATTGGGCGTGTCCTAGAAAGCTGGAGGGAGGGGGTCAAGGGGTGGGGGATGGTGAGGTGGGAGTAGAGTTTGGGGGTTCGTGGCATAGGGGGGGTGTCAAGAGTTGAATGGGCCTGACAAGGCGGATGACGAGAGCAGATGTGTCCAGGATAGAGAAAAGCCACGCCACGAGGCACGTAGAGGGAGCAAAAGCTGTCGGTTTCTTCGAGATGCAAATGACTTTCGTATCTGTGAAAAGGGGGTATCTCGCGTCTCTATGTTCGTTTCGTATCATATGCAAATAAGTAGCACCCGTGTCAGAGAAACTCCTTCCCATGCCGTACCCATTATGTCCCGTGCCCTGCGATGTAGCTCTTCAAGCTGACTCCTGTTCCCTCCGGGAAACCAACATCGCCATGTGACCTAGCAGCATATGGGAACCAGCCAGATGCCGCTCAACTGCAGACTAGTCTCCGCTGTCCACGGTCGCAAACCCAGCCGCGACTACGGATCTAGAAAGGGGTGTGCCCGTGGCTGCCGCGCCTCTTCATGGCCTTGCGCGTCAGGATCTCGCGCCGTTCCTCCTTGAGCGTCACCCAGATCCAGAACCACGAGATGGCCTCGACGAAGACGAAGGTGAAGAAGACGCGGTTCTTGAGGTTGTCGCCGCCCCACGAGGCGGCGCGGTAGCCAGACGGGCGGTGCGTCGCGGAAGGGTGAGTGAAGCGGCCGCGCGTAGACGAGGCGTTTTGGTAGAGCGGCGAAGAAGGCCCAAAGACGAATGCGTAGAAGGCGAGAGACATGGAGAGGGCGAAGCGCAGAGGGGCTGTGTTTGAGAGGTTGCGGAGAACAACAAGTTAGTATGGTATCGCGGGGCTGATGTTCAAAGGGCAGCAAGCCGGTGGTGGGTGGTGAGACATGCCTTGTACACCCCAGTGTTGCACGAGGCAGACCTCCTCAGGCAGGCCAAAGGACGCGAGGTCGGTTATGCCGAAGAAGGCGAGGCCTACGGCGAGGAAGGCGAGTGCGGGAGACTGGGTTTCGAAGTTGCGCGAGTAGGGCTATGATGGAAAGACTCAGCAGGAGAGTTTAGTGGTCGGGGCAGTAGTAGTAGCAGCAGCAGCAGCGGGCAAAGAACGCACCATGCCCATGGCCTCGCCAATAACCCAGACCAGAGACTGGTCGGCAACGGTGACGGGGTTGGTGAGGAAGAAGAAGCCCAGGGTGATGTGGAAGAGGGAGATGGAGGTGATGATGGTCTTTGCGGATATGAGCGCCATGGTGTGTCGATGTCCAGGCAGATATATGTCGTTTCGTGTATGTCCGACGAGAAAGACCAGGCTGCGTCAAAGATGGAGATGTCCAAAAGTGTAGGCAGTCGCCAGGCGAGGCAGTGTTGGGTCGATCGAGAGAGAGGGGCCGGCTGCTGTTTGAGCAAGGATGTGGGTTCCTGAGACAGTATGTATTCTAGTGTCGGTATATCGTGCTCAACCTGATGTTGACGCGCAAGGAAGTGTCTTTCCAAGTCTGAATAATGTGAAAAGCGGAAAAGAGCGTCGGGGTTGGCTGCTTGTACAAGAAGCGAGGTGTGTCCGTTCGTTTGCGTGCCTGTCGTGTGCCCAGAGTGTCGAAAATGTCGGACACCATCAGAACCCTGGAGCTGGAGGCCTTATCGAACACGTCAATGCACTCACTTATCGCCAGGCGGCCCAGGTCCAATCCTGTCACCTTGGAACTGAAAAAGAGAGACTGGTAGTGATGCTTGATTGATGTGTAGAGAGAGAGACAATCAAGCTAAGACTTTGGCCCTTTTTATGTCCATCAGGCCTACAGATGGCTCCTGCCCCTTACAGAACCCTCCATCAGAGAGGGAGCGCTGTTGTTTTAGTGGGTGCCGTCACACTCTGGGTTTCGGGATGGCGGGTGTGGCCGCACGAGCCAGGGAACCTGTGGACCTTCAGCCGGGGGGTGAGCTTCTTCCAATTGAAGCTGAGCTCGAGCTCGAGTGGTCATACTTTTCGTCAAATGTTTCTCGACTGCAGCTATCAGATGCCCTCGCAATGCAGACCTCTCTAAACGACAACCCCCATTTCGGGGGGATGCTGGACATTTAAGAGCATTCCGTTTTCTGAATTCTACCTATTCAGCATCATGGAGACGCCGCCGCTGGACAATGAGCGCCACCTGCGGTACTGGCAGCGATGCCTGCGCAGCGTGCTCCCCCACCAGTACACCAGCAACGACAGCATCCGCATGACCCTTGGCTGCTTCATTGTCGCCGCCGTCGACCTCCTCTCTCCGACCTCCACAAGTCCCGCCGGGCCTGCACCCTCGGACAAGCCCAAGGCCGCCTCCATAACCCCCTCAGATCGATTGCGCATTCGGGAATGGGTCCTCTCGTGCCAACACCCCGGAGGCGGCTTCTGCGGAGCTCCGACGCATGCGCTGCGACCGCAGGACTATGAAGGGTGGGACGCTGAGGCCCGCAAACCCGAGACTGCCAACTCTGGAGCGGCCAATGTCGCTGCGACCTACTTTGCACTCGTGCTGCTGGCCCTGGTGGCCGAGGATAGCGCGGCAGAGTCCGCTTTCAGCGGCGTGCGGCGGGCAGAGACTCTGGACTGGCTAAGGAGGTTACAACGCGACGACGGCAGCTTTGGCGAGGTCCTGTACGACGTGCCGGCACAGGCGCAGGGCCGGACAAAGAACAAATGGGTCGTGGCTGGAGGGAGCGACACACGATACTGCTACCTCGCTGCCGCAATCCGGTGGATGCTCCGGGGCGATATCAGGCCGGGGGGTAGCGGTTGGGTGGAGGATATCAACGTAGAGTCCCTGATAGGGCACATACGGCAAGGGCAGACATACGATGGCGGCTTCGCGGAGACGTCACACCACGAGAGTCACGCAGGCTACGCATATTGCGCCATATCAGCACTATCGCTGCTAGACCGGCCAGCAGAGAACAGCACGGCTTCCCACGACGGCGCCATTCTACGCCGTGCTATTGCCGATCAACCGGCTCTGACCGAATGGCTTGCATCCAGGCCATTTGAATATCTGGAGGAAGCGGAGGAGGCCGAGGACAATGAGGAAGACAACTTCGCTCAGCCTACGTGCCTCGCGGACACTGTCGGTGCCTCTGAGATCAAGTATGCCGGCTTCAACGGGCGCTGCAACAAGGTTGCCGACACATGCTACACCTGGTGGGTCGGCGGCACCCTTTCTATCCTGGGACTCGACGACGACCCGGAACGACGTCTGGTACCCACAGAGGCAGCGCGCCGCTTCTTGATGGAGAAGACGCAGCACCTCATTGGGGGCTTTGCCAAGCATCCCAAGGGCCCGCCGGACATTTATCATGCGTACCTGGGACTTGCGGCGCTGGCAACACTGGGAGAAACCGAGCGGCTCAAGGAGTTTGACAGCGCACTGGTCGTGAGCATGGATGCGGTCAAGAGGATCGAGGCTGGGAGAAGGGGCCTGTTCAGGGCTGCTGGCAAAGGGAAGCAGGGTACCCAGGAAGGGCAAAGCGCTGAGAGAAGGTTACGAGAGATGGGGTTGGACATGCTGGGAAGAGAAGTTTCATGGCTGCCTGCTGTACAGGGCTCATGTCAATGAGCCGGCTACCAGCGGACCCAGGCGGGAGATATGTACATGTGTGACCTGGTCGTGAGGATGCGATGCAATCACCAACAGAAATGAACGCCAAGTTTGGCAAAGGCTCTCGCATCGAGAGCCTACTTTGTGACGATCATCGGCGACTGATCTGGATTCTTCGACAACACATCATGACTTAGTGAATACCCATGAGGTGAAGATGGAAAACAGCCAAGCAATGACTCTGACTCTCAACTTTGATGCAACGCGTCTCTGCGTCGTCTGCGTCGTCCGCGCTGACACGTCCTCCGAGATAGGAAGGTGGGCGAGTCTGTCAGCCAAATCCCTGTCTAGCATGTGTCTAGCATTACTTGTAGGTATCTACTCCGTACAGCCCCCCACAACATCCAAAAAGAAACAAGCATGCGGCGCCCAAAGCTTCTTTTGAGAGTATGGAAGGATTCCTAGTCGCAAATCCCAGGCCTTGGTTGGTCTTTATTAACCCCCCTTTGTTCGTCGATCGACGAAATGCATCTGCCTTGCAGACTCGTCCAAGGGTGCCATCGATGGAGCGCCAGGCAACCGCGTCACCACGTTCTGCATCTGTGTATCTGCATCTGGAGCAACTCGACGCCGTGGTCCGCTGTTCCATTGCTCAGATATAACCAATCGTCGTGCACTGTTCTGACAGTTCGGGATGTTTAGTCAAGAATCAGAATTGTCTCGATTGTATCAATCCCGTCAAACTCGTCGACTCGCTTGACTTGACACCGCTCTCAGCTCGGCCATGGACTTCACCGGATGTCTCAACGACGAGGCATTTGGGCCGGCTGTCAGAGGATGCAGAGGCGACTTTGATTTCACCATCAAGTTCGAGCAGATCTTTATGGTCCTCCTGCCTGCCTCCATCTTCACAGCTGTGTCCCTCTCGCGCATCGCCTTTTTGACTCGCCGGCCATCCATCGTCGCCGGGGCTGGCTTGAAGTACACCAAATTGGTATGCAGTACGACCGCCTCGGTCGGGCAATGAAGGACACTAACGGATCGTAATGTAGGCTGCAGTTCTTGTATATGCTGTTCTCCAGCTGTCACTGCTTGTGCTCAGTGCCACCCGTGCCCGTCGGTTCCAAGCATTCCTCATCTCGTCGAATGCCCTCACCTTGCTGTCTTCACTTTCCATCGCGGCGCTATCGTCTCTTGAGCACTCGCGGTCCCCACGACCGTCAATACTTCTCAATGGCTACCTATTTCTGACGATCTTGTTTGACGTCGTACAGACGCGGACGCTGTGGTTGGCGTCAAGCAACCCGGATGAGTTCACCTATTGCCGCTTGTTCACCACCGGCGTCGTTGTCAAGGCTGTCCTTCTCCTGACCGAGTCAACACACAAAACGAAGTGGATCCAATGGGATGCGAAGCAGCACAGCCCCGAGGAAACGACGGGTGTATTCGGCCTAGGTGCTTTTGTGTGGTTGAACGAGTTGTTCCTCCGAGGCTACAAGAAGGTCCTCGTCCTGGATGACTTGTACCCTCTCGACAGCAATATGGTCTCCGAGGCCCTAGATGCACTGGCCGAAGGCCGCGTGGTACCTTCTCATTTCAAGGGTCAGAAGTATGCGTTGATTCGATCCACAGCCAAGGCTCTAGCCGTGCCTTTCCTTCTCCCAGTTGGACCAAGAATAGCACAGTCAGCCTTTCAGCTCTGCCAGCCATTTCTCATCAACACACTTCTGCACTATCTCCAGCAAAAGCAAGACTCGGCCACGCACAACATTGGAATCGGCCTCATCGGCGCGGCCGTCCTAATCTACACTGGCATCGCAGTATCAGAGGCCTTCTACTGGTACTACCAAGAGCGCACCATGTACATGCTGCGCGGCGTCTTGGTCAACCTGATCTACCGCAAAACCACCGAGGCCAAGGCATCGGCTGCGGACGACTCTGCTGCTCTGACACTGATGAGTACGGATACGGAGCGCATCCTTCGAGGACTGCTGAATATGCACGAGTTCTGGGCCAATGTCATCGAGGTCGCCTTGGCATGCTGGCTTCTGTCCCGTCAAGTCGGCGTCGCTTCCGTGGCCTCGCTGGTCGTCGTGGCGTTCTGTATCGTTTGCTCAACCTTTCTAGGAAGGATCACGGGACCGAGACAGAAAGCCTGGATGGAAAAGATACAAAAGAGAGTTGGCCTGACGTCCAGCGTTATCGGCCAGATGAAGCATCTCCGGATCTCCGGCCTCTCTTCTGCCGTAGAGGACTCGGTGCAAGAAATGAGAACGGAGGAGATCGCGGTGGGAGGCAGGTTTCGACTGATCGGCGTGTTGTCTGCTGTCATTGGTTACACTCCTCTCTGCATCTCGCCCGTCTTGACCTTTGCGTTTGCTTCGCGGACACTTGATATCACCACGATCTTCACGTCCATTTCATTTATTCTGCTCCTGGCAAACCCACTGTCTACGCTTTTCCAGATGGTTCCCGGACTTATTGCGTCAGTGACCTGCTTCGGCCGGATCCAGACATTCCTGGAGACGGGTTCAAGGGTCGATTTCCGGCTACCAGATGCACTCTCGCACCAGCAAGCTCGCGCTGCCGACTTGGACTCTGGCAAACGTGACGTAGCACTGAAGGTATCAAACGGTAGTTTCGGCTATGATTCGGACAAGACCATCCTCAAGAATGTCAGCCTCGAGATCCCCGCCTCTCGGCTCACAATTGTAATTGGTCCTGTCGCCTCCGGCAAATCAACATTGTGCAAGGCCCTGCTCGGGGAGCTATCGATCTTGGAGGGTCAAGTCAGCGTAGCATCGTTCATTGGCAAGATTGGGTATTGCGATCAGACGCCCTACTTGACAAATGCGACACTTCGGGACAATATCATCGGCACCAGCAGTTTCGACCAGATCAGATACAACCAAGTCATTGAAGCCGCCGTATTGCTCCCTGATCTGGCTCTTCTTCCCCAGGGAGATCTAACACGCATCGGAAGCAATGGCATCTCATTGAGTGGTGGTCAGAAACAGCGGGTGTCGATTGCTCGGGCTCTGTATTTGGAGAGCGTACTGCTGCTATTTGACGATACGCTTAGTGGTCTGGATGCCGACACAGAAGAACAAGTCTTCAGGAGAGTATTTGGCCCGGATGGGATTCTCAGGCAAAGAGGGGCGACCGTTGTCCTCTGCACGCATTCTGTCCGCCACCTCCCAGCTGCCGACCACATTATCGCTCTCGGGGCAGATGGCAACATTGTAGAGCAGGGAACCTTCCAGGAGCTCATGGCCAACGAGAAGTATGTTTCAACGCTTGGGGTGACAGAGTCTTCTGCCACGAGCGAGAAGCAAGCCAAGATACTGCGAGATAGCAGCAAGCCAAGTCTCTCTCAGAGCTCGAAGCAGGCAGTAGCGCAGCAGGCCCAGGCCCAAGAGAGGTCGAGGATGCTGGGAGATACAGCGGTCTACAAGCACTACTTTGCGCGAATCAACCTCCCGATCAAGCTGGCTTTCTTCGTGTTCGGCTCGGGCTGGGGATTCTTTTACAACTTCACCACGGTGTGGCTGAAGTTTTGGTCAGAGGATGTCGCCTCGCCTCAACCAAAACACTCAAACGCCATGTATCTCGGCTTGTACGCATTGTTCCAAGTCATGACGCTCTTTTCCCTCTTCTGTATGAGCTTCATATGTTTCCGGGTGCTGATCGCCATCACCGGTTCAAAGCTGCACAAGGAGGCGCTACGGGCAGTGATGACGGCACCTCTCGCATTCTTTACGACCACGGATACAGGGGTGGTCACCAATCTCTTCTCACAAGACATGACGCTGATTGATGGAGAGTTGCCGATGGCCCTTGTCAACATTTCCTTTGAGACCTTTGCCGCCATCGGCCTGGCAGCCGTCATTGCAACATCATCGCCCTTTCTTGTCATCACATATCCATTCCTGGTTATCGCCCTGTTTGTGATCCAGCGTTTCTACCTGCGCACCTCTCGCCAGGTGCGTCTGCTTGACCTTGAGGCCAAAAGCCCACTTTAGTAGGCATTGCGAATATCCTTCAACGGCACTAGCTCTCGCTAACAACATCAGCTCTCACTTCATCGACACCATCAAGGGTCTTGGGACCTTCCGAGCTTTTGGCTGGGTGTCACATGGAATTAGACTTAACAGTCATCTCCTGGACACGTCTCAGAGGCCCGCATATCTACTCGCCATGATTCAGCGCTGGCTCGGCTTTATCCTCCAGCTCGTAGTAGCTGTCCTTGCCGTTCTCGTGGTGACACTTGCCACGCAGACGCGCTCGAACACGGCGTTCACCGGTGCCAGTCTGGTCTCTCTGATGACGTTTGGAGAGGTCCTCGCATGGATGGTCAAAATGTACACGGCACTGGAGACGTCGATCGGCGCCGTGAGCCGACTCAAGACTTTCAGCGACACGGTCAAGCCCGAGGATCAAGAAGGGGAGGATGTGGTTCCGCCGGTGGAGTGGCCGCAGCGAGGCTTTATCGAGATCAAAGGCGCCTCTGCGGCGTATCGGTGCGTGACGTTCTCTTCCTCGAGCATCTCGGGAATGGGGCTAACAGGCATTGTAGGAGTGATCTCTTGAGTGACGCAGACTCGGACACAAGTAAGCCCCAAGAGGACACTACTGACCTGGCCCTCAACGACGTCAATCTTACCGTAAATCCGGGGGATAAAATTGCAATTTGTGGCCGAAGCGGCAGGTAAGTCAGCAGCGTCCTCAACACATCCACAGACTGCCTTGATTGAGCTGACTCTCTCATCCTCCTACAGTGGCAAGTCATCGATGATCCTGCTACTACTACGTCTCCTGGATCCTCTTCCATCGTGTATTGATTCTATCAGCATGGACGGAATACCACTACGGAAAATCGACCGAGCGACACTCAGGCAACGTATCATCGCCGTCCCTCAAGAGCCAGTCTTCCTTCCAGACGGCACATCCTTTCTCGCGAACCTTGACCCATACAGCGTGTCTACGAACAACGAATGTCAGTCCGTCCTCGAGCGAATTGGCCTGTGGGACTTTGTCAGCGACCGGGGAGGTCTCCATGCCGGCATGTCGGCAGACACCTTCTCGCAGGGCCAGAAACAGCTTTTCAACTTGGCTCGCGCCATTCTGCGGCGCCGTATCAGAACGAGACTCGCCCAAGCCGCGACAGGTGAGAAGTATGTACAGAGCGGCGGCATCTTGCTGCTTGACGAGATCAGCTCCAGCGTCGATCAGGACACGGAGAGGTCGATGCACAGTATCGTCAAGGAAGAGTTTGAGGGCTACACGGTTATCATGGTCAGTCATCGGCTCGATGTTGTCATGGACTTTGACAGAGTGGTCGTGATGGATACTGGCAGAGTCGTTGAAGATGGGCGGCCTGCTGGCCTGCTTGATGTCGAGGGGTCGAGATTCAAGGAGCTTTGGCTTTCCAGTGGGAGGAAGCACAATGGAAACTAGGCTTGTAGGGGGCTCATAACTACTTCTCTCAATCTTATTTGATAACAGTCCAAACCCCGGACGGCACTTTCCGGGCCCATAGAGAGCAATGGCTATGGAGATACCCTCAGTCAGTTTATCGATACCGTAACAGTCAACACACAATTGACCTCCGAGAGCTTAAAAATTGGCCAATCCTTGGATTTCATGCCTGATTGTCCTTGGGCCAATCAATCTTGCCGTGCCAAGGATTCCTCTCACAGAGGGTGGCTGAGCTGACCGACCCGTATCTGCCGCATGCATCTGACATGCAGGCACACTGTTGGGCTTTCAGCGTGCTCGAGCCTGATGCTGAAACATCATTTTCTCCTCTCTACATACCAAACATGTCTTCATAAATATTTCCTCCTGAATACTAACCGATCATTTCCCCTTCTCCGCAGATTGGACCGCCCATTCTTTAAGCTGTGTTCATCATGGCAGAGGTATTGGGCGTCGTCGCCAGCGGGATTGCCGTGGTTCAGATCGCTGGCAAGGCGACGACGACGGTTCTCAAGCTCAAGCAGCTCTGGGATCAGGTCAAATATGTTCCCGAGGCGATACTGGATCTTATGGAGCAGCTCGAGTGCCTCGAGCCGGCTCTTAGTCAGTTGGAAAACCGAATCGAAATTTCCCAGACGTTGGAAGGCTCCTCCCATACCTCTTCGGAGCAGCAGAGCGCCATTTACTGTCGCAAGGCCTTTGATAAGCTTTCAGATCTTGTGGAGCAGCTTTCGGCACAAATCAACCAGAATCAGCGTCACAAGCGGACCCTCGAGCGCGTCAAAGTGGTTCTTAAGAAAGAACAGCTGAAACAGGCCGAGGCTAGCCTGGACAGCGTGATCAGGATGCTGACGATTGCGCAGCAGTGCCACGTTACGTAAGTACTTCGAAGCCCTCTCTTACTCAAGTCTCTGAATTGCTTGCGATGCTAATTACCCGTATGGCAGCACAATGTTGGAGCGACAGCCCGAGATTACGATGAAAGTTGTGATGGCGACGCTCCAAGAATGGAGTATTGACAATTACAAAGCTGCGGAGAGCAGGCTCGTTGAAAGCAAAGACAGAGAGATCAGTGATCCAGCCGTCAGCGAGACCAAACCGCTGGCCACCCAAACCAGGACTCGCTTTGGCGATGGTCAAAGACGCCGGCTGACCAAATGGTCAGAACCTGGACTATTTGGAGCTCTTAAATTCGGCTTCATGTCTGGGGGATGCTCTGCTGCTTTTCAGCCCCCATGGTGGCTGGCAGGTACTTTGCGAGCTTGTGAGGTTGAGATGAATCGATCTCTGGCCGGCTGGAAAAGCCACCTTCGCGTCTATTCTATCCGAGGAAGTCTTTCGGCTCCTTTCCTAGCTGCTATGCGTGGTGATGTAGAAAAGCTCCAAAGACTGTTCACTTCTGGGAAAGCATCACCATTTGACAGAGATCCAAATGGGTGGACTGTGTTGCATGTTGGTTGTCCTTTGCTTTTCGCCATTTCTAGTTGAAGATCGCGAATGCTAATCATGCTGCTGTTTAAAATACCAGTACGCTGCTGTATGCACACGAACTGAGGTGTTAAAACTATTCTTGGAACTCAACCTCGGGGATGTAGCGTATGAACGGGATGTGAAGAATTCGTAAGGTTCCATTCAATGCTGGTATACTGCGGATGCTGACTGCGATTTGCTCCCAGACAAACTGTGGATTTGTTGGCGACTCTCTACGACGCTGAACGCCGCCCACCGGGGTTGCCCCTCTCGGGCCGTGCAGCCACTTTCGTGGACATGTTCCTTGCTCACTTGGATATTTCCACTGATGATCACGAAGCGGAGTCGTCACTCTGTCAGTGCCCAGCGACCACCAGCGCCTATGCCCTGAAACGACTACAGCCGATTGTTTGCCCCGAGCATGCATCGACAACATTATGGTCGAGGATAGGTAAATGTCGACGAAGTGTACCGTACTCAATAGCGTACCTACGCTATTTGCTCGAGCCAGACTGGAGCCGGGATCCCCGACAAGTTTGTCAGGGTTACGCTCCACAGTACCCCTTGGTCCATTCAGTTGCGCTTGCGTACTCTGAGTCTTCTTTCTGGCCAAAGGATGGCGAACATGCTGCAAATGATGCCTTCGTCCTCGAGATTTTACGGCATTCACAGGACCTGCATAGTCTTGAACGAGATGAAGCCGACAAGTCATTCATGACACCATTTCTTGCTTTGGTGAATCAGTTCATACTTTGGGCTCCCGACTGGTATGGCAGGGTTGAAGCCCAACTTTTAGGCTTACAAACCTCTATGCTTGAGTGGCTGACAGTACTTGCGAGGGCGGGCGTCGATTTACTAGAGTATGGAAGGTGCGAGTCATCCTTCCTGAAAAATAAGAAAAGGCGCGCCAAGCGTTCGTACCGCAGTAACGAGTCGAACTTGGATTTTAAGCCAACCATCAAAATAAGGCTGGTTGGAATACTGTACGGTCCGAAGGCGGAAGACTGGAGACTGTGCTGGAATGAGGAAACTGATGAGTATGTGGGAGACTTCTGGGACCTGGTCGAGCGGGGGTCGAGCTCTATCATGCCAGGGTCTTGGGACGAGTCGGATCAGGATTCGGATCAAGACTCGGATCTTGACACTGACGAGTACTGGGATCAGGACTCGGACGAAGAATGGGATGAGGACTCCACGATATGATCATCGCATCAGTACGTGTTGCTAGATGCAGAGACATGTATCTCCCTCTTTCGTCCGCATGTTGTCTACAAGCCTTTCGCATATGATAATTAGTGCGTACCTATTTGGAATATTCGAACGCGTTCAATTATTTCCGAATCGAGTTAGGGTCATAGCTCTTAGTGCCGCCGCTTACGTGGAACGTTGAGCTTTATCTAGTTACATCTAGAAACAGTACACTACAACATCTGTCTTCCGTCTTCAGACGGCTTGGAGAAGTGAGGAGTCTTTTCAATACCAAAAAAAATCAAGATGGCATCACTGCATCGCGCAGATGAAGCTTAAGCGTATCATCGGCCCGCTGGATCAGCGCAAGAGATTTACTCGCTGTCAATCGTGCGCCAAGAGGCGTATCAAGGTATGTGTGCGCATCTTAGGCAGCAGCCCCTTCCCATATTTGATATTATATCACATGAGCTCACATGGATGACGGAAAGTGTCAAGGCGGTTCTCCCTGCGAATACTGTATTCGAACCAAGAAAACATGCCTCCCTCAGGTCATACCAGCCGCCAAAGCGCAGTTCATCATCTCTACGCCCGACGAGCAGGCCTTGCAAGTTGTGGCAAAGGTTCCTGTCCAGGTCGACACGCACTTAGACACCCTCTACTTGGATTACTTTGACCTCTTTTTGAAGCGCTGTCAGTTTACAGCAGACTTCAACAACTTGGGTGCCGACCTTCTGCCACTGATCCAAACATGCCTGCCGCTTGGACAGGTGACCATGGCGATTGGCGCCCTCGAAGCGAGCAGGTACGCGACGGTGAAGGCTTCTCATGGGCGGCAGTCGCCTCAAATCGCCGCCTTCTCATCCTATGGAGCCTCGACCAGGGCCCTCCAGGGGCTGCTGCATTCACCAGACGCATTACATTGCGAAGGCGTCTTATGGTGTACGTTGCTTCTCGGAATGTTCGAGGTAAGGTCTTGCCCGCACCACGTACTGTTTGGACTCGCATCACTAATTACCGATTCAGCTCATGACTGAAATGTCTGGGGACCGATGGGCCAGACACATGCTGTACGGTACGGCTAGGATCATCCAAGCTTCTGGGATCACAGCCCCGTCTGGTCAGCTCGTCAAGACACTCTTTGCGGCATTCAGGCCACTTGAGGCGCACCGTGCCATTCTATACGGCGAGTCAACATTCCTGTCACAGGATACATGGATCAGATGTCGGCGCCATCCTACTGCAATTCTACCCAGCCCAGTGGACTGGATCTTCGACCTTGTGGTTGAGATGTCTTCCTTTAGCAAGACGTAAGTCTCATCGCCTGTCCAATCCAGCCAAAACACAGCTCACCCCTGAGCAGCTTCTTCGACCGCGTCGAGTCTATCCCAGAGACACTACGACCTCAGCGTCCGGAGATACACGTACTGGCTGAGGAAGGCCAATGTTTTCAGCACAAACTCCAAAGCTGGCGCGACCAGACCACACCTCTCGTCGATTACTCAGAACCATACTGCAAACTTGCTATAGTGAATTACCACGCACTCCAGTTGTTTCTGTGCATGAATTATACCTACTACACATGTTGGGAAGACCTAGACATCCCCTCAATGACCTCGGCTCAGATCGAGATTCGCGTCAATGCCGTGGTAGCTCTGTCCAGTCAAATCCTCGAACACTCGAACCTACCGGGGGTATTGTTACTGTTTCCTCTTCGAATGGCGGGTGCCAACGCCGCGAAGTCTTCACAACGAGATGAGGTAGTGAGGTTGCTCGATAGAATATCACAAAAAGGATTCGTAGTCGCAGAGAGAATCAAGGTGGATCTGAGGGAGCTATGGGAATATCAGCAGCGTGTAGCAAACAGCGAGATATAAAGTCTAAATCAGAGTCTAAATTCAAGAAAACAAGATCTAGTCTATAGGTGACAAGAGAAGAGAAAGAATGAGTCTAAAGTGTGGCAAGCCGCGCGTGGTTCATATAGCCAGAGTGTCCAAACGATCAGTTTATGTCCAGTTCTGAGCACCCTACTTGGCCTGGATGTTAAAGAACTCCATGATAACTCGGGTGCGCAAGCCGGGCGCAAAGTAATCATATCCAACAACAACCCCACATTCATCCACGAAGACCGTCACTGGGATCGCACCCTGATACATGATGCTCCACTGGAGTGGCAGACGTCAACTCAAATACCTATGCAAAGTCGTGGAATGGGAGTGCACGGGGGCTTACAGCGGCAACTGGCGAGGGGATGAAGTCTCGCTGCACTAGTCCTTCATACACCGCTCCGGCTTCGATCAGGATGTCCTCCTTGAAAATCGGGTAGTTCGAGTTGACATATCCCCTCCAGACGATCGGCTCAGTCGAGTTGTGGTCGTAGGCCGTCAGCGTGTTGTCCACCAAGCCCGAGTCGGTGACGTTGGAATAGTCAAAGTATGACGATGCAAGCTGTCCCTCGTAGGCTTCGTCTGCTTGCACAAAGCCCTGGGACGGAGAGTTGTAGATGTAGCCCGCCGTGATATGGGACAGATTCGCATTCCTAACACATATGTTAGTCAAGATATTGAACCTTTAATGGTGCCTTCAGGGATGGGGTGAAAGGGTAGATACCACTTGTGCTGCACAAAGTGAGCTTGGTACTCTGCCTTGACAAGTGGTGGCTGCGGCTCTTGGAAGCCGGCAGAAAATACGGTCATCGAATCTGGGAATGGAGGACATCCAGAGGGTGGTGATCGGCAAGGAGTTGCCGCTCCAAGTGCGGTCGCAGCGAGAGCAGTGAGGAGGAGGTTGTAAGAATGCATTGTAAAGGCGGGGCGTAGCAAAGTTCGGTTGAGATGAACTGGTTGATTTGAAATGGATAGATGAAGATGTCTCTGTCAGTTGATACAAGATGTTGAGACATTGTAGCCTCTTTATATAGCATTTGTGCTCGGAGTGCCTGCTTCGATGTTGTCGAGCCACATCCTTGGAGTGCGTTCAATAACTTCCGCTTTGGGACAGTTGACCCACCACTGCCGGAGCTCCTCCGTAGGCGGCAGTCCCGGCGCCGCGTTTGCGGCTGTGCAACACGACACCCAACAAGGCTAGCCCTGAATGAAAACGCGTTCGATAGGGTCCTATTCCGTCCAGGAGAGGGAGAAGCTGACGAACTTGAGAGGCATTGAAGAAAAATGCCAAGGATATCGATTAAAGATAGTTAGGCTGCCATCTTTTGCACACGGGTTCCCCGTGTCCATGTGATGTGTAGATTAAGATTTATACCAGTCTAAAAGAGTCTATTACTTAGGACAAGAGTCTGTGTTGCCAAACTGGTGTGAGCAGTGTGGATTAAAGGTCTCGTTGCCGTACACGTCACCACCGTAGTAGAAATAGCCCTGACTCTCTTCCAACGGAATCTTCTGTATCTCGGTCGCGTTTCCGATGACCCAAACAGTTTGCATACCTGCATTCCCACAACGTCAATTCAGATTCTGGAGATGAAGGATCACGGAGAGATATTTGACCTACCCATCATCATGTGCTGCAGGGTGTGGCAGTGGATGAGCCACACCCCCGGCTGGTCGACCCGGATTCTCCACGCCCGCCAGCCCGCATCGAGACCGGCTTTCGTCGTTGTGATGTATCTGTACAGCATGGACGTGTCTCTCTGGACGGGGTGGTATCCAGCCTTCACAATCTTGACCTCGTTCTCCGTCGCGTTGTAGGTCCCGTTCCCACTGCCGATATCGTAGAAATGCTGCCCGTGAGCGTGAAACGGGCTGGAGACAAAGAGTGTTAGCAAGGCGGCGACTCTAGAAACACAAACGAGCAACTCACTGTACATCGACACCACCTCCGCTGTTGGCAAGAGAGCCGGTGTTCTGAAACACAATCTCCAGCACTTCGCCCACCTTGGCGGGAAAGGCTTTGGTCTTGGGATCCCAGCCGTGATTCTGCATAGCAGCGTCGTAGTCTGGGACTGCCGCATCGCCTCTCTGATATATGTCAACGAGGAGTGGCACATGGGTCACGTTGTCTGTATACGAGAGGTTCGCCATCTTCCAGATCCACTGCTTAGTCTCGTTGCTGATCATTTGGCGGGCGTCAAGAATAACACGGCGAGTGACCTCCGCAAGGGAGGGGAAGTTGGGATCAGGATGCAGAGGCTGGAGCGTGTACTCTCCCCAGTCATAGGTGGCGTTGGGCAGACGCAAGACCGGCTCGGTGGGCAAGCTCGGCAGGCGGGCGCACTTTTCGTACCGCAGTATACCGTATCCGCGATACGAAGACGGCCTGTCTTTTGTCTCGAACTGAATAAAGTAGGACGACTTGCCCTCCGCTTTGAGCTCCTCCTTGGTCTTGGTCTTGAACAGAACGTCATACCTCTGGCCGGATCCAAGCTGGATTCTGTCGAATGATGCTGGCCGTGTCCACTGCCCTCCATCGACCTGGATGACACTCAGGTTGCTGTGGCCTTCGAAACCGATGCTCGTATGTGACAGACTCGTGGAACCGATGAAGCGGAAGCGATACGTCTTTCCTGGCTGCACGTCGATCACCGGCGGCTCGCAGGCGCCTTTGTCCGTTTCGTTGGCAGTGTGCCCAATGCCAATCCCCTTCCCGTTGAGAAGGACAGCATTGGTCTCCCCTCCAAAGACAAACGGGACACCCACCAGACCGGCCTCGAGAACCTCGTCCGTCTTGTTGAAGTAGTCGTTCCAGAACAGGATGCGCTCCTCGTCGTAGTCGTAGGGCGGCTTCGCGCAGTCGTCGACAATCAGTGCGCCGGAAGCCGTAAGGGCTTGCATGCCGATGTGCGAGTGATAGAAATAGGTGCCGGCATCGTCCAGCTCCGTCTCCACCTCGTAGTCAAAGAAGTGCTTGGCCTTGATGGGCCACTGCGAAGCCTGCGGGCTGCCGTCGGAGAAGTGGGCAAACCTCTGCGCAAGGCCGTGCCAGTGCTGGATGGGATGTGTGTTAGTCAACTCGACTGTGTCATCAACAATATCATCAACAATATCATCAACAATATCATCAACAATATCATCAACAATATCGGTTTTGGCGCACCATTGTCAGGTTGCTATCGCTCATGTCATTGTACACCCGGATCCATGTCGACTTTCCGGGCTTGAGGCGCAGCGTCGGACCGGGAGACGTGCCGTTGATGACCACGGACATGCGGTGCTCACAGGCCACTGAGATGTTCTGCTTCGTGACTCGCAGTACATGGTCGGGCACGAAGGTTTCGTCGTGGGTAACCAACTCGCCCTTCGCAACACCAAGCATGCACCCATAAAGAGCAGAAATAACGCTGAAGGCCCTCATCATGGAATGCTCTCGGCTGTCACCCAAAGGCTAAAGGTGCCAAGCAAGATGGAAATCTGGGACCGAAAGCGCCGCCGGCCAAGCATCCATACATATGTAGGTTCTGCCCGTTCAATTGAACGACCCTGCAGACGGGGCTGTCGGGGTCTGACTAAAGTCTAATATGTCGTCATGACAGGCCTCGACTTGTACGAGTTGTCCTGGCAGTTCAACGGCCTGCAACGCTAATGCGCGAGTCGCTTCTAATCTTAGTACCGAAATGGCCTGGGATACCGGTATTTCCTTCAATTGGGCATCCGGGGGATGATCGCAATGCCCAACCAGGCTGATGCGGACCAGCACCGAGCTAAAATCTCACGACCAGGCCTGCTTCCCTGCTGGCATAGCCCGCGATGCGCGATAGCTAACGTTCCTTGTAGTGGCCACTGGCTATCAGGGAGGCTGAGCTTATTCTTCCTGCTTGAGAGCTGACTTGGCTTAGGTGCTGATCTGCCGGCACATCGCCTCCTTCGCAGAAACTTGGTTGGTATGGCAGAGCTACCGGCTCGTCGCTAAAGAGAGAGAAATGACTTAAAAAGCAGCTCGAATGACAGCAGGTTGATTGTCGTCACTGCATCTCGGCCGACAAGATCTCCGGTAGTCATCTTGAATGGGTCTCTCCGTAGAGTTGTGCTCCCGGGTTTCGGTCTCGCTACGGCCAGGGCCGGCTTTAGCGGAGTAGTGGAGCACTGAAGACCAGTCAAAGGCTGGATTCCTCCGCGGCGGGGTTGGAAGGCTGGCCAACTACTGGGCCGGTTGAGAGCTCCCCGATGGTATTTCAGTCATATGACAAGCTGGGATGGCTTTGTGGACGAGAAATAAAGCAAGACACTCTGGCCATACTGACTTGCGAGGCCGACTTCCTCAAGGAAGTTGACCCTAGAGCTGATTAATCAACTGGGCCAGACCTGAGAGCATCGAACGGTAGTTAACTACTTGCCAAGCTGCTGCGAAGGCAAACCTCGGTGCTCTTTATCACCGCGGAGAAGCATCCTGGCCTGCTCGAAACTTCTTGTCGCAGGAGCAGGCTCCGACTCCCAGGCACGGATGCAATGTGGGAGAAGTGAAGAAGTGCCTTACAGAAGAGCTGTGTTGATGCGATTTTGATCTGCCTGGCACAACATGATTTGGGTTGAAAATACGTGAGTGACCCCAGCGACAACACACCCAGGCATTCAACAGTGATGGGCAGAGAAGATTCGCTCGCCGTATTTACAGCAAGAACATCCACTCGGTCTTATTTATTGATCTCTTTAGCTTTGAAGCTTTGCAAATACCAACTCGGCTCGTAACAATGTGAACCCACTCGCCCACCCGTCACGCAGCAAACCCTATTTTCAATTTCATGACCGAGTGTTTCAGCTTCCAGGTACCAACTGCGCGCCAGGTGCCGCGTGCTGCGGATGGACGGAAGGACAGCAAGAAAATCATGATTTTGAACTATGACCTCACAAAAGAAGACGTGATGCGAAACGTGGTTCCATCCCAGACACACACACGCACACACCCATCCATCTCGGTCGAGGGCTCGTCTCGCACCGCAAACTGACAATGCCCCAAACCTAATTGGCCCCTTCGCTTGTCAGCAGGTCCGGGCCGTCCAAGCAATCCTTGCATCAGATCAACCTTCATCCACACCTCCCCTCACTGAACGGACTGGATCCCCCGGATGCGGCGGGAAGGATTGCGACCTTGTTCTAGAAAATGCGAACACTTCCCCGCATCTCTTCAAACCTGCTTTCGCGTCGCCATCCTGTTTTACCACACAACATCTCGACCTCTCTCGTTCTTCGCCCTCGAAGAGACCAAAGTATCCAGAGAGTTCAGTATATTCGTCGACGCGCAGCACAACGTGTTCCGCCCTTGGTTCATCTTTGAAGTCATAAAATTCTCTATATCATATCTAAAAAGTCTAGAACTCGCCCTCTTTTTTCGTCATGGAGCGCCAGCTTTCGTTGTCCGCCCCGCTCACTACAAGGCAACTCGACCTCACAGTCGACAATAGGATCAAACCCGACGGCCTTCAGCAACAACAAGACCAAACTCTTCCAACATAGCCCCAACGCTATGCCTCACCGCGACTATGGCAAGACGACAGCCTGACCAGCTTTACACGCAAGCGACACAACACTCATAAGAACGCTAGACTATTCCCTCGGCACACCATCAAAAACGAGAGCATCTCAAGCCTTGGGAGCGGGGATGCGGGCGGGCGGCTGGCCCAGACCGTTGTGGTTGCGGAAGAACAGGACACCCTTGCCCTTGCCCTCGGCCTCGGCGCTGGGCTCGACCCACTGGCACATGCGGGCCGCCTTCCACATCGACTTGATGAAGCCGATGGGGCCCTCCTTGACATCGGAGCGGTAGTGCTTGCCCATGACGGGCTTGATGGCCTCCGAGGCCTCGTCGGCGTTGTAGAAGGGGATGCTGCTGACATAGTGGTGCAGGACGTGCGTCTCGATGATGCCGTGGAAGATGTGGCGTCCGATGAAGCCAAACTCGCGGTCAATGGTGGCAGCGGCGCCGCGGACAAAGTTCCACTCGTCGGCGGTGTAGTGAGGCAGCGAGGGGTCGGTGTGCTGGAGGAAGGTAATAGCAACTGCAACAGGAAACCATATTAGCAACCGCTCTTCTGACCCAGTCGTGCTACAGAGGCGCTCTCCCGATCCAACGGACCCGACACTGCACAGAAATGACTCCAGCCCATTCCCGCCGATACACGACTCCCAGGCGACGGAAGTATATACAAGCAACGAAAGAGATGGCACTTACCGAGCCAGTGGTGAACCCAGAGATAGGGGATGAAGTACCAGACGAGCAGGTTGGTCCATCCAAAGTTGCGGCCGAGGTAGACGAGGCCAGAGATGGTCAGGGCAATGCCAATGTCGCTCAGGACGATCAGCTTGGCGTCCTTCTCCTCGTACAGGGGGCTGCGAGGGTCAAAGTGGTTGACGCCACCGCCGAAGCCGTTCTTCTTGCCCTTGCCACGGCCCTCGCGCTGCCTCTCGTGGTAGTTGTGGCCGGTGACATTGGTCATGATGTAGTTCTGCCAGCCGATGAGCTGCTGGCCGACCAGGTGGATGAGGGTGTAGATGGGGGTCTCCTCGGTCAGCTCAGCGAGCTCGTGGGCGAGCTTGCCGATGCGAGTGGCGTGTTGCTCGCGGGTGCGGGGAACGAAGACCATGTCCCTCTCCATGTTGCCGGTGGCCTTGTGGTGCTTGCTGTGAGAGATCTGCCAGCTGAAGTAGGGGACGAGCAGAGCCGAGTGCAAAACCCAGCCGACAAAGTTGTTGAGCTTGGTGGAGGGGGAGAAGGCGCCGTGGCCGCACTCGTGGGCGAGGACCCAGGCACCGGTGCCGAAGAGACCCTGGAGGACGGTGTAGAGGGCCCAGAGACCGGCGCGGAGAGGGGTCGAGGGGATGTACTCGGGTCGCACATAGGTGTGGAAGATGTAGAAGGTGGTGCCGAGGTACAAGAGGTCGCGGGCGACATAGGCCAGACTGCGAACGGCGGAGCGCTCGAAGCAGTGCTTGGGGATGGCATCGCGGATGTCCTTGATTGTGTAGTCGGGGACCTCGAACACGTTGCCGTAGGTGTCGATCAGCTTGCCGTACGTCTCCTTGGCGGGCAGGGCGTCCATGGACGACAGCGAGGACAGCGAGGTGCTGGATGCCGAATGCCTGGGCGAGTCGACGGGGGAGTGGACGGCGGTAGAGGGCGACGAGATGTCCGACTCGGTCGTGTTGGAAGTCATGGTGCGTCGCAGGGCCGGGTTTTTGGCCTGGGCGACGCCGCTGGCGGTGGTTGCGGCAGGCATTCTGGGCAACAGGTTGTGAATATGGTGCCTTCTTCTATTGGTGTTGTTCTTGTTGAGACGAGGCGAGAGACTGGGACCGAACTGGATCAGTCGCCTTCTTCCGAACCGAGCTCAGCTGTGGTCCTGGGAATGTTCTCCAAGGGAATTGAGAAGAAGAAGGGTGAATGAGGACGAGGACGGCTTTCAATACTGCCGGAGTGCTGCAAGTCGCTGGTCGAGCTGGAGGGGGAAGGGAGATTTCAGACGAGAAGGAGGGCAGAGGCTGGCAGGGCAGACGGAGCTATAAAAACGGAAAGAGAAAGAGAGAGGCGAGAGCTGTGTGGAGACACACGCAGAAGAATGGTGGACTGTGTCAGGATGAAAACGGGCGGGAGAGGTGCCAGGTAAGGACTAAGGTACGGTAGGTATGTAAAGTAGGTAATGTAAGTAGGTGGTAGGTCTGTCTCCTCTCTCTCCGTGCGTGTGCTTTGTGTGAAAGAGGGTGTTAGTCTTGCCGTCTAATCTTCCGAGAGTGTGTGGGCATCAAAGATCACTGCAGGAGTAACGACTACAAGTAGTTACTCCAGTTGGTCTGGGTCGGCGTTGTGCTGTGGGATTTTTTCTTGCATGTTCTTTTTTGGAGGTACCGCAAAAGAAATGCCATCAATGGATCCATGAATGTCATGGCCAGGCAGGTCCGATGCCAGGCAATACCACCCAGGTCGGCACGGTATGTACCCTCCAACCTACCTGCCCAGTGCAATGCCCGCGGCTCTCCTCTCCTCCTTTCATCCCTCTCTCGGTCCCCTGATTTTTTTCGTTGGGGTGGAAAACGAGTTACAGCCGGGGGCCGGCGCCACCAGGGGTTGGATCGAGACGGTCAGAGGCAAGGCAGGTACCTGGGCTGCCCCGCCAAGCCTGCTGTCCGGCCCAGGTATCTCGCCGCTCCACTGACCGCCCCGACGAGCTCAACGCCTAAAAGTCGGGCGACTGCTTCAGAAGGGTCGTTCGATATATGGTCTGCTGCTGGCATTGCCATCGCTCGCTCACCTCGAGCTTCGCGCCATGGCAAATTTGCCTCCAGTCGCCGGTGATCATCCGGGATTTGTCCTCGTCTCCCCGGTCTAGGACTCGGTGTCTGATGATTCCTAGTTGCACTCACAGAAAGCCCGCTCTTGTTCGGGGCCATTGGTCATGGTGTACCGAGTACTTGTAGGTAGTTACTGCTTGTTCTCCCCAAAGCAACCGGCTCAGCTGTCCAGATCCAGCCAGGGCGTACGTCTCACCTATCATGGCCAAAGTTTACCCCGTATTCTGAGCCTGGTGCACCTGTAAATTACCCTTGGTGTACTACCTTAACCACCATGGCCAGTAGGTAAGGTACCTACTTCCGTGGACGGCGGTACCTAAGGTAGGTAGGCCAGGCGGTGTGCTGCTTTCCTTCTCCGCCCGACCAGGAGTTGGTGGTACCACATGGAACCATCGGTAGTGGACTTGGAGATCATCCACAGCGATGCCCACACTGTCCCCAGGACCTTCAAGAAGTCTTGGAAGATCTCATACTCCCGTGTCTAGTTGTACTTGTACGGGACGTACAAACAAGGGACAGTTCGGCAGGCCCGTGGAAAGGGCTTGTCCTCTCACTCCTGAAAAGAGGGACTAGACCATCCGCGATTCAAGGGTGCTGCAAATACGGCCAGGGCTTGGACTATTTCACATGTGAGACGGAAATTTCTTTATTCACGGAGCAAAAAAAAAAGAAAAAAAAGTTGGGTAGTGAACGGCGGATGGGCTAAAGGCGGCTCCCGTTTTCCCTGACAGGACAAACATGTGGCAGGACAGGGGGTGCTTCGGGGACCTGGCCCAGAAGCTACTTGGACCCTTCCAGGCGCTAAAACGGGCTAGAGGCTGGTCCAAGCCAGAGCTGCGTGTCGATCATGGTGCATTGGTGGTGGGCATTGATGTGCCATTGCGAATCAGGGAGCGCTGCAGATGGTGCTGGTGCGCGGCATTGACCAATCCTCACTGATAGCTCTGGTACGCTTGTCGCCAAGGATGGCATAACTAACTACCCTCAGCAGAGATCTGTTGCCGTGTCTCTCGCCAAGCTTGCCTCTTGGAGATGGAGATCTTTGATAAATACTCCGTACTTGTAAAGGCTGAGCAGGGATCAGCTGTGGGCCAAGCAAGATCCCACGCGCTTGTGCGTCTTGGTACCCTTGGTGAGTTAGGTACCCCTCCTCAGGTACCCGTACCGCACTTGGCTCAACAGCCTGTTACCGGTAACTCCTGGTTCTGTTGCTGCTTTTGCTGCTGTGGGGAAGCCCTCCGATGACCGTTCCGGCTGTGAGGAAAGGTAGGCTGGTAGGGTTGCTTCCCACTCTGTACCGGAACCAGCGCATCAATTACGAACACAGGCAGGCGCTGCGTGGTCTGGCTGCTTCCAGCTAAGCTGGCAACCACTTGTCCACTGAATAGACGTGCATACAGGGGGACACCTATCGTCGTGATCGAATGGCTTGCGACTTGGTAGGTAGCTGATTAGAGTGGAAATGAGGGTTCGGGCAGTGCCGAATTCATGGATGGCAAAATGCTGTGGGGTAGCATTGCATTTGATATTTGATGCTGGGAGGAGGTACGGAGGAAGTACGTCTGCCCAAGAGAGCGCCAATGTACTTGTAAAAGAAAAGAGCTGGCAGGCTGGGATGGGCAATTCCAGTCCTTCTCGCGTTCGGTTCGCACGTGAATGGATGTGCACACATGTGGTCCGACGCATGCGTTTCTGTTGGGGCTCGGCTGCTCCTGAGTTTTTTTTTTTGTTGAGGTTTGAAGCGGAAGGGGCCCCTGCTCTTGCCTCTCCAAGCTGTCCCCGCTACAAGGCTTGGCAGGTGTGGGCGCGCGGGCGGAAGGACAGAGGGCGAGCCTGCCGCTTATTGGACGACTTCGGCGAAGAAGAGCATTTGGTACCTGGAAAGGGCAAAACGGCTAGGGAGTTGGTACCTAGTCTCTGAAACTTGAGAAGGGACGGAGATCAAAAAGATGGAGCTGGACGGGGAAGCCAGGATCACATGCCGTCCAATCAGAGGCTTCCCATCTCAATCAGCGTGCCTCTTTCCGTTCAGCGCCAGCCACTGACGTGCAGTGCAAAGAAGGTATTATCTTCCAGCTGTCAAAGCTCCAGGATTACAGTGATTACAGCTGTAAGCTGGATCACCTGCAGACAGTTGTTCAGTTCAAGTGATGGGCCTGGTGGCATATCAAATCGTGAGCCAACACGGCCCAGAGCGAGACCAGAGCACATCATCCTACCAATCGCGAACGGTCGGTCAAGCAGGTCTCTCTTTTCTTCTCTTGAACTGTTCTAGCAAACCAGGCACTCTTCTCCGACCCTACCATACAACATACAATCTAGCAAACTTTCACATGCCCGGCCTCGAGGCGACCTGATCTGCACATGCCCAACACCGATACCATCACCTTTTCTCGTGTATACGAAGCAGGCTTGATATCCTTGTGCCAGCCTCGCTCCCATGTTCTTATCACCATCGCAGGTGCGTCCTCTGCCCGCCTATCCCTTTCCCCGGCTTAGCAACTTCGATGCGCGACAGGGCGGGAAGCTCAGGGTCCGAATCCTCGCCATGAGCTGTCTGATCTCTGCCACCGCTCCTGGACATGTCTCGGAGCTGGCGTAGGATCTGCTCGTTGCACTGCATTAGCCGCTCGTTGGACCGCTTCAGCTCCTGCATCTTCTCGTCGGTCGCATGCTTGAACTCCATGACTTGGTGCCGCATTGTCAAGGACGCAGGGAGCATCGTCTGCGCCCTCTCGTGCCTCGGCCTCGCCGGTGACTGATGCGTGTTTCTCGTCGGCGACGATGACGGCAGTGGTGATGGGCGCGTTGATCCTGTCCCCCTCCCCGTCAAGCGCTGTCTTCCCGCACCCTGGCCGCCTCGCTCGTGCTGAGAATGCCATCTCCACTGGGAACCGCCTGCACGCGAAGATGCCGCCGATGCAGGTGGCGTTGCCCATGTGCTCTGTCTTGTGTAGCGTGATGTGCGCCGGTGGCTTAACGCTACTAACCTAGCTACCTCTACTCCGCTTCTCTCTGAGCTGGTCCCGCGCGGGGTCATGGCTTGTGTTGTTGCAGGGGATCCCATCCCCGGAGTCCTTGCCGTGTACGGTTCATCTGTCCGTTGCCTTTTCCACGCTCTTTCGTTGGGTGAGACAGTTGTACTGTACCGCCGCTTTTGTGACATGCTCCGCGGGCCTGTTGGGATAGGCGTTGGCGTCACGAACATGCCGGGGCTGTGGCCAAGGTCAACGCTTCGCGCATAATGATAGCGTCCGGCCTGGCCAGGGCTAGGTGAGGTGCTCCAACTCGTCGACGGCTCCGAGAGACTACCACCCTCGGCGGCCGGAGGTGATGGTAGCGGTACAAACGACGGCGGCGACGACACTCCCAACACGTCCGAGTTGCATCCCGTTGGAGCAGCGCCATCTTTCCGTGTAAGTGCGTGCGCCTCCTCCTCCTCCTCCTCCAGAATACTTCCGGCCGCTGTGGTCTCCTCCGAGTGTAGCACCGGGGATGCTTCTTGTTCCTCATTGTTGATAGATTCACGCCTCCCAGAAGACCTTTTGGGCTTCTTTGCCTTTTTCTTTTTGTCTTTCTTTCGCTTGCGTTGGCCAACCGAATCCTCTTCGCCGAGCCCTGGTTCGTGATCATCCGCAGCCGCGCCATGCGGTGTGTTTGCTTCAGATTGTGTCGTCGAATCCGAGTTCGCTGCATTCGTGCGAGATTCCTGGTCGCCGTCGCCCGTGTCCTGGTCCTCATCTCGGCTGTTCAGGACACCATCCGCCAGGTCTCCTACACTGGTCCGCAGGACTCTGCTTTCTCTCAAGCCCAGCGCGGCGGCAAGCTCTAGAATTGTCCGCCCTAGGCCTGGATTGTTTCGCGGGACCGCATCGAGGGATGCTCGTCTCTGAATCACCACCAGCCTCAACAGACTCCGGACACGTTCGTCATCGTCAAGAAAGGGGTCATTCACCGTGGCCAGATCCGTTTCCACAGCGTTCCGAATAGATTTGCTCCATAACTGCATGTCGAAGGTGGCCGGACCGGATGCCGAAGTACCCTTTTCGGATGGCATACGGTAATCTAGGCGCTGCTCGTGCCTTGCCATGATAGCCTCCCATCGATGAACCGATTCCCGAAGATCTTGAGTGAAATTGTCGCCTCCAGGCTTCCGGCTCATACGTATCAGCACCTCGGTCATTCGCCGCTTCAGGAGGGCTGCAGGGAAGGCCCAGCCCAGCTGATCTGTTACGCGGTTTGCCATCCGGCCCCAGAAGCAAGAGCACTGCCTTGAGCAAAACCCGTGTTGAAGGCAGTCCTTGGCATAGTCGGCTTCGTGCTCAATGAGAATTCGCAAGATTGCTGCTCTCTGAATATTGTTCAGTCGTTTGATCGAGCATCCATCAGTGTTGTCCGCGCCATCACCGATTGGCTCGGATTCGCACGAGTCCAGCACAGTTTGCGGATCACTTTCAGCGGACTGCCCGAAGAACCTCTCCGAACTCGAGCCTCCCGGCGTAGGACCTTGGCGTGTTGTCTGGTGACGGCCGTCACCTTTCAATCGGGAGCAGGATTGACTGTGTCGCCCCTCCGGCCCAGAATCCTCTTGTTGCAATGCTCCCCTCGCATGCCTCGTCTCAGTATTCCGGCGTCGCGGATGCGGTGATGATTGTCCAGGCAGGCTCCGGGACATTCTGGCTTGGGCGTTACCCGTAGCTTGCGAGCACTATGAATGGATTAGTGACACGGCACTGAGAAACTCCCGGGTGAATCTATCAGAGCGTACTGGAGGTGTGGCCTTGGACATAGTGAATTTGTTGTCTGATCTGGGCCCTTTGGAAACGGCTCTCTTCCTGCCTCGAGACTCCGGGTAGCTCCCATCAGGGGCACTTCGAGAACTTCGGCGAGGCATGTCTTCACTAGATCTGGATCTTCGACGACGCTGCGAGGCCATGACAATTTGAACCCGAATTAACGGATGAACCGATCGCACGAAGAGAAAGGGATTTGAAAGGGATTGAGAGGATGAATTGTGAGGAAGATGGATGTGATAGGAAATTCATGGGCTCCGGGAAGAGATTTGCGAGGCCACGCTTCTGGCATCAGACGCGTCTTTTCACCGCCCTGGGCGCGTTGATAAAATTTCCCTTCCTTTTTCTCGAGACTTGCAATCCTTGTCCTCGTGGCTGATACTGCTGCGGGCTTCCAGCTCCAGGGTCGTGGTTCATTTCGTGGCGACTAGGATGCGCCTTGCAAGCTTCTGGTGCACTTTGCTTATTCTGCCCCTGGACCGTCCGTCGTGCAGGAAGGCTGCTTGTTTGAGGATTGAGGTACCTTGTAACTAAGGTTGTGGCAGCACAAGAGAACAGTCAAGAAGATGAATGCATAATTGGGAATAAGTTATGCACCATGTGGCTATTCTCGGACGCATTATCTTCCCTGCAAATATTGTGATCTAAGCGCATTTGCATATCCTGGCATGTATTTCAGACAAATGCTCTTACTAAATACGCCTTTGATAAATCTATGTTTTCACTTTGAGCGCAAAAATGGCTTATCAGCTATTCTAGGCTGAACTCATCTGGAGACGTAAGATAGTGCGAGCCATGGACAATCCTTTCTCTATTACATCTAGCTAATACTACTTTCAAGTTGCAATTTTGGTCTAGTCAAACTATGCAGGGCTCAAATACTGGCTGCAATATATGAGTTCAAGTTCAGAAAGCCTCCTCCCCAGTTGCGGATCTAGATCTGGTGTCGAAACATCTCGGTGGCGTCGCGTATTCCTCGGGGTCGGACGTAAGGACACTGCTCGGCTGGGTGCATAGTCGGAGGAAGCATCCTCGTCTTCTGAAGTATCGGAGTCAGAAGAGAAAAAGCCATCGCCCTCCGGCGAACCCACTTCTGGCGAATGTATCGAGGCAGAAGCTGACGTGGTAACCGAGCGCGAGTCTGAAGGTGATCTCACCTCTCGAGCTGTTCGGCAGAAGTCTGGTCTCTCCAAGGCAGCTCTGACGATATCATGGTCACCGCTGATAGTGAACTCGCATATCTCCATCATCTCTCGCAATAGTCGGTCGGGAGAGCTCTGGTACGCCGTCAAGACATCCGTCGTGATGGACTTTGCAAATCTAACAAGCATGTCCGAGATGTAGACGGTGAACGAGGGGCCGCAATTCGCGACCTGCCGGTGAGTCTCCCTCCGGAGACAGAGCTCGTGCCACCGATCAACTGCCTGGCTGAGCTCCAAATTCATGGATGATGACTCTGGCGGAGATCCGAGTCGGTGGAGCTCCCCGCGAAGTCGACGGTCCAGAACGAGATCACCCACCTCCTGGCTTGCCCGCTGCCAACTGAAGTGAAGCTCTGGGTAGCTTCTGTGAAATGTGTCGCTGACGGCCATCCAAAAGGGCTCATCTAGGCTTCCAGGATGCTGCGCCAAGGCAAGAAACTGGTCCTCCTTTTCCATGCAGTACTTGATCAACACTAAATGCTGCTCGGGTGTAAGTCGCTGATCGATGCTGGTCTCAGAGCTTATGGTGGTAGCTTCGGTAGCGGCACGTGCATTCTCAAGAGTCCTGGAGGCCATGCGTCCTTGGAACTAGATCGAGGAAGATGTCAGTCAGGTTCCCATGCATTTGAATGCTGTTCAATACTCACATCACCACGGCTAGATGCCTGGGTGGACTCTGGAGCGGGGAGCTGATTGCATGTGGCCTTCTCGGACGGCGCAACTCCGCTCTTCGACCGAGAAGGGGTGTCAAGCGCGATCGTGTGCTTTTCTTTTGCAGACGGAGGCTGCCTTGACTTTGCTCGGTCAGAGCAGATATCCCTTCCCAGGCCAACCGGCGGCATCTTGACCGGACTGACCGAGGGGCTCTTCTCAATTGATGGAATCGCGACGGATCGATCGCGAAGTCCACGAAGAGGAGGAGACCTAGTGACCGCCAGCGGGGAGGAGGTCTGACTCCAGGACGAGGAAGCCGGAAACCCACGGGGCTTGCTCTGCTTCTGCAGCCGCTCAATCGCCCTCGACGCCTGCGTCTTTGCGTTCAGTCTGCGCGAGGACGGTGCGATGGCCGCCAACGGTCTGGAAGCCGGTCTTGCTGGAGATATGGGCACGGCATAGATGTCCCGCACTGATGAAGTAGACTGTGAAGCCGGGGTCTGATACTGCTGGGGACCAGTGTTCTTCTTCACCGAGGTGTTTGGGAGCGGGAATGAACGTCCTTCACCTTCACGAGGAGGGCGAGAGGACGATGGGCAGGGAGCTGTTCCGACCGTGTTGGTGACGGCCGCAAGGGGCTTCGCGAGTGATCTGATATCGAGAGTCTGGGTGTGTGTGTCCTTGTCAGTAAGGTAAAAGTCCTCCCCTCCTGGACACAACACTTACACGTCTTTTCTTTTGGTCCCCACTCGACTCACGTCGCGGTCGCTTCTTGGATCCGGTTGAATGGCATGCCTCAATATGAGACCCTGTGATGCTCTCGCCCTTGACATGTAGTAATTCCGTGGGCGACATGCTCTTCCGTGGGCCAGCGCCGTCTAGTTCTGGCCATCTCCCACGTGCTCTCCGGCGCTGTATCTCTCGACGAATAGCCTGAGGCGTATCGCGAGACAGGCCGCTCTGCGCTCTGAGGGATGGCTCTCGTAGCTGCTGCTCCAGCCAGGCATTCCTTTGGCCACCACTACTAACGCTCTTGCGTGTCCCGCTGGGAAGAGCCAGAGTCGACGAGTATGTGCCTGCCTCGGGCGAAGGAGATGCCTTGATTAATGAGGACATGCCTTACGCCCTTTTGGTCATGAATGCAAGAGGAGCTTGTCAGCTTGGGATCAAGGGCTCGATTGGATACTCCTCACGAGGAGCCAATATTGAAAGAAAAGACGCCACCCTCCAACAGCACATGCTCTTTGCACGCGAAGTAAGACGGGGCCCTGACGCAGAGACATCGGGACATGGGGATTTCACATTCACGTTTTTAGCTACACAAAATTATCCAGAGCTGCAGAAATAAAACCCCGGGTCAGGGCTAGGGCATCGGCATGCTCTCGGACTGTGCTCTGGGACAAGTCACAGCTGGTCATCATCTGCAGCAAGCCGCGGAGTTAAAGGGGAAACTCGTTCCCAGCAACCCGGTGCCAGGTACCTCCCATACAGTGACTGAGATTGGGCAGCTTCTTTTGGACGACGATCAGGAGGTATTGCAGATTTCAATATGTATATTTGCTTTTTGGCGTCCAGGTTCATGGGACTGCGGCTGAGCGCGTGACCCCCCGGCCCTCGCTGCGCCGTGCGGGAGACCGGGATCAACGGACCGGACCTAGAAATGCACGGTTACGGTTTCCGGTGTCGGGAAAAGGGGGTTTCCAAAAACTCATGGCCATTCCCTGTCTGCTAAAAAGCAATTTGCAGAAAGACTTTTCCACTTTGTTGAGATCCGGCCTCGAGAGCGTCCTGAGTTGGAATGACCCAAGCGCATGCCTGCTATCCCCAGACTCTTTATGAAACTGCGTAAAAGTAAAGGATTATGCAAGATCTGTGTGTGCATGTTCGCCATAACTTTTTCATTGAACGTCAAGATTACGTTTGATTCCTGTCTAATCGTTCCCTTTTGACACCGATGCAAATGGCCGTGATTTACTGGACAACCTCCTCCGACTCCTCGAGCACCTCTTCGACAATCTCCTCGATGACCTTCTCCTCTTCTCCTTGGCTGACGGCCGCAGTCTTGGCCTTGATCAGATCCTCCACAGGGTTCTCGGGCAGGCCCATGGCCTCGCGCTCCTCATCCAGCTCCTCGTCGACCGACTCGCGCCAAGCGTACCATTCGTTGAGGAGGCGGCGGCGCCGGTCCACAACCTCCTGGTCGGCACCAGCGATGCGCTCGGCATCCTCTTGCTCGAACACGCGCGAGTACTCGCGGAGGTTCTTTCGGACAGCCTTCTGCTCCTCCTTAGTCAACAGGCTGGCGGGCCGGGGTCGCCACTGCCACTGCTTGAACTTCTCGATGTGATCCTCCCGTAGTTGCTCGCCCTTGAAGTCGTACAGGTGATAACCATTTTCCATCTACAAATCGCATTGTTAGCGTCAATCAAAACAATCAAAACAATTACAGAAGAGATCCCAAGTGGGGGATAGGTCATGGACGACTTACGCTGTGCTTCCATGCCGAGGCCCAGGTGGCAACGAAACGTCCAGAGGGGTCCCACTCGATGTCGGTGACTCCGTAGTGATCGGCGGTGTTCATGAGCTGCAGGTTGGCAGTCAGGTCCTTGTCTGCCTCGGGCTTCTCGCCCTCAAAGTCGAGGTCGTAGAACTCGAGCTCGGAGCTCTGCTGGTTGTGGACGGTAGCGATCACAACAAAGCGACCCCTTGGCGACCAGTAGATAGCGTTGCTGTTCTTCTTGTCGAGCGTTCGGAGGTGCTTGAAATTGCCAACCGCATTGCCCTTTGCCTTCTCGGGGCAGAAGAAGGATACTGAAGTCTTGGGAGGAACGGCGGTGGCACCGACCGGCTCGGTGGTGGTGATAATGACGAAGCGGTCTCCCTTGGGCTCCCATGCGAAGTTGATGACGGTGTCTTTGATGGTGTCAACAACCTCGACTGGGACACCCTTCTCCTTGACGCGGAAGATCTCAAGCGTTGTCGCTTGCGACTTCTTGGACTTTGAATGCCTGTCCACCTTGACGCACAGGTATGCGGCATCTGACTGCCAGTGCAGCTTGGCATCGCTGACGCTGAAGAGGTTCAACGTACGGACAATCTGCTTCGAAGGGATGCTCATCAGGCCGACCTTGGCCGGATTGCTGCCGATTTCAGGGGTCCAGTAGCAGAAGAGTTGCTCGTAGGTCTTGACTCCCTCCCGCTGGGGCTTTGCCGGTGCCCACTCAAAGTCCATCACACCCTCGATCTTGATGCTGGTCTTGTCGAGCAGGTTCATGCGAGGAAGCTCATAGACGGAGATGGACTGGCCCTGGGTCGACCGAGCGACATATTTATCATCGCTCGACCACTTGAACGCGGGCCACGGCAGCTTGCGCGGGGGCTTCGGTGCGCCTTGCTCATCAACACCGGCGGGGATATCGATGTTGGCGAAGGATCGGAGGGGCTTTCCAGTGGCGATGTCCCAGATAACGTAGTTCTTTCCATCATCGTCGAGCGAGAGAGCGGGGTGGCCTTCCTCTGGGATGGCGATGGGCCGGTTTGACCAAGTGACAAGGTAGTTTTCGAGGGGGGAGAAGGCCACAAGGTTGACGAAGGGGTGGGGAAATCGTCCCAGACGATCCCACTTGGGGCCACCCCAGAGCTGGACACCCTGGATGTGGACTGAGGTAAGGTAGGTGCCGAGGGGCGACCACTGGACGAAACTCTCGGTCCAGTTGGGGCGGTCGACTACGTTTTCCGGGTTGTCCTTCTCGTTGTTCCAGAACACACCGACCTGGTCGCCACGGTACATCACGAACTGGTCTCGGCCACGGCCCGAGGGGTCTGCCATGTATGAACGCAGGTGGTCCGTGGGTGTGAACTCCTCGATCTTTGGCGGGTGGTACTCCTCGTCGACGCGGCCCTCGCGACCATAGCGGTCGATATCCATGAGCTTGTTGACGCGAAGGGTGTGCTTCTTGTCGAGGGGAACCATGTCGAGTTGCCTGACGGCGGCAGCAGCCTCTGCGGGGGACGAGTACTCAACAAACGCGAATCTATGGAAGGAAGTCAGTCAGAAACTGGAATCCTACCAAGCTGTGCCTGTCTCGCACGAGAAGAGACGTCGCTCAAACATACCTCAGGGACTTGCCATCCGGGCCCATGGGCATCTCAACCATATCCTCCCGCGTCCTGCCGACCGTGTTGAGCTTCTTGAGCAGGAACTTGAGCAGCTTGGGCTTCTGCTCCTCGTTGACCTCGGGAAGGCCGTCGATAACGACAAAGGTGTCGAAGCCCTGCTCGAGCTGCACCTCGTACTTGTCGCGCAGGTCCGAGATATCCACCTCATCCTCGTCGAACTCGTCCTCGTCGAGGTCGGCCTCGCGCAGGTGATCAAATGACGGAGCCATATTGGGCGTCTGGGAGAATCGCGGGTGCTGCGATTTTCTGTAGGGGTTGGCAAGACGCTGCTTTGTTGCGAGTGGTGCAATCCCGCGATGCGACCTGCAAAGGGACGAAGTTTTGTGCGGATGTGGGGTTGTTGAAAAAATGCCCCGCTAAGATCTGGTGCTGGCTGTAGGCGGAAAAAAAAAGTTGGAAGGGAGAAAGTTCAAGGGCACAAGTCGCAGAAAACCCGAGAGTTCTGCGCACTCGACAATGCAGAGAGGGCAGTAGATGAATCTAGTCTCCTATAATCCCAGAGGATCAGCTCTATACGGGCCAGATTGGTGTCGAGACTCGAAATATCCAGGCTACCGCGATGTTTTGACTGCAGGAGGGTGATTTTTGGCACATTGATGCTGCAATGTGTGGGACGGAGGCTAGGATTTTCCCCCTCCGGCACCGAGTTCCCAGCCAGTCGCGGTCTGACATGGAACATTGAATTGAAGCTCGAAAATTAAACTGGGCCTGGCTGATGCTCGCACAGCCCAGGGATCAGGATTGGTAGATTCCACTGTATCCAACTCCCTGAAGAGCACTTTCGAGCACCCAAATTACCGTGTTACCGCCTAAGGAAATCCCCTAAATCAAAACTTAATCACACCCCCGGCCTGGTCGTAGACTGGACGGCCCAACCATTTTCCAGCTCCAACGAAGACTGCCCCCCATTCGCGCGGTGGATTATCAAAAAGTTCACGAACGAAAGCTCCAGGCAGCTCGACATCCGCTCTTCCAACCCGACCGAACAGGCTTTGATATCAGACCACCACTTGAGACAAGCCATACCTGGGACTCGAGGTAGCGGAAAGGATCATGGTACGTCTACACAAAGAACCTCGATCTCCGTCCGAATAAAAGTCAAGCTTCTAATGTCATGACAGTCTTCCTTCAGCCCCACCCAGATCTTCGATGAAGGCACCACCGAAGAGAAGGGCGAGAACGCCCGTCTCGCCGCCTTTGTCGGTGCCATTGCCGTCGGCGACCTAGTCAAGAGCACGCTGGGCCCCAAAGGCATGGACAAGATTCTGCAGTCTGCGTACGTGTGGCCCCTCCTCGACGACTTGCTTTCCGCCACGCACACATGTCGTGCTCACTTACTAACCTGGTGCCTTGCAGCTCAACTGGGGAGATCATGGTTACAAACGACGGAGCGACGATCCTAAAGTCTATCGCCCTGGACAACGCAGCTGCCAAAGTTCTAGTCAACATTTCAAAGGTGCAGGACGACGAGGTCGGTGACGGCACTACATCAGTCGCCGTGCTCGCGGCGGAGCTGCTGCGCGAGGCCGAGAAGCTGGTCGACAAGAAGATCCACCCCCAGACCATCATCGAGGGCTACCGGATAGCCAGCCAAGCCGCCCTGCAGGCTCTCGAACAGTCGGCCGTCGACCATAGCAAAGCTCCCGATGCATTCAAGAAGGACCTTCTGGCGATCGCCAGGACGACTCTGAGCTCCAAAGTTCTCGCACAAGACCGTGACCACTTCGCGAAGCTGGCATGCGAGGCGGTGCTCCGACTGAAGGGCTCCGCAGACTTGAGTCATATTCAGATCATCAAGAAGGCCGGTGGGAAGCTCAGCGATTCATACCTCGACGAGGGCTTCATCCTCGACAAGAAGATTGGTGTCAACCAGCCGAAGCGCCTTGAGAAGGCAAAGATTCTCGTCGCCAACACGTCGATGGACACAGACAAGGTCAAGATCTTCGGTGCACGCGTCAAGGTCGGCTCAACGAGCAAGCTGGCCGACCTAGAGAAGGCGGAGAAGGACAAGATGAAGGCCAAGGTCGAGAAGATCAAGGCGCATGGTATCAACTGCTTTATTAACCGACAGCTCATCTACAACTGGCCTGAGCAGCTATTCACCGACGCAGGGATCATGTCGATCGAGCACGCCGATTTCGACGGCATCGAGCGATTGGCTCTTGTCACTGGTGGAGAAATTGCATCGACTTTCGACCACCCGGAGCAGGTCAAGCTCGGACAGTGCGACCTGATTGAGGAGATCATCATTGGCGAGGATACCCTGATCAAGTTCTCTGGCGTCGCAGCTGGTCAAGCGTGCACGATTGTGCTCCGGGGAGCAACGGAGCAGCTTTTGGATGAGTCGGAGCGGAGTCTACACGATGCGCTGGCTGTGCTGTCTCAGACAGTCAAGGAGCCCAGAACTACCCTGGGCGGAGGATGCGCCGAGATGGTCATGGCCAAGGCGGTCGAGGGTGCCGCGACGCGAGTCGAGGGTAAGAGGCAGATGGCGGTCGCCTCGTTTGCCGTCGCGCTCCGTCAGCTGCCGACTATTCTGGCTGACAACGCGGGTCTCGACTCGGGCGACCTCGTTGCTCGGCTCCGCAAGGCCATCTACGACGGCATGACCACATATGGCCTCGATCTGATGTCGCCAGGTGGCGGCGTGGCGGATATGCGTGATTTGGGCGTTATTGAGAGCTACAAGCTGAAGAAGGCAGTGGTTTCTTCAGCCAGCGAAGCTGCTGAGGTAAGTCGAGCTTCACGAGAAGAATTTGCTGTCCCCAAATTTCCAATATCTTGTTTACTAACCTCGTGCTCCCTAGCTCCTCTTGCGCGTGGACGACATTATCCGGGCTGCGCCACGCCGGCGAGAGAGAATGTAGGCGAGGGGTGATATTCAGTGACGATGGAGCGAGCAAGGAGGGACGTCATGTACTATACCGCCGCATAGGACTCCAGCCGAGGTAGAGGTCTGGTGCAGTGGTGCTATGATTGGGGAAAATTTCTGCACTGGCGCACAGTCTATGGGATAGATGCTCTGCACGATACCGTGCGCAATGACAAGATCTCGTTGTACACACGAATTATCCTGTTTCGTATGAACCTGGCACTCAGTACCGCAAATGGAGCATGAGAGTTTGCATATCAGCATTCCTTGTGTACATACGGACAAGCACCTATCGCCATGGTCAGACTAACGATGATGCCAAGTTCTCAAACAAGCCCGATTTGCACTCCCTTGTGAATGCCTTCCTCCCTCCGATCGCCGGTTCAGAAGATGAATAGAGCAAAGAGCCATGTGAACATCAAACTTTGCGCCGGCCAATATGAAATGAGAAAGAACCAGACTCCGCTCGTCGCGCCATGTTGTCGATATCGTTCGTGTTCTTCGTAGCGCATTTGTGGCCTGCTTGAAATCGTCCAAGGCAAAAAGCGAGGAATGCCACGGCAGGAGCGAGCGCAGACCTCGCCCCCGAGACAGGATGAGGTGAGGTGAGGCCCGATCAACGGAAGCAGTTGAAGCGGCCGATGGAGAAGCGCCATGGCCCGCGGCGGACGCCGTGGCGGTCGGCTTGGACGCTGGTGCCGAAGTGGCGGCCGCCGAATCCCTTGCGGTAGAAGAAAGGCATCTCGGGATGCTGGGGGTTGGTCTTTGTTTCTCGGGTTGAAATGCTATGGGGAGAATATTAGCAAGGAATGGGCCCGAGAGGGAGGTTCGGCAAGATAGTAACGTACACAAGCAGTACCTTATGTTTGTCTTGTTGCAAAAGTGGTTATGTCAATATGGGTGATTTTTTGTGGTTGGCCAATATCTTGTCTTGTTTTTACGTGAAGATGGAGAACACTATTAGGAGGCAGCCTGTGTCGCCTTTTACATTCAAATTGCTATGGAGGGCAGAGAATAAACTGCCGGCGACAATCGCACATCCATCATTGCTACTGAAACGGGCGTTTTCCAAGCTTTTGGAGGGAGTGACGAGCCCAAGGTGCTGTGCAGGTTTGGAGGTGGGACTTGGCCTGCGTCATTGAGGCTCGTGGGTGTACAGGCTGTTAGGTACCTACCAAATGTACATGGACTTAGCGTGGGCACCCACCCAATATGCAGGTACCCCCCATCCGTGATCGAGCAAACTGTTTAAGTGTGGCGGGCATGCGCCACGACGCTGGCGTCAGGTCGGGGAAGCAGCCTTGAAGCCTCGGGAGCGTTGAGCTGCAGTGTAGCACGCCAAATGCTGGAGGAGAAGGAGAAGAAAAGCCTTGGTGTCATGTGGTCTACCTAGGTAGCTACCATAGGTACCTACTTGAGGTATAGGTACCGACAGGTAGTTGACGACACAGCCCGCAAAGCACAAAACCGTTGGCGACGATGATTCACCCACTTGTCCTTGTTGCTTGGTGGTAGGAGTCCGGGGAGAGCACGTGTCTGCGGGATGCAAGGTCTCACGGACCCCCCTCTCATGCGCTCATGGCACGGCATGCATCAGAGCAAAGATCAGATTGATGAAATGCACGACTGATAGATGGCTAGGCATGCATGCGTGCCGGGTCAAACCCAGGCGGCCTCTGTTTAAGCCACGGAGCGACCGCTGTACCGAATAGAGGACGGGTTGGCGGTTAAACCCGCGGGAGCATTGAGGAAGACTGAAGAGGAAGCACAATATTCAAGCGCGCGTCCAGATGCCACCGCTGATTGGATGTCGTGTCCGGAGAGAGACAAGTCTGTGAGAGTCCAAGTCTCTTCCTCCCATCCAAGCAATCCCTTCCACACGGGGGGCGCACACACACACACACACACAGCATTGGGACAAGCGGACTGGCAGGATGACAGGAAGCCCGGAATGTGGGCGGAGGAAGAGGAGAGCTTAATTTCCGATCTGCCAAGTGATGCGTGCATCTGGAAGATGATAAAGCACGCGATAGCGAGGACTTGATACGAGGCGAGATGATTCGACCAGGCCCACCCACCCATAATTTCCCAGAAAGCCTCAGCAGCTCGGAGAGCAAAAGAGGATCAGTTGAATCAGGAAACGAAGGACGAGTGCTTGATCCGTGGCCCCTGTTTTCGGGGCTGGCTGACTGGCTGGGCAGATCGCTGCCTCAGCGAATCGGCCACTAAAAAGACTAATTTGATAAGGTGTCAAGGGTGGGCATGTACCTCTAGTGGAGGTGCCTCTTGCGCTTCCAGGTTGCTTTGGGGGAAGCTGGTACCTAAAGTACCCAAAAGCTTACCTAGGTAGGTATCTCTGTATCTCTCTCAATCCGGAGGAGGAACAGCAGAAAGATCACCGACATGATGTGACGGGACGGGCCTGACAATGCATCGGACTTGCTTGAGCAACAAGATGCCCATCCCGGCTAATCTCGAGGTAGATCCCGCCCGTCATAACTGCGTATTCAAGGCATATAGCTATCGTTCATGTAGAATTAGATCATCAAAGCAAGGAAACGGTTCCCCGGTGCCACCATTTTGCCAGCTCACCAAGCTCGCCAGCAAGCCAAAACACACCGGCGCCCCCCAAGAAACAAGAAAGGAACCCAAAGCTTCCTTTTCCATATTAAGGGGTCCCGCAAATATCAAAAATCTCGATTGGCGTACCAGCTCCGCTCATGCCGGGAACCCACTCGTCTTGTTTTTCCCCCTTCAATTCTCTCCTCCACCACAGCACATCAGCGCTAACAAACGAGAAGAAAAAAAAAAGGGGTGGGCCAACAGCACATTCAGCACCCTCCATGAGGAACGCATTGATCCTGTTTTCGACTTGTACCTCTTTCTCTTCCCAGGGCACGACGATGCACGCCATAGGTACTCCGTACTTTGGTACAAGGCCCGAAGCTTTGCAGCAGCGACTCGAGGTTTGGTTCAACCTTGGAAGTTTATCACTGATTTCGATTGGTGCTTGGTGTGTGCCGTTGACTTGCAGCAACTTGGGAAAAGTAAAGAAAGTACCTAGCTAGTGACTTGGGCGTTGCCCCCATCCACATGCGTCAGCTCAGGTACCAGGAACGAGCGACTAGAGGTACCTACATTACCTTACCTTAGTTTAGCTGTTGTAGGCAGTTACAAGTACTTCCATTGCAGTCTCCCTCCCAGACCAGAGACCACCATCGCCAAGTTTCACCTTTTTCCATCCCCCTCTCTCCCCTTGCTCGACTCTCTCATCCCCCATCCCTACTACCGCTTCATTCACTCCACACACTCGTTTCTTCTTCTCGCGCACTACGACCTTCAACGACTACGCTCTACTACTGTTTCTGCTACTACTTCATACTATCCGTAATATTCACACAGCCGACTACAATACAAACAATCGTTTCAGGGCCTGTAGATACTAGCTCAGCCTCCCATGCCCGCTTAATTCGTCGTCGTCGTCGTCGTTTGTCTCTTCTTGTCTACTACCATAATCTTCGCTCGCTCCTTTCACGCTCGTTGCGCCCAAGCCAGACTCGCCATACTCCCCGATTCTTTCTAATTCATCACGATACCTCTCTTCATTACTGCTTCTCCGTTTCAGTCTCGCCAGTCCGCGCCAATTCGTGCCATACCAGCGGCTAGATCCTCGCGAGCAATCGGCATTCTGAGACACCCGTCAGGGGCTCCCTCTCGACCAAGCCACACACCAGCACCACCACGCTCCTCCCTGGAATTTACGCTTAATTCGAGCGACAGGGTCCTCCGACACGTCCCGCTTTCCTGATCGTCAACACGCTGCGGCCCCAGAGGAGACTGCCTGCTTGCTGCATTGCTTATTCTTCCTTTCTCTCGCGTGCGCCCTCGTTGTCCCCTCCGCAGCATCTCGGCACCCGTTTCTTGGGGAAATTGACCAGGGACGGCCGAGGCGAAACAATCTCGTCCCCTTCGGGTCAAGGTCCCAAGTCCCTGAGATCCGCAGCCCGCCCAGAGAGCGACAATCGCGACTAAATCCTCTTTGCTGGTCAAAACAAAAGCTTCTCCATACGTCCACCGCCTTCCCGAGACAAGAGCATGCAAACATGATGATCTACGAGCGTCCCGTTCACGACGTGATCGTCCCCAGTCCTGGCTCTCCGCCCGGCATGACCGCCTCCAAGTCTTCCAAGTCGTCCTCCTTCCACTCTCTCAGCTCCGATGACAACAGCGTCCTCGCCGACGCCAGCCACTTTGAGGAGATCGGCCTCGAAGACGACACCCTGCACTTTGAACACGGCACCGCCGACATCAAGTCTCCGACTCCCAACCGCTTCAGTCCGTCTTACCCGTCCGACCTCCGCGCGGCCTCGGCCAAGCATGTATCCCAGCGGCTGCCCTCGTCCCGGGACTTGGCCAGCAAGTCTCGGCCCCAACCTCAACCACAGCCCCAGCGAGACATCACGGCGGCACCTCGCAAGCGCCCTGCCTACCCAGGCCTCCAGAGCCATGTGCGCAACATCAACGTGCGCAGCACCAGCACCCATGCTCTCGTTCCCGACCCCCTTCCCATGAGGTCGCTCGGCCCTCGATCTTCGAGCACTCTGTCTTTCCGCCGCCGCCGCAGCCCGAGCCCAAACCTGTCACTCAGTCCCAGAGATCCCAACCTGGTCACAAAGCCGCGGAGGAGTAGTTGGCAATCCAACCGAGAGCGCAAGTCGGCTTTCCAGCTGGAACAGGAGTGTGACGAGGACGAGGGTGATGACATCCCAGAGGGGTTGATCCTCGACAACGTGCCCATTTCGCCTCGCCCTGCTTCCGAGCGTACTTTCAGCCAGCCCAGCTCAAAGGCAGCATCGCCGGAGAGGACGCCCAAGGAAAAGGTCCGGAGCGTTGGAAACGGTACTCCAGCTGTCGCTACAGCTCAGGGGTCGCTCAGGTCACCCTCTTGGAAATCCGACTCTGCCGCCAGTTCTGCCAAGTCTCCCACGAGCACCGACGGTATTCCACAGCTCAAGAGCCGTGCCAAGAGCTGGACTGCGGCCCTATCGGAGCTCAATGCGGAGGCCAAGGCGTTGACGGAGAAGCTGGAGGAACATGCCGATGAAATCGACCACAAGTCACAGCGGTCCAGCACCGGCTCCATGCCCGCCGTCCGCCGCTCCAACACCGACTCGTATGAGAGCAAACCGCGTCACAAGTCCGCCTTGGCAGAGCTGCCGCCCCTGAGGCGGACTAATATTATGATTGACCCGTTGCCCATCTCCAAGGAGAAGGAGGCCGTGCTGTCTCGAACTAGGCCATCCTGGCTTCCGCCCAAGGATCCTGCCGAGGAGCGACGCCACCTCAAGGAGTACCAAAAAATGATGGCCCACAGTGCTGAGGCGGACCGTAGGAGGGAAGCCGCCAAGCGGGCCAAGTCTGAGTGCCGAGACACAGCTGCCGACAGTCTCATGCAGATCTGGGAGCACGATATCGTTCCCCGGTGGAACGACGCGATCCGGGAGCGCCGGACCCGCGAGTTGTGGTGGCAAGGTATTGCGCCGCGGAGCCGGGGCCTGGTCTGGACACGTGCAATCGGAAACGATCTCGGCTTGACCGAGGCATCCTACAATGCTGCTCTGGGCAGGGCTCAGGAGGCCAAAACCCGAGTGAGTGCTGGCAACGGCTCCGAGGACGACATGGCGCACAATTCTTGGTTCGAGACCATCGGCAAGGACGCCGAGGAAAACACATGGAAGGATCTGAAGATTTTCCAGAAGGGTGGCCCGCTCCACCAGGGCCTCATCGATGTTCTTTCGGCATATGCCATGTACCGCAGCGACATCGGTTATGTCTCCGGATGCAATGTAAGTGTCTCAACAATACCAAACTGCTAGTGTGCGCAAGCTAACACGCTCTCGCAGACCATTGCGGCACTTCTCCTACTCAATCTCACGTCCCCAGCTGCCGCCTTCATCTCTCTCGCCAATCTGCTCAACAGGCCCCTTCCGCTCAGTTTCTATGCCTCGGACGCCGGCGCCAAGGCATCGGCCTACAATCTTCTGCTCCAGACACTGTCACACAAATCTACTGAGCTGCACGACCATCTCGTCAAGCTGCCTGAACACGATGCGGACCTCTATCTGGGCGACATCTTCACGAGCCTACTGACCGGGCATCTGGCCCTGGACGAAGCCACTCGTTTGTGGGACGTGTACGTCTTTGAAGGAGACGCCGTCCTCGTGCGTGCTGGTGTTGCCTTCCTTTTGCGCAAGGAGATGCATCTTCTCGGTACTAAGAGCATCGAGGAGGTCAGGGCTGTCCTTGTCGACTCCTCCTCCAAGCAGGAGGAGAGCACCCAACGCGTTGTCACGAGGCAGGGCGAGGAAGACCGCTGGATGCGGGCCGTGAGGGAAGCCGGCAAGGCATAAAGGTGGCCAGGGCGCGCGGTTTGGTCCCAAAAGACTACAAATCCGGCGTTGGGCATGCCATTCTCACCTGCCCAAGAGATGACCCTTGAACGACATGGGATGTTTGCATCGAAAAGCAAGAGAGGCCAGTTATCATACGCATCTATCACGACTCATCGGTGTCTGCATCTGACACCTACTTATTCCTAATTCATTTTAATGCCAAACCTACGCCGGCCGTGGCACGCTTTTCCTTGGGGCATCAGAAAGCAGAGCTCGGCGCGAATGGATGTATTTTCGCTGCATCGGGGGGGAGGATCTCTCTAGCCCGCTACGCATTTGCAAAACAAAATGCTTCCTGGCTTGTCTATTTTTCAGGATTGCAGCATTCAAGGCGTTCACCAAGTCGTCTCTCACAGAGGGGCAGGCATCATTCCATTTTTCATAGTATATACCTTTCGATTCTTGCATCGGACGTGGCGTCAACAACACCCGTCTTGGGCCATACTTCTTTTTTATTTACCTTGGGTTACTCTCTTCCCTTTGACGGGTTTCATGACATATAGACCGGTGGAGTTAATTTGTATTCGTGGATGTTGTGACTGGAAGCTAGTCCTGGACCAATATCATTCATTACCTGACCTGGATGTGCGCCTCCTTCCCCACCCCGTGCAAAGTGTCGTCTCAAATCGATGGGAGCTCTTAAGAAGATAAAGTGTAATGGCCAGAGTACCGCTTCCTGCGAGACTTTTTGGCCTTTTTGGGCGACTTGCCCTGCCGCGTCGGCACATGATTGAATCCATCCTGCTGAGAGGAAGTGAATACGGGCGTCGGCGCTTTTTCGCCGCTGTGGCCCGCGAGGGACGTGGAGGCAGAAGTGCAGTTGGCCTTGGCGAGGTATCCTCGGGCGATGCGCTGACGCGTCGTCTGCTCGTTCTCGTCGGCTGCGGTCGTCGGCGCCTTGCCGCGCTTCTTGTTGTCCCAGTGTCTTCGCCTCCTTCCCCGGCGGGACGGCGACACGTTCTTTGATCGGCTGGCACGCTTGGGAGGTGCTGCTGCTGGCTTGGACGGTAGTGGTCGCGGCGGTGGCTGCACGACCAACTGCTCTGGGTCTGCTGCCTCCGATTTGATCTTGGCGTCTAGCGTTGATGTTGCGGCCTTTGCGCTTCCGGACGTGGCTGTGGGTTTCTCTTCTTCTTCTTCTTCTTCCTCGTCCTTGTGCTCCTCTTCGTCCTCCTCGTAGTCATCGTCATCCTCCTCCTCTTCATCTTCGTCTTCGTCGTCCTCGCTCGACTCGCTATCGGATAACTCCCGCAGCTTCCGCTTCGCGCCTGCTCTCGTGCGGGTGGTGATCCACTGCCTCTTCTTAGGAGACCCCGAGTTGAGCCTCGTGTTGCGCGCCGTCACCTCATCGAGACTCAGGTCGCTCGCAGTCTCTACAACTCTCGCATCGTCTTCGTCGTCGCTCTGATACTCGCCTCCTGCAGTGCTGGAGAACTGCCCGGCGCCCCTGTTGGACGGCGGTGATTCAGGGATGACACTTGCTGTGTTGTCGTCGGGCTCCAAGCCGGCGGCACCGCTGAATGGAGGTTTGGTACGACCGCCGCTCGCTGTTGGTGCGGCCCTCTTCCCATAGGTGTTGGATTTCGCCTTCTTCTCTGCGGCCGGTGAGCCCGAGGGCCTGCTGCGGCTGAGAGGCATCGTGGCGGCCATCGCTACCGCCTTTCCCTCTCGGGGGCTGCCATAGCGCCGAATCTTTTCCCACTCGTAGTCGTCGATGTCGTCAGAGTCGGATGACAGGGCGATATAGTCGGGGGTATAGTCAAACCCGGAGGGTTTTGCTGAAGGGGCTTCCAATATGTTAGCAAGAACATGACAACGATCTGTTTTGCGCCTCATCACTTGGACTCACAGGGCTTGTGTATCGCAGTAGATTGATACAGTCCAGCTTTGCTGCTCACGTGGCCTAGACTGGCCAAAGGTGGTTGCGATGGTGGTGTCTGCTTGAAAGCATAGTTGCCGTGAAGGCTCTTGCGCTTCTCGTTCGCTTGGCCTTGCTCAGTTTTGATCTGGATCGTCGCACCACTCTGCTTGCCATGATGAGTAACGGGTTTCTCTTCCCCATCGCGTGCCAGAAACGTCTTTCTGTTGTCCTTGCTCGTGATGTCCTGCAGCGCGCGACATCCTTCACGTGGCGTCCTGGGCGTGGAAGGGGAATTGACGGCGGCTGGACTGGTGCCATTGGAGGGACTGCGCTTCAATGTGCCTTTGCCCAGTGGCGTGGCTTTCTTGATACTGGGAGGAGTGTCATCGTACACCGGGAGATCGTAGACATCGTAGATAGAAGTGTCAGCAGCGTGCGACGATGGTGAAGCGCCCTGCAACGCCGCGTTACTTGCCGTCCGGGGAGTAGTCTCGTCGCCATCCATTATGTCACGATGGCTTTTCGTGAAAGGCTGCAACGGCGATGATTCGTGTCCTGGTCTCGAACGATATGCGCTCATTCCGGCCTTGTCGTCGTCATAGGTAAGGCCATTGTTGCCCCCGTAGTGCACAATGCGATTGCCATCACTGCCCACGGTCGCGCCCCAACGCCCTCGACGTGTACGCATGCGCGAGTCCAGCAACCCTGCCCCTGGTGGCGGACCTCCAAGCCTGCTGACCGCTGGCGAGGCGCTCGTTGCTTTTTGTGATGCAATTTCCCGTCTCGGGGGCCTGCTCGGGGTGGCGGCATGGGTGCGGCCGGGGTGGCGCGGCGGCTGACTGCCGACCCCTGCAGCCGCAGCCCGAGCTGAAGGGTACCCCGGCGTCTGCTTGACCGGGGTCGCGGGTAGGGTGGTGGTGAGGAGAGCGGACGAAGCCGAAGAAGCAGAAGAAGGAGGACGACGGATAGGACGAGGCTGGGCCGCTCTCGGGAACACATAGACCGCCTCATCCCACCGCATCTGGGCGACTAATTCCCCACCCAAGCGCAACTCGGTGCCGTCTGCGTAGCGCAAAGATGCGTTGGCGACGAGGCTGTCGTGGACTTGTGTGTCGTCGGCCGCGAGCACGCGGCGAGTGACCTCGGCGAGCAAATCGGCAAAGGTTGAGGCGCGCGGAAGCCGGACGCGAAGCTGGTACTTGGGTGACATCGCTGTTGGACGGTCAAAGATATGTACCCTGACCGAGATGAAGGCTGATGGCGAGGACAGCCCGGCCGGGAGCTGGTCAGCCATGGTTCATCGAGTCGCTTGGTTCCGGAGGGGTGAGACGAGCAATATGCTGTTGTGGGTGATGTGTAGCAGATAGGATTGTGCCTGTAATTTGAAGAGAATTTAGAGACCCAAGTGATGCGTTGTTGAGCTTTTTGCTGATATTTCACTTTGAGTTTGCTTTCACATCAAGTTTTGACCTGCTTGACTCCCTCATTGCAGGGCACTCATGTGAAAAGGAGACAAAGCCCTGGAGGTTTGAAAAGGGAATTCGCACAGAGCAAGGCTGATATTCTTGCTTTGTAACTTGGAAAGTCTTACCTCATGCCACAACCACCACCCCAAAGTCACCCACGCGAGCTCCCGTCTTGGACATGCATGTAATTATGGTTCAAGTTCGGCACATTCCGCCACGGACGGAGCCGCCTGGGCTCCACCCGGGCCGGTCGGATGCCAAGACGGAAGAGAAAGCTCCAGTGATATCCAATAGCGAGAGCCGGATGTCGATGTATATAAATGCTTGGGACACTACCACTCCAGGTAGAGAAGCTGTGTTATAATGAATCTATCACTCCCGAAAGAACCTTCTTTCGGCACTCGAAAATACCATCGTCTCCGGGAACGGACATGACTCTTCAGGAAGTCCTCGATGCAGCCGCCCCATGCTCTCCTGCCCCAGGCGACTCCAGCTCTGCCGGTAGCTGCTCCTAATCTCGATGACCAGTCTCGAATCCCACACTAATATTTGTTCGGGATCTGGACTTACTACCCCAGTCAGCGGGCACGAGTCTTGACTGGCTTCACAGATAGATTTTTGGAAGCTTCGAAACCAAAATCTGAACCAGACTTTAGTCTCGATACAGCAGTCTCATGGCTTCTGCTTTCTGGTGATAAGACTGCACTTGAGATTGTAAGGCTCTTGTTGGTGACATCTTGGCCGCTGACGAGTCCTGTATTAGTGATATTGCCTTCGTAGATTCGCTATTGTATACATGTACTCGCACCGCCGCGGCCCTGCTGAGTGTACTTAGCATATTCGAAGCCGAACACGATTACAAGCACAAGAATTTCTTCAAATGTTGGGATTGCACTAGAGTAGTTTGACATTGAAATTTTCATCAAGCACAAAGCTACATATGCTGGTTGGTGTTGGCGGTGTATATCTCTAAAGAGGTCAGTCGTTCTAAAAGGCCGCAATGCATATCTTGTCGCCTCAGACACATGAGCCGCGCCGTCGGCCTTTTCCGCTCCGTTCCCTTTCCACCGCGAGTATGTTGTTGGTACATGAAAAGGGGACATGATGTTGAACATTAAGTATATCTTCCCCTGCCCTCGTGCTGTGTGTATGCAGTGTGCGCAGGCGAACCGCCTCGTCGCACACCCTGCCCGCCAAAAAAACGCCGTCAAGAGATGAGGTATGAGATCATGAGTATGGGATCCGGTGTTGGATGGAAGAATGAAGATGGAAAAGCATAAAAGAGGAGACGCTTTGACGATAATAAGAGAAACAAAAGCACGTCCAGTCCCGTTCTTTCGAATCGGACCATTACAGTCATCCCTCCCATATCATCTCGATCACATCATCCGGCTCCTCCAGCTCCTCATCTCCCTTGTGTACATAGACTTGCCTCAGGCCGCCGCCGCTGGCGAGGGGGCCCGAGTCGACGAGACGCCAGCTCTTCTTGTCCTGCTGGTCGATCTTGTCTCGCAGGGGCCCAATGTAGTACTCGAACTTGGGCCCGGGGTTCTGCCAGGTCTGCTCCATGCGCATCAGGTCATACTCTTGCAGGCCCTTGGCGTACTGGGTGATGGAGTAGCCATTGGCCAGGAGAGTGTCGCTGCCAAACTGGAAGCGTTGCAGGAAGCAGGCGCCGCAGAAGTGGGCGGCCTTGGCCATGCGGGCGACGGGAGCCCGGTACCAGCTCTTCCAGTGATGGAGGGAGAGCGGGCTCAAGCCGGCCTCGTAGAAACCCGAGACATCACCCATGAAGTCGTGCTGGTAAAGCCCGGGGACGAGGGTGAGCTTGGTGCGGGTATGGTCGTAGATGCAGTCCCGCAGGATGCAGTCGCCGGTCTGGAGGCGGGCCTCGACGAGGCAGCGCGGGATGTGGGGGACGAGCTCGTTGGCGAGAGACATGGAGAGGAAGGCGCCGGCGCCGCCAAAGGCCATGAAGCCCCACGAGTGCATGGCCTCGAAGTCCTCGGACAGCTGGCCCAGCCACATGCTCTTGGTGTGGTCGAAGCGATCGAGCGCCTCGCTGAGCGTGTACAGGGAGGGGAAGAAGGTGTCGTCATCGAGGATACCGAGCCACCTGGTCTGGTTGTCGGCAGCCTCGACCACGTCGGCAAGCATGGCGAAGTGGTTCTGGTCGACCTTGAGGGTCTTGTTGCGCGGCACGACAGCCTTGAGCTCGACATCTTGGGCGCGGTAGAGCTTCTCGAGAGCCCTTAGATCCTTGGCCGGCTCCCCCTCCTTCTCCGCGTCGACGACAACGGCCACCAGCTTGGAGCCGGAGCCTTTGAGCCAGTGAGCAAATGCGGGCAGAGAATCATTGACTCGCTCGTACGAGGTGGAGATGCCGAAGACGAGGTGGGGGTATTGGGCAGAAGGATAGGGCTTGGGAACCTGTAGTGAGATGGTCTCGCAGGGGGGCAGCTCGTCGTAGGTGCACGAGGTGAGGTTGATCGAGGCTGCTTGAGCGGGTATCAGAGAGGTGTTGAGCTTGGTGACGGCGTCGCGGTCGGTGTCGGAAGCGAGGACGGGCTCGACGCATTTGCGCGAGTAGCGGATGGTGTCAGAGAGGCCGAGGGTGCGATCGCGCAGCAGCTCGACCTCGGGGCGACATTGGTTGGGAGCCAGGTCGAGTCTCGCGGGCTCCTTAGGCGCGGGAGAGGTCGAGGGACTGGCTGCAGACTCTGCAGGCGTGGCAGGCGTGGCAGGCGTGGCGTGGTTCGTCGGGGCGGGCTTGTCTCCTCCGTTGATGACGTGGTAGAGGGTCGACTCTACGGCGCTGGCATGTCGTAACCGGATGGCGGCGAAGAGGAAGAGGCCGACGGCGACGAGGACGACCAGAGGGAGCGCCCTGTGGAAGCGATTTGGCACGAGCATGGCTGGCTATGGCATGACTCGGCTGTGTCTGGTACCGAAGATACGGAGTATGTGTTGGGCGAGGAGATGGAGGAGAGAGCAAAGGCGAGAGAACCGAGCTGTTGGTTCTTTCCTTTCGCCTTGGGGCTGATTCGCGAATGGAGGGCAGGGTTATCGGGGTGCTGGTCCGGCTCAGCGCTGAAGGGTGACGAGGAGAGTGCCGAGATAACAGAAACCGTAGTTACATGCAATCCAATGCACTGCAATGCGATCGCTCGCTGCTGGTATGTACTCCGTAAGGAGAGGCGCGCCTGTCCAAGGTCGGGAAGGGAGGAGACAAGGAGAAAGGGAATTGATATTCTGGCGATCTCTCTGGGCCAGTCCACCGGCTGGAGCGAGCAGGATAGAGAGCGAGACCAGCACAGCTTAGTCCCTTATTAGGTGCCTAGTACCTAGGTAGTGTCCCTGTATTCACCTGGACTGGACCCGTTGGTGTCGGTGGGGGGGCAATTCCAGATGGATCACTTCAATTTTTTTTCTTTCTTTTTTTATTTTATTTATCTGCGCTTGGGAAGGAGATAGGGACGCAAATCCTGGGCCAAGGATTGGTGTATCTTGATGTGGGTGGCGGTCAAATTAGGTGTGTCTTGGAGGCGTCGACGGGTCCTCGATGACAGAGGGGGGAGAGAAACGCCACCTGCACCAACAGAGGGACAGCTCATGAAGAAACAGGGATTGGTTTGGGGGACAAGAAGACAACCTATCGAACAAGCATGAAACAACCTTGAAAGAGGCAATCGATCACCGAATGGCCCTAATGAAATACAAGTAGTTAGACAGCGCTGCCTAACTGAAAATATGGAGCAGGCGGGTTGCCGTCGGTACAAGTTTCTTGGTAGTACTTGTAGGGGCGACAGGCAAGCGAGATCAATTGATGATCTCTGAAGTATTTTGTCCATCATTGATGTGTGCAGTCGTCGACTGATGAATTCAGTATGACACCGGACTTCTCCAAATCGAGGTGTTCTTTGTGGGCTTGCAAGTTTGCAGGTTGTCATTCATTCAATCTCCCGTCCATCCAATCTTCAAATCCATCTCGTCCATTCCCTCCACACGTGCTGGAGAGACAAAAAAAAAGAGGACCCAGGGCGGGCCATCCACCTGTGCCCCCACTGCAATGACGATGCGACAGGGGCCATCTGGCTCATCCGGCACCCCTGAATCACGCTCTGTCTGGCCTTTTTGCCCGCCGCCCGCTTGTCCGCTCGCGGGACCCGACGGCGAGGTTTGATATGTCTTGTCTCACTCAGTACATTTGCCCGTTGCGACACTGCCCTCCTCTGTGCGTCCGTCCACCGTCCAAGACATATACCTTGTACATACATACCTATCCGACACATGTTTCAGTTTCAGAGGGCCCTTTTGTCCACTTGTGGACTATCAAGGAAACTAAAAGTGATGTATCAATCAGATTGACAAGATGCAGATCATCTGGCCTTCTCACCACTGGACCTGATCTGGACCTGCATCGAGCCTCAAATCTCTGCCGCGCCGCTGCCTGCATCATGCAGTGTGACCAGTTGTGACAGCGCAGTGCAACACTCCGTGCTTTTCCCATCTGACATGTGCCAGCCTTCTCACGAATCAGCTCCAGCATCAGCGTCACACAGATCGGGCCTGGAATCCTGGACTGATGGCGTTTACACACCCTCTACCTCTACCTCTACCTCTCACTCGTACAAAGCTTAGTGCAAATCAAAGTACCTACATATATACCTTGCTTAACCCTGAGCTGTCGAACTGCATGCATTTAAAGCAAGACATCAATTGGGACAAATGATGTCACTCCCGCAAACCTGGCGTCAATTATCACCGATTGGTTCCTGGTTAAACCTCGCTTTCGCGTGCCCCTGGGTCGCTCTAGGTAGATCGAGCTGCCGTCTATACCCTGTATGTCTATGTCTTATAGGTAATGCGCCAGGTCGATGTGCCCTTCGCCGTCGAGGAGCGGAAAGAGGTTCAGCGCCCCCATCGTCGCCTGGTCCGCACCGTCTGCCTCAAAGGTCCCGCTCAGGAACGACAGATCCGGCGTCCGTGGGAACGGCGAGTCCGACATGGAAAACAGCGCCGAGCTAAAGTCGGCAAACGGCGACGCTGCCACCGCGCTTGCGGGGTCGTGTGCTGGAGCTGGAGTGCCCGCCACAGAGCCGACCTTGGGTCCTGTCCCGCTGTTCTCCATCATTCCACCCTGGCCTAGTGACGGGCCGTCTGCTGCTCCCACACCGCGTCGCGATGCAGCCGCCTGGCCCTGGTCTCGTGCCTCTGGCTCCAGGGGCACCAGCCCGAAGAGCTGCGACGAGCTCTCCGTCCGCCGTGACCGCTCCCGCAGCTCCGCCTTCTCCAGATGCTGCAGTGCCGTAGTGAGCAGCGACCGGCCGATGAGGGCGTACTGCCCGGCATGGGTGTCGCTCTTGGCAAAGTGCTCTAACGCCGTTATGGTCATCCGCGCGTACTTTTCCAGCACCCGCCCAAAGCCGCCCAGGAGACCGACTCCCAGCACAAGCGAGCAGGCGAAAAGCCAGGATCTATCAGAAAAATGGTGTGAGTATAGTATCAAGACATCTAATGGCAGCTTGAGGAGGCAAACGCGAGCATGTAGTACGCGACTTACACCAATACCGGCATGTGGCCCGTCACAATGCCCTGCTCGATGAGGTTGAGAACCGGATCCACCATCAGACTCGCCGCATCAATGCACGCGTCTGCGAGTCTCAGCTTTCCCGACACCAGGATCGCCCGGCCCAGCGGCGTGGTTGCAGGTTCCTCCTCCGACAGCCTCTGCCGTAGCTCGTACATGAGAAAGGGTCTAGACACCAGCATGACACCGTAGTAATACGAGGCCAGCGTCTGGCACGCACCGTTGATCTGCGCCACGTTCTCCTCGCGCGGCGGCAGAGCCATGGCTTGCTTGAGCTGCTGCAGCCATCGCGCGGACCACTCCCGCAGCTGCCTGGAGATTCCCTCGGTGAGCTGGAGAGAGATCTTGCGCCGCGAGTAGACCTCGAGCACGACGCACTCAATGATCAGAAAGATCTGGACGGAAGCGTTGAGCACGTCGTAGACCTCGTGCCCTTGTCCGTCCAGCGTCCGGTAAGGCACGGTGCAGTCAACGTCGGACGTGTTGGGCGGACGGCCCATAGACGTGCTGAGAAACAGGTCGACGATGCGGAGGCTCTTCCACAGCCGATCCCGCTGGCGGTGGATGTCTGCGCCGAACCGCGAGTTGACCTCGGTGCGGTGCACGCCAATCGAGTAGGCGGCCCGGACGGCGATGCCAAAGAAGAGAAAGGCGCCGTTGATCTGGCTCGTGGTGAGCATGTAAAGCGTAATGAGGACAAATGCCTGGACCGTGCCGACGCTGAGGTTGCCCCCCAGGCTGACCAAGGCGCGATCGCGCGCATATTCAAAGTACACCTGGGCGGCGTCCTCGTTGGTCTTCTGGCAGCCGATGGCCAGGACGAGATAGCCAATTGCCGTGGTGACCTCGTCATGTCGATGGCTCTGGGGGCCGATCCACACGGAGATGTCGCCGGCGAGGTGGACGTTGTCTACAAACAAATCCACCAGACCGGTGGTGGCGGTGAGATAAGCCAGTACGGCCGGCCGGACATGGCTGGGATCTACGGCGGGAGGCCCGAACTTGGAGTGCGAGGAGGGAGTGGCGTGCCGCGGCTGGGCATTTTCCAAGATGGAGAAGCGGCTTGTCTGCGGCGCAAAGGCGGCCGGGTCGACGCGCGAGGTGACGAGCTGGCGGACGGTCTGAAAGAAGGACAAGGGGGCGCAGTCGCCGATGAAGATGAGCTTCCCCTGCGCGTCGCACACGAGCCTGGCCTCGCGGGGCACCTCGGCCTCGTCGTGCTCCTCGGGCTGGGCGGCGACGGTGGAGCCGTCGTCATCGACGTCATCGTCCTGGCCGGGTCCCGGGCTCCCGGAATCGGCGTGGTGCCTGGCAGCCGGGTTGGTAGGGGGGCCGCGGAGGCGGGGACTTCCAAAGGCTGAGTTGGCGCCGCTACTGCTGGGGGGATGGGACCTCAGCGAGGATGACGAATGCGAGTTGATGCGCTCCGGGTGAGGATAGAACGGAGATGCGCCGGCGCTGTGGCCGATCCGGGGCCGGCGCCGTCGCCGCTGCACGGGCGGACTGTAATGACAAGCATGGCCGCGCTGGCGGCGGACGCAGAAGCTGCAGGGCGACTTGCCATCGCATTTGACTGTAGGCGTGTCAAGACGTCAGTAACAGAGAGAGAGACTGAGGCAGGGGGCGCGCAGGAAGCACGGCTGTAGCACATGTGCATCAGGTGTAAATAGGCAGCAGACGGCAGGCTGGCCAAATTGCACGAATGACATTTGGCTGGCCGGGATGAGGAGGAGGGGTGGGTGTGGCGGTGGTCTGCCTGGTGGGAGGTGATCCGGTTAAGTTGCACTTTCGTTCGGCTGATCTGCCACCCTTCTTTGCTTCCTTTCTTTTTTTGACCCTGACTGACCTTTGCGTGCCTTGCATGCGTCGCAGGCATTGGCGACACGGGCCCGCACCGGGTGAGGAGGCTCTTCAGCTGCCAGATCCATGGGCTGACCAGGCGGGTGGATGCGATCCTCTGCTCTCAATTGTCCGAGGCATTGGGTGCGGCGATGATGACAGCGAGCAGTATCGTGAGCGAGGCACTTGGGAGTCAGAGATGGCCTTTTGAGCATGAATCGAACCAACCAACCTGTCACGCGTCGGCGGATGAGGGAAAAGAGTGGATATTGATGCCAGCCAGTTCGGAGCTCTCTCCCGCCAGGCGGCCAGGGCCAGGGCGGGTGCGGTGCGTGCGCGCTGTAGGCCGGCGCTTGCCGCTAAGACCGCGAGTGCACTTACCGAACCCGCAATCATTCTTTGGCGCAGTCGTTAACTACCTAGGTATGTGGTTTACTTTTCCGGTTTAAATATGGCTCTGAGAATGATTTGTTTGACATCATCTACGATGCTCTTATGCATGTGCATTGTGAGAACTTGACAGCCCTGGAAGGATTGTGGCCATCGTTCGGGGCCTCCCAGCCTAAACACTTTGCATGCACCACCCACTCACTACCTAGGTACCTCTGATAAGGTTTCGCAGCAGTCTTTACAGGCGACCAGTGGACATGACGACGTGCTGTCAGGGCTGTCGAACTTCCTTTTAGCGGTGGTGCAGCACGTGCTGGACCTACCTACTTAAGGTACTTAGGTAGGTACAGTAGGTACCTCCCAGTCTGGCTTCTCGATGAATTGAAGCCGTGGACCTCCCAAAATCGGAGGGCCGAAATGCTCTGGTCAATAACTATGCCTGGCATAAAATATTCGACAAAAATGAAGTCATGGTGTCTGCATCTGTGAATTTCCCTGAAGTTGGTGATTGCATTCCTGTGCTAGGAGTCGAGCACTGAGGGCGAAGGGGATGGATGTGTTTGTTTGATAGACACGGCCGGCAATTCTTCACGTGCCCAGCTAGGCGACCTAACTACTTGTAGAACAGGAGCACCAATGCTGGACCAGACTGAGTTACGGCGGCCCAGACCCCTTGAGACGGCCGACATGGACGCGACGCCAATCCATTCTGTGGGGAAAGCTGGCAGGCTGGGTCCTGCCAGACCGCACCCAGGAACAGACCACCCCCGTGCCGTGATCGATGACTTTCATCATAAGGTGACGACAGATGCAGTCGGCAGAGCCTTTGTGTTCGCAGTAATTCTACGTGTTTCTTGCTCTTCTTCTTGCTTTGCGATCTCCTCTGGTAAGTGTCTCCCCTCCCATCTCCATGGTTTCCTGTCGCGCCCTTGTCCCCGTCATAGTCGTCGCGTTTTTGGTCGTCGAAGCGTGATGGCACTGATGGGGGCAGGTAGCGCCATCCCCAATCTCCATCGTCCATCCCATCGTCCCATCTTGGCCCTTCACCGTTTCCACCCCCTAGCAGGGATCAACAGGAGAGACAGACACACTGCACCGACGCTAATCATCTCGATAAAGAAAGTTTCAAAAACCCCAAAATAAAAGCACTGGGCCACTGCCAGTGAGATTCTTGGACCAAGCTCGACCACACCCCCGGATGCCACCCTTGTAGCTTCAATCTTCGCTTTCCCACAGGCTCCCCGTTACCCCTACTCTCCCCTAAAGCGAAAACCCGAGACCGACGAGGAGAGGCAGCTACGGGCGCGCAGGACCGAGACAGGACCGGGTGCGACTTTCAGGATACAGACGGCAGAGAACTCGCGACATACCTAGCCCTCCACTTCGACACTTCTCCGCCGATGAACCCCAGGATTTGATGGCAAACCCGACCATTGTTTCGCGAGTGGACCCACGATCTCGCCTCCCAGTTCGGCGCCGCTCTCGAATACCTTCATCATAAGTCCACCAAGGCTACGTACAGACACGGCACGCCTTCTCGGCGTCTTCTTTTCCTTGTCATAGGGTGAAGAGGAGGAGGGATGCAGCATGCAAAGGCAAAGCCCGACTCCCTGGGCCGGAAAGCCAAGGTGCGTCCCATCCGCGCAACACCGCGCGCTGCGCCCTGCTAGCCCCAACACGAGATGGAGAGACTGACTCTTCCTCTTCCTCTTCCGTAGCTCGTCAATTCGTACCAAGAGCTCCTCGAGTAAGTGCCCGACGATCATCCACCGCTCAGCCGCGTACCAACCCCTCGCGGACTGCCGCTTCTCGACGGATCTCGAGCTAACCCACCCGCGCACAGCGAATTCTCGAACAAGGACCTCAAGTCTGTCGGCAACTATACACTTGGACGCTTGATAGGCAAGGGATCATTTGGCAAGGTGTATCTGGCCTCCCATAAGCTCACCAATGGCTCCAAGGCAAGTCCTGCGCATCCGGCTTCCCTGCGGCCCGTTCCTAATGTCCTCTTCCTCTAGGTCGTTCTCAAGTCCGCCAAGAAGGACGATTCCAACCTCGCCCGAGAGATCCATCACCACCGACAATTCGTCCACCCACATATTGCGAGGCTATACGAGGTCATCGTCACGGAATCCCTGGTCTGGCTGGTGCTGGAGTACTGCCCAGGTTCGTCAGAGGCCTGACCTAGGAGGCTCGCATCCGATCCCCATGCTGATTTGCCAACAGGAGATGAATTGTACAACTATTTGCTGAAGCACGGCAAGCTCCCGGTCGATAAAGTACAAAAGACCTTCACGCAGCTCGTCGGCGCCGTCTCCTATGTTCACATGCAATCATGTGTTCATCGCGATCTCAAGCTCGAAAACATCCTCCTCGACAAACACGAAAATGTCAAGCTGGTCGACTTTGGTTTCACGAGGGAGTATGAAGGCAAGTCCAATTACTTGCAGACCTTTTGCGGCACCATTGCCTACTCGGCGCCCGAGATGCTCAAAGGCGAAAAGTATGCTGGAGAAAAGGTGGACATCTGGAGTTTGGGAGTTATTCTCTATGCTTTGCTTTGTGGCGAACTGCCCTTTGACGACGACGACGACAACGTAACGAGAACCAGGATCCTGTCCGAAGAACCAAGATACCCCGATCATATACCCCCAGATGCGCTGGCCCTTCTCAAGAAGCTCCTCTCAAAACGGCCCCTGCTGCGGCCTTCCCTGCCCGATATCCTCAACGACCCGTTTCTCTCCGAACATGCGCCCCAGCAGCAAATCGTCCTCAAGCTCCAACGACCCGCCCCCTTTTCGACACCGCTGGAGAAGGAGACCTTGCAGCGCATGCGAAGCGCCGGAGTCGATATTGACTCGGTCATCGAGTCTGTCCTCGCACAGAAATGCGACACCCTTGCTGGTTGGTGGACATTGCTGATCGAGAAGGAAGAGCGCAAACAGATACGCCGCGAGCGGAAGCGCAAGGAGAAGGAGCAAGAGCGTAGGAGCTCTCGGCGTCTGTCTGCCGCGTCCAGCCGGCTCGAGCGTCTGGCCACCGTCGGCGAGGAAGCCGGCTCGAACCAGTTTGTCAAACTCGGCGACCCACCGCTACCAAGGACGCGTGGTCGCAGCCAAAGACGGAGCGGTCATTACGACATGCGTATCGAGGACTTCCCCGGGCTCAAGGAGCTCGGCAAGATCAACGGGGCGTTAAGTCCAGATGCCGAACCCCCTACTCCCATCGATAAGGACTCTGTGCGTTCTGCAAGTTCCTCGCGACATCGTCGACCAATCCCGCCACCTAAAGAGGGTGTGCTTCGGAGCGCACGGTCGAGGGGATCCACGCTGCATCTCGTGACCACGAGCGACGCCCTCGGTGCGGTGCCTGAAGACCAGCAATACTCGGCGCCGCAGAAGGTCAGGAAGAAGCCTTCGCAAGTCATTATCGCACGCTGGAAAAATTGGACACACTGGTTCGTCGAGAACACCACCAGGCGGGCTAAAAGCGCCGGGAAACGCGGGAGCCTTTCTACCCCTAATCTTCTAGGCAAGATAGGCAGCGCCAAAGACAAGCACGCTGCCGATGCCACACCCCGCCCACAGACCAGCAAGTACCCGACCACGGCGGCTGCACCAGGCTCGTCCGCCAACACTTCCGGCCTCCCAAAGGGTGTCGTGGCAAATGGATACGCAAGCAAGGGAGCCGCCCAGGCCACGCATGATGCTACAGGCCAGCAAGGATCGGCGTCGAACGTGCTATCCACGCCCGCTCAGTCAATCCATAGGATGAAGACCACAAACTCGTACAAACGGCATTCCCTTTCACCCTCCCCTCTGACCCCGCGCTCCACCATCCGGCGGTCTTCTGCAGGCGCTGGGCTACGGGGTCGAAAGTCAACCTCTTCCTCGGTGTCCTCTATCCGCTCCATTCACCATCACCACCACTCGCATTCCAAGGCCTCTTCTACTAGCTCAAACGGCTCAGTATCTACTTCCATGTCCAAAAGTACGCTCCAGACTGCCCGTTCCCCTCATCATTCGGTCAAAGTTCTCCCTGCCACACCTACCGCCACCTCCTTCCCCGCCAATCTGCGCCTCGTCCGTGGCGCCGGCCCGCCTCTGAGCATTTTCAACGAGGGCATGCCCAGCAATGGCGGGTCCGGCGTACCGCAGGCGCCCGGGTCTCCCAATCCTTTCAACAGTCCCGGCGGGGGCTCATCCGTCCTGTTCGCGAAGCGCAAACGCAACATCTTCAAAGGGCCGATGTTAGGCTTCGGTGGGGGAAGTAGTAGTGGCAGTACTGGCCGGGGAGGCTCACATTCGCGATCAGCAAGTGCAAGCGGCTTGGGTCGGAGGTCTGGTGAGATCACCATTGCCGAAGAGGATGAAGAGGAAGAGGAAGGGGAAGACGGGGGGGATGAGGGTCATGCTGCCACTCAAGGTGATGATGCTCGCAATGAAGAAGACGAGGGCGAGGAGATCGAGGAGGTAGATTGCTTCACGCCTGTCATCAAGGGACCCGGGGAACATATCGAGGAGATTTACGAAGACGAGAGCCCAGATGCCAACGATGCGGCGAAGAAGAGCAAAGGCAAGGGCGTGGAAAGCGCGGCTGTCAGTCCCTTGACAACGGACAACACAGAGCATGTGGCTATGCCAACAGCACATTCTTGATGACCAAGGCTGCCTATCACCCTGTAACGATGGATGTCGACTAGCCTCAAAATGTCTGAAATGTACAAATAGATCGCTAGGGCGTTTAAGCGACTGTAATGATTAATTGTGATCTTCGAGATCCGAGTCAACAAGCATGGATATCTCTGCGAGCCTCCCTGGGAGCGCCCCAAAGACGGCAGGTAACCGCCTCCTTTGGCCGGCATATGTTGCCTCCATTTTCCGACCGAAGCGCTCCAAGCCGTTTTTGAAAGTCGAGAGGCTCTCAAAGAAGAGCGTCGAATCTCCAATCTCGCGGCTGTATATGACGATGCGAGACAGGATCACGATGGCATGGCCGAGCTGCACCCAGGCTGCATATGGCAGCACTGGGAGGACTGGATCATCGAGTTCGCAGATCTGGTTGATCAGCATGCCAGCCGCGTTCATGAGGGTCACCAGGCACCGGTCTCGCTGGCCGATGTCCGGGAAACACGCCGAGGTATTCGAAGGAGGAAGGGTAGGGTTCATCCAGTCATCCTGCCAGAACGCAGAAGGGTCGAACATCCGGTCGTCGAGGGCAATCTTGTACAGGTAAATTTGCAGCGATAAGTACGATATCCTCGTCAATGCTGGTTCGATTTGTCAATGAGTCTTTTTCTTTCACTGGTGCACCCTCTCAAGGGGAGGGAAGGTGGATGATGGCTACTGACACTGTTGGGCAAAATCTTGGTATGTATCCATGTGGACATCCTTGACCATGGTATCGAGCGACTGGAACGCGGCCATGACTGCTGCAGGCGACACGGGATCTGCATCGAGCAGTCCCCGGTAAAGGACCGACCTGATCGAGTCGGCGACCTGCTGCGTCCGGATGAGCTGGCTGAGGTAGACGTCCGAAGGGAGCTCGAGGGAGGACTGTAGGCTCTGGTGGCTCCATTGCAGCGACTTGCCAAACGTGAAGCCCGACACATCTTTGATGCAAGTCGAGGAACTACAGAGTCGGTCCCAGAGGTCAGCTCGTAATCTTCTGGGTCCGATCTCTGACATACGCACACTGAAGTGAGCCAAAAGAGTCCCAGCAACGCCCTGCTTTCTTCCAGGCTGCGGTGAGACGTGGGGGCTTGTCGATCAAATGTCGTCAAAGCCCCAAGCCCAGTTCTCGCTGTCCTCGTGGTAGGCGCTTCGTCGAGGCCCAGTTCGGCTGCCAAAGCAACACCGAGGTACAAGAGAGTGGACACCTGATATCCCGGGTGTATATGGAGGTGTTTCCTATATGCGGTGTTTGTTAGACAACGATAACCAGTAATAACTTTGCAGGTGAGGCAAAGAGTACCATGCAGCTAACACTAGGATTCCCTGGAGTATATCGAGGCTCTTCTCCTCTTGGATGACTATCCGCCGGCTCATCTCCTCGCGAAGGCTCTCTGAAAGTTTGAACTGCACAGCATCGTCCTGAAACCGAGTGACGACTTCAAGCGCTCTGTACAGCATTGGTCTCTCGGCCGAAAGTTGCTCTGGCGTCATTTCTGGAGGGACGATTACAAACGGAAGCAAGGGGCACATATCCTTTCGGTAACAGTTGAGCATCTCTTGGGCATCTCGGGGAGTAGGAGAGATGTCACCAGGAGTGGAGTATCCAAGAGAGCCCCTAGAGGCAACTTGTTGTCCAATGGTGAGGTATGTGTGTCCATTCTCATTGCGAGTTAGCGAAGACGACAACAGCCGCTCCAGGGACTCGATCTTGGACTGAAGACGGAGTATACTGCTGCTCCGAGTTTCAGCCAGTGGACCACTCAGAGACTCCTGCGGCTGGAGGACTTACCGCTCGCTAGATCCTCCACTGCGCCTCGGAGACTTTCGAGGTTCAACAACACACTCCCTACCCAGCCTCTCGCAGCTGATTTCGATCGTCAGAGCGACACCTCGCGATGAAGATGCTGAAGTGAGAGTACTTGCCGCTTGCACCGCGCCTGCCCAGCTACAGTCTCGCATTTTATCTTGGCTTTGAAACAGACAGTACAGGCCTTGAGGCCCTGGCCTGCAGTACCATCTAAAGTGTTCATGTTTGCAGATGGGTGAATTGGTTGGTCCATCCCACCATCAGGTTCTCGTTGTATTGGGGGAAATGTGGGGGGCAACCCGGGTTTTGTGTCTGACCCTGCCAAGTCAGCTCAGCCTCATTTGGTTTGTCACTCACCAGGATTGCGGATTCTGCGCGTCTCCTTATCCGGGCCAATTCAGACGCCTGTCTACCATCCGTCAGGCCCATACACATATTTCTCTCCTCTCCCTCTCCTTCTTTTGTTCTGTTTCATTCTGGCGCAACTTTCTGAATTCACAGGCAAAGCTCAAAGCCCACATTCATGGTGTTCCTTGACGCTATTAGAGAGGCGGAATGAACTTAAAAATTAACATTCTAGATAGGTAGGGAGGTATATTGGAATTCACCCCCCTATAGACTGTATGTAAATACGAGCTTTTGCCTCCTCCCCTTGGGACCGTAGAACCTGTACTACATTCAAACCCGGATGGCCTTATTATACTAGGCAGCATTCCGGGTTTGTACACCTAGATCAAGCATTATGAGTCTAAATGGGCGTTGTGTGCCTCGAGAACGCCCAGGAATACTTGCTCAAGAGTCATCCGGCTGACGCTATAATACTCTATCCCAAGCCTTGCGCTGAACATCTCAATGCACTCGAAAACGCCTGCTAAATGTGTTGTTACCGATTTACCATTGGTCGTGTTATCCGTGACCTCCCGAGATAGTTCGAACCGAATCTGTCCATACTTGGCGCCGTTCGCCTGCAGATGGGCTCCTGGGAACTGGTGGTGAATCCACCGTCGAATTTCACCCATGGTCGCATCACTAGCATGCGGTGCGTCTCGGTGAACGAGGTGGACAAGAAACCGGTCTGCGTATTGTGACCGCAGATCCTGGATTGTTCCACATGCCAACATCTTGCCGGCAACAATTCCAGCGCGTGTGGCGAGAGCGTCAGCCTCCTCCATCGAGTGCGTGGTCAGGATGAGCGATCGGCCGGGTGTGACTGAAGATAGGATGCGCCACATCAAGCGCATGCTCGCAGCATCCATACCAGACGATGGCTCATCAAGCACCAGCACGCTGGGATTGCCCATGAGTGCAATGCCAAGCGACAACTTCCGCTTATTTCCTCCAGAAAGTCCGTAGGCCACACGGTCCGCAAACTCTCGAAGCCCGAGCGAGGCGAGCACCACGTCTACGTTATGCGCCGGATCACTGACCCCACGGATTCGTGCGTAAAAGTCAAGATGCTCACGGACCGTCATCTTATCCAGAGGGTCGATTTGTGGGCAGACCCCGAGCTTGTGTCGGGCGTGAGAACGATGTCTTATCGCCGAGATACCTTCGACCAAGACCTCGCTCTTAGGGTTGCTCGGCAAAATGTCCCCTCGAATCATGGATATGCACGTTGTCTTTCCGGCTCCGTTGGGACCGAGCAAGGCAAAGCACTCGTTCTTTGGTGCGTTGAAGCTGACATCGTCGACGGCAAGATGGTGCTTGAACTGTTTCGTTAGACCGATGACCTCGAGACCGGTCTTGCAGGACGAGCGTGCTCCATGCGGCCCGGAAGCAGGCTCAAGCTCAAAAGCGTCCTGAGAAGAGGATTGTACCTTGCGCGTCCTTCTAAGCCATTGCTTTAATCCAACCCCGGAATCCTCGAGTAAGAGGATTGCAAAGAGCAAAAGAGACTGGAGGCAGAGATAGAGGATGGGTCCACCATAGACATCCATGGCCCCAGGGTACGGCGCAAGCTCGCGACCCCGGCATGTTATTCCGAACATGTTTAAGGCGAGGTAAAGCGCTCGCGCTAAATTGCAGACCGGAGAGACAGCACCAAGGACGTAGAAGGCGGTGGTTAGCGTTGCGCTTTGAGTGGCGGGATTGGTGTAGGTCAGCGTGACGAGATAGGTGACGAAGAAGACCAGAAACGACGCGCACTGTACGGCTGCGCAGAAAGCGAACGCCCCGAGTTGAGACTTGGCTCGAGATGACAGGGCATACGCGAACAGGGTCGCCGCTACGCCATACAGGAGCAGGATGAGAAACAGGTAACCTAGATAGTACCACACGCCTGTCACTGCTTGGAAGACAATAGCCGAGACGGAAGCGACAATCAAGGTGACCAAGAAGTCAAAGGCAAGGTAGGACAACCAGAGAGGTGTCACCGCTACGCCATTGCTGTACTGCATACTCCGAATCCCCCGTAAGCGTTCGGCTGTTGGATATAGGATTAGGAATGCTGGATACATCGCCATCGAGAACCCGGCGATGGCGACGAAAATAAGCAGGTCCCCGATGTTCGCAGTGAAAGGGACGTCGAGAGGCTGATAATCGCTTGCAATCGTGATGTTCAGTATCATCATGTCCAACAAGTTCTGCAAGATATGGCCATAGACGAGCGGTCCATCAGCGCGCCAGGCGAAGGTTGGCGAGTCTCCAAGAAAGAATCCGCCAGGCGTCAGGTTCCCCGCCTGTCGGCTTATTTCCAGGTTGAATTCTTGAAGCGTTTTGACGTATGTGACTGAGCCAGGCGGTGCGCTCGCTATTTGCGCACGAGCTGCTGCACTCAACTGGTCTTCCGGCCCAGTGACTAATCTGAAGGTTTGTGGAGATATTGATTCTGAGCCACTTGAACCGCTCAGCGTTGCAATATCAGGATTGCAACTTGCGGGCGAGACTTTCTTGAGAAAGAGCGTGGCACACCCGGCAGCAATCACGGGTAGTATGGTCGCGATCATATAGGGTGCGTAATTCCTTCGGAAGATCGTCAGACGCTTCATGAACATGATCCGACACTGCCGAGCAAGACTAGGCGGACGGCCACCGAAAAGCTCCTGGGTTCTTGGCAGGGGCTTAATGAAGCGGACATCGACCAATGGTGCCCTCGACTCTTGCGATGCACGGCCGCCTTCGGTTCCAGGACGATGTCCTGTATCCGCTGCCACATTCAGGAAAACCTCTTCGAGAGTTGGACTGCTGACTTCATACTCGCTTATGCCGTCGCCTTCTAGCCGCCTGAGAAACATTGCTGTCTCAGATGACGTTCCAGGGAAGTAGACAATTTCACCATCGGTATCCAAATGTGGAATGTCCTCATAACATGGCTGGTGTGATGCCACCGCTCTATGGTGGACATGAACTCGGTAGCCGTGTGTCATGCGCTGTTTGAGCTCTGCGGATGTTCCTTGCGCTCGGAGCGAGCCGCGAGACATGATGGCTATGCGGTCAGCCAGCACATCCGCCTCGTCCAAGAAGTGCGTGGTGAGTATGATGGTGCGGCGGTCCCTCTCAGAGAGCAAAATGTCCCAAAGCTTTCTTCTTGATAGTGGGTCGACGCCGGAAGAGACCTCGTCAACGCAACAAATGTCTGAGTCTCCGGAAAACATGAGGACTAGTTGCAACTTGCGCTTTTGTCCGCCGGAGAGATCTTTTGAACAAGTCTTGGCCTTGGCAGAGAGATCACATGCCTTGATTAACGACTGGATATCCTCCCGAGATGACTTGCCACTGACTCGCTTGATTCCATCGAAAATCTTGGCGTGCTCCTCGACAGTCAGTTCATCCCAAAGAACGTTCTTTTGTGGACAGTGGCCGGATCGGCCTTGAGATCCGGTGTAACTAAGTGAGATAACTCCAGAATCCAACGAGTGCATCCCGGCCACGGCGTCAAGGGTCGTCGATTTGCCGCTTCCGTTCGTGCCGAGCAAGACGGTGAGCTCGCCTCGGTAGACTTCAAGGCTGAGATTGTTGATGGCTGTAATAGTTGAAACAGCCGAACCCGTAGCGCGCGCGAGTAACCTCCGTATCAACGAAGGCCTGTATGTCTTCGTGCAGTTGCTCAGTCTGACAGCGACGGGAGAGTCCGGTGTGTTGAGTCTACGACTTGCAGACTTGGTACCATGCAGTGACCTCTCTACAGTAGCGGCGAGCAGCGGATAGAGAATCATATGCAGTACTGCAAAAGCCAAGAACGCAAAGATAGGCAGACTAAATCCCTGGTCTGGGGGCGACCGAAGTGCATCAGCTGCCGCCCCCACACGCTCCCAGCGCGCGATTGCAATGATGAGATAGATGTAGTTGGATGGGGGAAAGAGAAACGCCAGCACTCCAGTGACCCAAGTTGGAGCATCGCGGGCAACCTGGGCGATGATTGCCAGCACCAGGCTCGAGATGACAGCGGTGATACCGCTTAATTGAGCCTCCTTGAAGCAGCTCCCAGCCAAGAGGGCAAAGGACGTTAGAGATAAACCGCAAAAGAGGTTCGAAATAATGGACATGGCAATGGATGTCTTCGTAAATGCGATGGCCCCTAAGATGGCGCCCATCGCAATCCAACCAGGCGCATAGAGGAAGGCAAATGCCAAATGGTGAGATGCGAGGCGGGCTGCCTGTGGCTCCCACGGTCTTTTGTTTGCCATCATGACATCGAGCAATTGGGCCATTCCGGACTCGCGCTCCGCTGCCATGGCTCCTGTTAAGTGGTACAAAACACCGACCAAGGCGATATAGAACGCCACTGCCAGGATAGAAATGACATTGCCCATGTACCGGCTGTGGGCCTTCTCTTCCCGCTCTGCGTTTGTGAGGCTCGTAAAGGGGTAGTCGTATACGGTTGGCTCAGCTCCGCCGACAGATTCGTGCTGGGCGATGGCAAAATCGATCGCGTGCTGCAGTGGGAAGACGAAAAGTTGCGCGTCATTTGAGTCTGACTCGACATCGATGTTGAGCCCAAGAGCACCGTCGGCACGCATTGTATAGTTCCATATCCCCCCTGCCCCTTCGGAGGGCGACGAGTGGAATATGACAACAGCTATGCATCGAGACGATCCCTGTGATGAGCTACGGCATTCCGCCTGGAGGCTTCCCGCGCTGCGAAGTGTTTTGAACTCGACGTCCGTTACATTCAAAGGCTTAATCACGTTTGCGATCAAATGGTCGATAGCTCCATTGTCGAAACCGTTGTTCACGAACAGGACACGGTCCCTGGTGGCAGATATGGCGCTTAGAGCCTGGGACAGATTCGGTACTGGGTGTGACACTCCGATGCCGAATTGCGCTGACGGTGAAAGTAAGTTTCGGGAGAAAGCCCTGTTGTAGTCCAGTAAGTATTAGCTCATGGTCCGAGGATTGAGAGTTCGCGGCTTTGAAACAATGATCCCTTACAAAAGAACGACGAGAAGGACTGGCAGCAGGAAGGCGCGCAGCGGTGTTGAGAGCCATTGCCGGCGCAGGTTGATTGACAGATTCTTGGAGGTCAGCACCCGTACCTGACGTGCGAGTAAAGTCATTGGAAGTGGAATCAAGGGAATAGGAGCTAGAAAGATGACGCTGTAAAGATGCGACCTGTCGTAGGCCCCGTGAGTAGGAAAACCGAAATCGCCAGCAGTTTATGAACTGGTCAAAGACTGCAGGTCACTCTGAGCCAGACTTCTTGTAGAACGTCAACCAAGTTTGCAAAGAATAACACGACATGGCCACTCCTGGAAATTCTCAAGAAGGAAGTTGCAGCACTTCTGCTGCCCTTTTCAGGCGAAGTCGTTCAGGAGGCCGATCATCAGACCCGAGAGTGGATTCCCAAGCCACGGCTACGGTAATCCGAAAGTCCGTACCCACGTAATACATCCCCAACAACAAAGAACACAACGGGGCCATCGAAGCCCGAGATTTGCGAAAATTCCATCTTTGTTTTGTTTTTCTCTCCCTGGTGCAGACTTGGCGGTGTTTGATGTTGGAGGAATGACGCGACTTAAGACGCAAAGGCACATCTCCACTAACAAGAACATGAAGTGATCCTATCCTGGCAAGCTCACATCTGGGGTGGATGATTTCTCTACAGTTTGCGGAGAGCAATGGGAGTTGAGACACATGACCTGGAGGCCTCCGAGGACTTCGGTCTTGGGCCTGCTCGGACTTGCCTGTCAGGGGGGTATTTATAAAGTTGATGGTTTAAGTCCAGTTACATTTAATCATAGACGAAGGGGTACACATAAGGAGAGGAGGATCGTCAAAGCATGAAAATTGATTCATCAATAAATGCATCTATATATTCAAGGGATGAGAGATTCACAATGCGTGTCTGTATACATTAGGATATGATAAATGCCCATTGAAGGGCACTACCCAATGGCGGAAAGTTTCAGATGCCGTCATAACGTCTGTTCTGCTGATGTCTCACTGCGGCCTCCACGTAACCGACAAAGTTCTCCTCCGTCATGTAGGCCCATTCAGCTTCCTGCCAGCCTGCTTTCGTCTGCGGCGGCTGCCATCCTTCTGGGAGCGGTACGCCGTTGACTGTGGCGTTCCACTCTTCGGGCCACATACAGCGTGCCGAAAAGTGAGCGAGGCCCCGCATGCGTGCAACAGAACGGAAGCCTCGCATCTCGAAGAACGGCGGCATGATCTCCACGACGGCTGCCTCGGGTGGTAAGAAGAGCACATGTGTCATGGCAGCTCCATGGTGGCCGACCAGAACATCTGTTGACTGAACCAGTTTGACCTGCTCTTTCAGAGTGAGGTCTGCGAAATCGACGACGTTTATACTTGATTTGCGGTATTTAAGACGGAGGATCTCGACCCATCTATCGAGATCAATAAATTTGCGTGTGTCCTTTCGTTCAATAATAGTGATGGTGGGATCGACATGAATGTCGGAAGGAGCCCGCGGCGTCAACTCGAGGAATTTGTATACCCGACGAAGAAATGTGTCAAGGAGAAACTGTGTCCTACAGGTTTCGTGGTATACAGACTCCAACAAGGCGGTCCAGAAGGGACTGCTTGACCCGGCAAGCGGCAGGATCACATTTCTGAAGCATGTTCCCGGTGGGATAGCACTTCGACGGATCGGTGGATTCCCTGTAACCATCTTCCACCAGTCGTCGTAGATCTCTTCTCGGTCGTCCTCGAAGACGACCTGGACCGAACTGGCGTCTGTCTCGCCCAGCCATGGCTTGCTGGTCTCGGGGTTGATAGCCATTTGCAAGGCATCCATTGTGAGCATTGCCTGCCACGGCTCCATCAACTTGTGCCAGATGTTCCTGTTCTGTTCTCTACGAGCGAGGAGGATCCAGCTCGGATCATCCACGGTCTTGGAACAGTTGTTGTCTTTTCTTGCATCGAAATCCCACTCTTTGAACTGTGTGCCGATACCAGTCTCGAACCAGTATATACCCATCTTGTCCAAGGGAGGGAATGCGTTCCCCTGTTCTGGAGTACCAGCCACATCTTGTGAAGGCAGCCGAGGGTCGCATTGTACGGTGAAGGTGTTGGCTGTCACAAGGTTCGATGCAGAGCTGGGCGGATTGTACAGGACCCCTCTTGCGATACACATTGGATCCTTCTGCCAGTCGCTCGTCCACGGCGTCCCTAATCTTGGCGCTTCGAAGCACTGTATCTGCCCCGGTGATCTCGCATCACAATACGAGTGCTGGTGCGTCGCGATATGGGTAAGGTATGAGCCACCATAAACTCTCTCGCAGTTCTTTTGGTCCTCAGACTCGTAGATGTAGTCGGGCGGAAAGGCTGGTTCAGTTATTTTGTCCGCAGTCCCTACGGTTGTGTTGTTACTGTGCCCAAGCCCAGGAGTCTTTCCCCAAATGTAGTCGTTGCCGTTGCGGTGCTGCCATGCCGGGGAGTACAGATAGGTCAGAAAAAGGGAGATAGCGAGACAGAATCCTGCCAGGAGGTATTTTCGTGACTGCCTTCCGAGGCCGGGCATCCTGTTCTGTTTCTGGTCGATGCCTTCCTCGTGAGACCAGACTGGGAAGATGCCTGGCATGTTGTTAGAGGCGACAACCTCGAGAGCTTTGCACTCGGCGAAAGGGAGGAGCACATATTCGATGAGAGCAGATGGCCCTCTCGAAGTTCATGATTAGGGGGGCGACCAGCCGCTGGCGGTTGCGAACCACGGCGGCGAATGACTGGAGCTTGCATAGTTGGGCGGTAAACTCCAGTCCTTCTTGCGCATGCTTGCCTTGCCAGCTTTTCAGCTTCACCCAAGGGCTCAATTATAGCAGTGGGGTAGAGTTGCATTGAGGGACCAACACCCCGACCTTCAGCCAATACTGCACAGACCTCGATGTCTGTTGGTTAGCTATCATTGGTGGGCGAGATTGGTGTTGCGTTTGAAGCGGTGTTGTTGGTTCTGATGTCCATAATGTCCATAGAGGGACCATGCTCATTTTCGCTTGTTGTCATTTGTCGCTCAGCGATATATTTTTGGCAGAAAATGAGAAGTGTTCCTTTTCTAAGCCTCCGCTCGCTCACCCAGGGTGGGCTGCCCGCTCAGCTACGAGATAACTGCATTTGCTTTCATCATTGCATGGCCCAATATTGCTTGGGTTCAGGCATGGCTTCCTTGCTTTTTGCCATCTTCTTCCGCGCTGCTATATGTGCTTCGGAACCCCAACCCCGCGAAGTCATCTGGTCAAAGCGATCGTACGGACCAGATGGGCCATGGCAGACCGTTCAAGTCGGCTTCGGAAGCCCTGGGCAAAACATTGACGTTTACCCAGCTGGCTCTTGGGAATCGTTGTTTTTCGCCCCCGAGATATGCAACGAACCAGAGTCTGGATCATTTTGCTTTGCTACAGAGGCGGGTATCTATGATCTCCTCAGATCAGATACTTATTACAAAGCGACACAAGCCGGCCCTGTCACCGATAAAACCTTCTACGGCACCCAGACACTTCACGGCGATGCACAATTCACCTTTGACACCTTGACTCTTCCTGGGACGGATATCATACATGATTATCTGCTCCCTAGCCACTCAACCATACTGGTGTCCAAAGGCTTCCGCATTCTCCCAAATGGCACAAGATATTCGGCGTCTGTAGGTAACCTGGCCCTTGGTGGCCCTCAAGCAAACATGTCATTCGGCCTCGACCCGAATGGGGTTCTCGCAAACGGAACCCTTCTCACCAACTACATGGCCAACACGAATGTCATTCCCTCGAGTTCCTACGGCCTGCATATCGGTTCGGCGAGCTTGAAGATACCCGGTTCTCTCTATCTTGGCGGTTATGATCAATTGCGCGTCGTGGGACCCGTGTCTGGCCAAAGCTACGGGCAGCATAACCTACCAATAGATCTTCTCGACATTAGTATTGGTGTCGCAGTTGGTCGGTCGCCTTTCAACTTTACTGTACTGTGTGGGCTGCTTGCCAAAGGCAATTCCTCGATTGAGCGCGGCCTGATGGTTGAGGTTGATGCCAAAGAGCCATATCTTTACCTGCCCAAGAGCACCTGCGCAGCGATCGCTCAGAATCTGCCTGTCACCTACTCACCAGACTTTGGACTGTATATTTGGAACACCAATGATCCGCAATACGAACGCATCGTCCGGTCTCCGGCCTATCTAGGATTCACCTTTCGCGCAAACAATTCTGTGACGCGCAACTTCACCATTAATGTCCCCTTTCACTTGCTGAACCTTAATCTCAGCAAACCGCTCAGCGACCGGCCGACCCCATACTTTCCTTGCAGTCTGCCAAACCTAGACACGTTTCGACTGGGCAGGGCATTCATGCAAGCGGCCTTTGTTTCAGTGAACTGGATGGACAATTTTCAGGGGCTGTGGTTTCTGGCCCAGGCTCCAGGTCCCAACCTAGCGCCAGCTCCTAGGGTTGTCACGATTGGCGCTGCGGCAGAAATATTGACACCGTCTGAAAATGAATGGGCACAAAGTTGGGAGGGCACCTGGAGTCCCATTGAGGAAGACGGACAGCGTCTCCAAACATCTACTCCCGTGCCGACCGCGACTTCGACCCCAGGCGTAACGAAATCGCAGAGTACTTCATCAGGCTTGATAGCAGGGGTAACTGTTGGGGTCGTGGTCTTCCTGGCAGGGCTAGGAGCCGGTTTACTTTTGTGGTGTAGGAAGAAAGAGACTCATGTCGATGTCAGACGTGATGACATCACCGGGGGTAATGACCTCCCGGAAGTTGATGAAAGGCATCATGTAAACCCCCAGAGGATGGGTCTGCTTGAGTATATGCACAAAAACCAGATGCAACTGCCTAGCGATTGCACTCCGGAACAAGCAGGTTCTGAGCTCCAGGGCTCGAATGTGATACAGCAATGTAGCTACCAGCCGGGAGATGGGATTGGAAGGCAGCCTATACGTTCCTTTGTCGAGTTGGATGGAGGAGGTGTTCAGCCTCGACCTTGAACCGCCGGTTGCTAATTGGACCACTTGTGAGCCCTGTGGCCTGTGAAAGTACAGGGAGCTCTTGGAAGTCCAGCATCCGAGTGCTCTAGTATGGCTTCTAGTGTAATTGTTGTTCTGCTTCGCTCAAGGGGATCGAATCGGTAACATTACAAATGTAATGATAATCAATAGCACGGTATCCTGGCCATTCTTTTAGAGTTGTTACCATGCAACTACTGGTTATATGATAGGCGAACAGCATGAATTCACGTGTGCTTGTTCAAGACGAGGCCGTCGGGCAACCTGAGGCGATCATTCACCATGTGGTAGAAATGAACTGTACAATTGAAGTGACACGTGAGGGCGAGGTAATCATTCAGTATTTCTCTGTTCATGTTGCTCTTGTGACACAACCCTATGCGTGTCCCAACCTTTCTGATCGTGACTAGCCTAGTTACGTGTTGTTTGATCCACCATGAAAGAAGAGAAGAACTTGTCGATGGACTCGTAATCACCGACTGGGCCGATATAAGACACGTACTGGTCGGGACGCAAGATAATCGCGCAGCCCTTATCCGGAGAGATGCCCAGGTATTCGTACAACTGGCCGTGTCCTTCATGGTAGGAATCATCATCCACGAAGATCTTGTTGTAATCCCACCCGTCAACTTCATCGTACGGACGCAGAACCTTAGGGAAATCGAAGACCGTGTAGTCAGTTCGTGGCCCAGCATGTACGGTGAGAACCTCAATAACAGAGTCATAACGGCCACCCTGCGGCGTAAAGCGTCGAAGAAATGACTGCGGTGCCCCGAGAGGCTCACACATCTTGGTCATCTCTTGTCGGCACTCAGGCAGACCCAGCCTGCCCACAAACAGCACGAGTCTCCACGTACCATTGCTTGGAAGACGCTCTTGGAAGTGCCATGGCCTTGCGTCGGATTGATTCAGTACCTTTGCACTTGGCATGCGCATTCCCAGTTTCACGTTAGTGGCAAGGGACTGGGCGGTTTGTACGGCCAGATCGGACTCGCTAGTGCCATTTTCCAAGGTGCCCGTGCTTGAAGGCTTGGCCACAATGATGCTCTTCCCATAGTCCACAGCTACCATGAATGTTAGAAGTAAGACCGGGGCCGAGGTGGCGCAGTTACGTACCAATACCGCTGGCAAACATGTTGCCCTTCTGGAAGGCATCCTTGAACTCCTCAAGACTCACGCCTTCCTCATCCATAACATCCTTTGCTGGACGACCAGAGAACAACCTGGAGAACTTGTGGTCGAAATTGATGAGGTCGTGGGCGATTTGACTCCTCTCCGCCTCATAGGTTTTGAGGATAGATCGATGCGAAGTACCCTTGACGACACTGGCAATTTTCCAGCCCAGATTATACGCTGTTACAAACACGTTAGGCCACTTTTTCTAAAAGTTCTTGCGACGGGCTGAGATACGAACCATCCTGCATGCTGACATTCATTCCTTGACCAGCTTTGGGGCTGGAAGAGAGCACCGGTGATATTAGTCAACATATTCTTCGTTTTGAATGCGTTTTGACGGTCACTTGGGCAGCCATACCTGTGAGTGTGAACAGCATCTCCGGCAAGGAAGATCCTCTCGTTGGCCGAGAAATGAGTCCCAACCCGCTGACCGATCTGGTATGCCGTCCACCAATCAAGTGTTCTGTACGTTAGCTTGTATGGCGCGATGATCTTTTGTGCCGCTTGAAGAATGAGCTCAGGATTGATCTTGGACCGGTCAGCCCTGGAGCTTGCCTCGCCGGTTTTCTCAGTGGTTGTCATCTGGATGTACAGCCGGACCAGCTTGTTTTCCCGTGGGATCACCATGATACTCCCGGAGTTGGCCGAATGAATAGCACATCGCATGCGGATGTCCGGGAAGTCGGTGATGGGCACAATATCGAGGACGCCCCAGATATAATCTGTCGATTCGCCCTCGAGAGAGAAACCAAGCTGTTTGCGCACCCAGGAATGGGCGCCATCTGCGCCGAGGACATACTTTGCTTTGACCGTTTCAACCGTGTTGGCCTTGCTGTTTAATTCGGCACCCCTGAGCAGCTCGGCAGTATCGTCCGCTGCGAGGTTGCTACGGAACAGTCCATCTTGCGCTACCACACCATTTGCGGAGGTTGCCACCTGCTTTGGAGTAGCCTCCTCCTCGGTCAGGTGGCGCAGCTTAATGGTGATGGGATATGCCTCGGGATCCTCCACGAGACTTGCATCCAACTCGAGGCTAGTAGGGAGGACCCCGCGCTCCACCCGGATGGGGCTGGTGCTCTCGATAGCATCCAGGAAGAAGCGCTCGATGCGCCCTTGATGGAGAACAACTTGCTGAAATCGACTGATGCCCGGGATCGTGTCCGGGATCCGACCGCTTCGCTGGATCTTGCCGGTCTCGTCCGGGTTCCAGAAGCATATTTCTAGCATGTGATTCGACTCGATCCAAGCGCGGTTCGCGAACCCAAACGAGTCGAAGATCTCGAGGGTGCGGCACTGAAGACCGTCGGCTTGCCCATTGAAGATCTGTCGTGAAAGAGGCTATGAGCAAAGGTTTGATAATGCACAGTGTCGGTGGTCCCTTACCTTGCTTCCGCGCTTATCCACGATGCGAGCTTTGACTCCGCACCTGGCCATCCACAAAGCCATCATCATACCTGCCGGACCGGCGCCGACGATGAGGACGTCGACATGGTCCACCGATTCCTTCGTGGTTGCTGGTTCCATGGTGTTAGGCCAATTATGCGACTAAAGATGGAACTGTTGGCCTGGGAAGAGTGTGATGGATAGGAGGAAAGAGGAGGGGGAAAGGACGGGTGGCCAGAGCCAGGCCCAGCTTTATATGTCAGGGTGCATTGGGTTTCATCAGTCCTGGCAAATCAGTATTTGCGGTTGAAAACACTCCATCCTGAGTGGTTGCTGTAAGAATGATCATATCGGACCCGAGGGAACACCCCGCATGCACATCTTCGGTGCTCTTGAACAGCTGGTATCCTAGTCTACTTTTGGTAAGATCCCGAGTGAAGCCTATTCCGATGCATCTCTCTAGAACAACGCTGCCGAAAATGGGCCCATTTCTTGGCCTTTCTTCGCCTTTGGACGTTTGGACTCTTGGTGGCCACATCCGAAAGAACGCTTTACGCTTCGGAAGCTAGGGGCGCCCCACCCGCCTGGCATCCGAAGCGCCATCGGATGCAGGGTCCCTCACCAGCAGGCAATCGACGAGTATTGGCGTGCTGACAAGGCCAGACAAACAAGCTTGCTGGGCGGCTCGTGACATTCTATATGCTCCATACAAAGGATCCTGACCCCGACCTAGCGGCCCGGAACATCTTTTCTCGTCTTCTAGGGAGTCGTCCTGTGAGACTGCGTGAATACCGAAGAAAGTTCCGAGGTGGAGGTATCCACATGGCAGCGAGCCTCGATCTGCAATGTACCCCACGGTTTTGCTCGGTTGCCCCATGTTGTGTAGACGGTTCACTTGCAACTGAGGGGTAAAACAAACGAAAGATAGTTGGTCCTGCTTGTCTAGCGCTATGTCACCCTGATGCCATTGGGGAAAAAACCACCTTTTCCCTTTCCGTGACCAACACGTTCCTATATACAAAAGTCTACATGTATTTCTAGATACCATCTTACAGGCAGTAGGCACTCCAGGCTAGAGCTAGCGGAACCCACCAAGCCCATATGCCGGTGGCATTCATCTGCTTGTAGGTGCCACTGGTAGGTCGGGGAGGGGATGTTGTAACTGGAGAAGTGGCTGATGTCGTGCTTGGCTGAATTGGGACACTCCGTTCACCTTGGCTTCCCCAAGTTCCCGCAATAATAGACTCATTGGATTTGGAATCCCGTTGCAGATACGGGGCAGCCGCCGACACTTGGAGCCCGTTGAGAGAAGCGTTGGTGCAACCACCCAGCTTACCAATTGAGGTCTTCATGTAGGGGACAAATAGCAGTGATGTGTTGAAGCCGGGATCGAACTTAAGGATTGGCGAATCGGTTGCAAAGAGCTCCTCTGTGTTGACAGATCCTTCGAGTTTGACAAAAGCGGTACGCGAGGTACTATTCGTTGCTTTGGAGTATCCGTCAGCCGCCAATCTGAAGATTGCGTCTCTTTCCTGTGAGTCGAGGCCAAGATGGGTGACATTGGTGATAAGCCTCGGGTCAATTGTGACGTGATATTTTTTCGGACCTGCGAATTTACAACGCGTCGTTGCAGTCTCTGGGCATTTTTGTTGATCCACCTTCTCGGAGAACCTGGTAGACCAATTTGAGTCACTCTCGGTCTCAGTTGTGATCTGCGCCCACTCGGTACAGACTGCCGCAGAAAGAGCTGCAAACGAGGTCAAAGCCCAGATGGTGACAAAGCCTCTCGCTAACAGGTTCCTGGTATGCATGGTGAATGGATGGTTTGATAATATTTGTTGCAAATTAATGTATATCTGGGTGTTGGCCTTATCCTGATCGTGGAAGATGGGAACTTGAGTATTGTGTTGCTTGTTATTCAGTCTGTGGATGGTCTCTGGCACCTATTTATCTTGCATGAAAAAAGAGCTTATGCTGCTGTGGCATTCGCATAGCCCCGATCCATCCCTATAATTATCCTTGCACCAAAATTAGTTGGTGGATTGCCGAATTAGTCAATTGTAGCTCCGCTTCGCCAGCTCGGACTAAAACTTCGCATCCAACTAGGCCAATTATGAAGATCTTATTGGCAAAGTTATGCTGTGGCTGTCCAGTCCCTGGTATGGTATGATGGAGGATTTCACTTGCTCCGCCCTCACAAACACCCCTGACGCCTTGACGCCTTGCGAGTAATACGAAGTGCTTATTTTATGCCATAGCAACGTTGTTCCGTGTATTGTAGATACAGCTAATCACCGCTGGTCTGACGTACCACCCATTCATATCTAATTCGATGCCCCTTTTCCTAAACTCGCGATCTCACCAGCCACAGCTTCGCCGAAACTTTTAGTCGTGCCATTCCCACCCATATCGCGAGTAACGACGTCTGGTTCAGATCTTGCCAAGACGTTCTCGATAGCCTTGAGCATGACAGCTGCCGCATCCTTATAACCAAAGTGCTCCAGCATCATTTGACCGGCCCAGATCATGCCAACCGGGTTCGCAAGCCCTTTGCCAGCGATATCTGGCGCACTGCCGTGGACAGGCTCGAATAGGCTTGGAAACTTGCCATCCGGATTGATGTTGCCCGACGGCGCGATGCCTATCGTGCCAGTGCAGGCAGGACCAAGATCAGACAGAATATCGCCAAAGAGGTTGCTGCCCACAATCACGTCGAACATGTTGGGTTTCTGCACAAAGTGTGCCGTGAGGATATCAATGTGATACTTGTCAAGCGCCACGTCGGGGTAGTTCTTGGCCATCTCCACCACCCGGGTATCCCAATAGGGCATCGTGATGCTGATGCCATTGCTCTTGGTGGCACTGGTCAAGCGTTTGCGAGGGCGGCTCTGCGCAAGCTCGAAAGCGTACCGGAGCACCCTGTCAACGCCGACCCGTGTCATGACGGTCTCTTGGATAACGGTTTCTCGGTCCGTCCCTTCAAAAATCTTGCCGCCGATGCTGCTGTATTCGCCCTCTGTGTTTTCGCGGACGATCCAGAAATCAATGTCTCCTGGTTTGCGCCCAGCCAAGGGACAGCGAACCCCGGGCATCAACCGACATGGCCGCAGATTGATGTACTGATCGAACTCACGGCGAAACTTCAGCAAACTGCCCCAGAGGCTGACGTCGTCAGGCACAATGTCGGGCATCCCAACCGCGCCGAAATAGATGGCGTCGAAGGGAAGGAGGGTTTTCTTCCAGTCGTCGGGCATCATCGCGCCGTGCTTCTGATAATAATCGCAGCTGGCGAAATCAAAGCTCTCGAACTGTAAGGGGATGTCGAAAATGCTAGCAACGGTTTTGAGGCATTGCACGCCATAGGGCATGACCTCCACCCCGATGCCGTCACCAGGAACGACAGCTATCTTAAGTGGTGCTCGCGTCATATCGAGTTGTCGATGTACTGCTGCGCAGCTCAAGAGGAAATGTTGCTAAGCAGGAACAAGTATACAATACAATCTGCCTTAAAACGCGTGCCTGGTGAGTGATGTTGGGGAAGGAGAGGGCAAATCATCTGGGAAATTCCTGGAAGATATTGGATCAGTTGTCGTCGCTGATCAAGTGTCGGGTGTGGAGTCCAAACGCGGGGCCACCAATGCGGCAGAATTAACAGCCGATCTGTGCTTCGTCGACCCAGCGCCGACATCGCAGGCGTGAGGAAGATTCCGGGCGACGAGGGCTCCTGTCATGATGTCCTAGATTACTAGCTGAGCAGTCTCTGTACTGATGTCTTATCGGGCATGTGAATTATGGTTGCCCTTCGGCGGCGGATCCTAGCGTACGGCATTGACTAAGTGTTGCTTGGGACAGTCACTTTAGTACTCTTCTGAGGATTTGTTTTCTCGGCTTATGCAATTATCTTTCAAGGATGATTTGCGACTAAGGTGAAGAATGAACTATTAGATTTAATACCAGAGCAGAATCTGACTATACCAAGAACTCTCGTATTGAGGAAACAATATCTTGAGGTGCCTCCTCCGCGATGTAATGTCCCGAATCGATGCTGTGCCCAGTCACCGAAACGCCCTTCTTGGTCACGGACCGCCACTCCTTGACTGCGTCAAAACACCGCTCGATCACACCATGCTTGCCCCAAAGTACAAGAAGCGGGCATTGTACCAGTCTTCCCTCGGCCAGGTCTGTCCGGGCTTCGTCGAGGTCCAGGGTCGAGGATGCTCGATAGTCTTGACACATGCTGTGCACCGCAGCTGGATCCTCCAATACTTTGACATAGAATTCCCAACACTCTTGGTCAAAGATTTTGAGGCCGCCGGCCTGACGCCCTCCCATGAATAGCTCCGCAAAGGTTCTTGTGTTGGCCAGTATAAGTGATTCGGGCAGCGGCGCTTTTTGAATGAGAAAGAACCAGTGGAAATACGCCTTGGCGAATTCGAAATCGGTAGTTGTGTACATCGCCAGAGTAGGACAAATATCCAAGAGGATGGCTCTTTTCACACGTTGAGGATAGTCGACACAGAGCTTATGTGAGACACGCGCGCCGCGGTCGTGGGCACAAACGAAGAATGAGTCGAACCCGAGGCTATCCATCACTTCAATACAGTCTCGCGCCATGGCACTCTTCGCGTATGCGGCAACTGACTCCGGCTTCGAGGAATCACCATATCCTCGAAGGTCGATCATAACCACCGTGTACTGGTCTGTCAACTGTGGCGCGACCCGATGCCAGATGTGGCGGCTTTGAGGGAAGCCATGGATGAGCAGAAGGGGAGGCAGGGACGAGGAAGATGTATCGCCACTCTTCAGCCCATATATCGAGACGTCCAGATCCCGGTCTGTCGTCACTGTGAATGGCTCAAATCCCTCGAACATGACGATAAGAAATGGAAATGGTTGAAAGCGAGAGAGACAATAGCTTGAAGAAGGCTCAGCTTAGCAACTTTCCATCGCAGAGAAATGTTGAACAATAAATTGCTGTTAAGTAGGTATGGCATGTTAGCCATACCTAAACCCACCAAGTGCAAGTCTCATATTTCCACACATCATGCTCTGGCGCCAATGTGCTTCGGCATAACGTTTAGCCGTCGTGAATCTAAGCTTCGGCCTTGTTCTGGCGCGGCGTTTTGTTAAAAACGCGAATCTTTCCGATAATCCCATCCCCGGCCGAGAATGATCAAATACCCGATCAACAGACCAAGACTATCCAGGCTGGCTAGTATTGCCAGAGATATCTCCCTGTCATTCGCATCGGCTAATCCTTGCTACATGGGAACGTCCTGCACGGTTGTTCATGCGCAAGCAATAGTGTGTGTCTCTTCATGTCGACCAACCGCGGACGCGCAGCTTGCAATGGGTGCCGCATTCGGAAACAGAAGGTGACAAAACAAATTCGAGGGAGTAATAGGACGTTTGAACGCCTGGAAGCTAATATGAACTACAGTGTGATGAACAAAAGTGCGCCCTCTTTATCACCCACTACAGCCCATCACACTAAAAACAATGTCCCGACAGGCCTACTTGCTCACGTTGTCGGGCTTTGAACCGACCATGTTCTTGGCCAAAGCAACACAAACGGTATGTAGCTGACAGCACTGTTGATCCAAAGATTTTTCATTACGCTAAAGCGGACAACAGTGGCCCAGCCAAGGGTTACGTTGGCGCGCTGGAACATAGACTTGAGGTGACGGAAAACACTCTTCTGCGCTTGCTGTCCGTTGTTAGCGATGACACCATAGAGGAAGCTTTCAGCCAAGACAGATTGCCTCCGCAGAGACACTGCCAGCCTCCTGCCGACGGTGCCGGCTTGACTGGAGATGGTGAGCCGAAGAAGATCAGTTACATGACCCGCTGGGAACAACTTCCCCTAGATACAGCGCCTAATGTTAGGCTTTGGGAATCATCAACACTTCGGCTTTCTAGTGGCAGCGCTGCCACGGACGTTCAAACAAACCAGTCCACCCGTGTTGCTGAGCCTGTCCTAATATTGCCCCAATCAGAGACGGGCGGCAGCACTGGACCATCCGAAAACCCTTTGATTATGGAGACGGAAGCAATAGGCAGCGGCTACGAGGATAATCGAGTCTCCTGTACCGATCCTGGCATATCTACAGATCTGATGTCAGGTCAAGCCAACAAGGAGGCGTACGTGGCGGTGTCGGAACCGGAACCAACCAGTGCCCAGCAACTGTTTCCGGTCAACAACTTTGGCTTAGAGCAAGATCCACAGGTAGAAACCCTTGCATTGCCACTTGATTTCCAACAACAGTACCTTTGGTAGTAGCTTTTAGAAGGAAGACAGATTAATCTAGCTTTGTGTGTATCTCCCCATCATGGTCCACTTTCAGTATCGACATCCAGCAACAAACCCCATGAAAACCATGTTTGCCATTTCAAGATCTCCAAGTCCATTTCGTCGCTTCGTGTCAAGAGCTTGTCGTGTTGCTTCACTAATATGCATACGCAAGCATGCTCTCCGGCTCGCTTCGGCGGAGCTTGCGATTCTCGGCCATAAGCCATATCCGGAGGATCCAAGCACAGATGATGGTTCCTGCGGCGAATCCAGCCTCACATCCCATAGCCATCACGTAGCCTGGCCCATCGCCGGTGCGATATAGATAAGGCGTGTAGATGTAGGATGCATTCGCCATCATGTTGACGAAACTGAGCGAAATTGCCTTCTTCTCCATGGTTTGGCCTAGAGTTGCAGACACCCATCCCAAGATGCACGAATTGACTGCATAGACGCCCACCGAGAAGCAGAAGCAGGCAATATACCGAGCAGCGACATTAAGGGTACATGCCGCAGTGATAAAACCGAGCAATGCAAGTCCCATGCCACCAGTGATGTGCCAGGTTCTTTCGTTATATCTGCCTGAGCTAAGCCCGTATAGAGGACCAACCATGGCTGCAAGGACGAACGGTGGACAGGTGAGCACAAGCGTGAGTGTGTGATTAAAGCCTAGGGTTCCGACGACGGTGGGGAAGAAGTTGGTAAAGCCGTTAGCGGAAAGATGGAGATTCTGCATCAATGCAAAGAGGTAAAGCCTCGGGTCTCCAAACGCAAGCTTTAGGCTCGCAAGCTTGCCCTTGCTGGTGGATTCTTGAACTGTGTCACGACTGATTCGCGAATGTGCCAGCTGTCGTTCTTCTTCCGTGAGCCAGGTCGTCGTGAGGGGGTGATCGGGAAGAATCGGTATCGAAACGAGTGCAACAACAACGGTTAAGATACCCTCGATAATGAAGAGCCTTAAATTAATTAGCGACCTGGCCAAATGACGCACAATACAGTCTATACGCGCTTACCACCTCCAACCCTCGAGGCCCCGAGACCCATCGATAGTTGCAAAGACTGCGGCGGCGATAAGGCCCGAAAACGCTGTTGAAAGAATGTTGGCTGAATACAGGATGGCCATTCGTGTCGCCACTTCTTTGCGGGTGTAGAAGATAGAAAGAAGAAAGAGGGCACCGGGATAGACTATGAAGCGTAGTGTCAGTAACGATCGAGGTAATAGAGACGTAGTCATTAGGTTTTCTTCTCACAAGGGGCCTCGACGACGCCGAGAAAGAAGCGAACGAGGATCAAGCCAACGTAGTTTTGTGTCAACGCCGTCATGCCGGAAACAACTCCCCACAAGGCCATACATATCCCCATATATACTGAAGGCCGAATGCGCCTTGATGCCATTAGCATGTTTGATGGTAGCTGCATCAAGATATATCTGTGACACACGGTATGAGTCAGTCATTGTTGATTCGGCAAGGCGACCGTGAAACTCACCCGACGAATAACACGGAGATACAGGTGTTATACTGGCTCTTCTTGAGACCGAGATCTTTCTCAAGATTATTCAGACGAGCCGAGGCGATGGCATTTCTGTCTAGCTGAATCCCATTTCAGCCTTGGTTTGCCTGGACAGCCCCGAGAGCACTTACATAATTGAGAAAATACATCGCACAGAGAGTGGGAAGAATTCTTCGGTCGAGCTTTCTCACAAGAGCGATCTCCTTTTCCTCAGTCTTCGCTGCTGCTCCACTGTAGTCCCGAAGCATCTTCTGGTCTGCAGCTTTGCACGTGCTGTGTACATTCGAGAACACCACTTCGATTTGCCCATTATCATGAAGCTCGACGTGCTGACCGCCGAGCTGAGAATGCTGCTGCTGAGGTTTGAGCTCAGACATGTTAAGAAATGTATCAGGAGAATGTTTTGATTAACCTAGTATGCCAGTGACAAAAAGGCATATTCAAAAGTGATTCTAGAGCGAGTATTAAATATTCTGCAAACACCTGCTCCCCCAAACTCTACCCCATGGAGATGGCGGTTAAAAGATGGACCGCTGATGTTTATCCCCAAGATGGAGTCCTTTCGCCGATGTCAAGACTCTCACATTTTTGATCGGTAAGTCCCTTAGTAAGACGAATTGGACCTAGGTTGCATGCGCTTTAGGATCGTCGGTGCAATAGAAAGTTATCCTTCGTGGCGTCGGACATCTTTACAAATCCAAGATTTAAAGCTTCAATAACACTACAGATTGTACCGATCTTCAAGTCCGTTCATGTATGCATCCCATGCGAGTGTGTTGAACAACGCTCCAGGGTCTGCATTCGATCCCACGGCGTCGAATCCTGGACCACTCAAAGACCCACCTGCACCCAAGATCTCAGCATCAAACCCAAAGTCAGGACCAATATATGGAAGGACCGGCTGCCAGAGCTGCACATCGGGCGATTCTTGACTGAGATTAACAGTTTGAGGCTGCAAGGAAGATCTGATCGAGGTTTGGAGCTGGTCTGCAAGCTCATTCTCGAGCCTTCGCCGTTTCGGGGCCCGCGTCTCGCGGAGAGCTGTCGGAAGCCCATATGAGATACCAGTAGCTGCGAGAGGCTGTAGATCCGGAATTTTGTGTTGTGTTTCTTTTGATCTTTGGTCAGAGCGTACTGACAGCTTAAGGCGGAGCATGCTCAGCCCAGATCGACAGTGGCACGCACTGTTCCATCGCGGGCTCATGGCTTCTAGTAGACTGAGACATTGGTCTAGATTCCTGGATGGAATATTAGCTCGGAGTTACATGGGAACAGAAAATGAATGCCCGTACCAGATTGCCTTTTGTGAGGGATAGAGGTCCGTCCTCCCGGCCAACGCAACAACTAGGCCAGCCATCCACACAGCTGAAAGGGTGGGCGGCCAACACATAATCAGCCTATCTTGCTTTTGTGTGAACTTGCACGACTGAAGTCGTTGTATAATTGACCGACTTGCTCCCAGAGCAGTCTGAAGGCTGTATTGGAAATCGCTTCTGTTGGTTGGCAAAGACAAGAACGGACGATGTATGAGAATAATGAGGTAGTGGTACAAAACCGAGAGGAAGACACTGAATGGTGGCGTAGATTCCAATTGAGGTGCGTCGATGCCTTCCTGGAGAGCAATAGGGAGGCTATTCCACCAAGCATGTGCTTGTGAGGTGATCTCCAAGACTTTTGTCCAAGTAACATCGCGCTGGTGTATCGATCTGTGGAACACATCCAGAACCCTGCCGAGCAGGCGGGAGTAGGTAACTAGATAACCTAGGACATATTCTCCAGTGCCTTCCTTTGAGCTGGGATGGCGGTCATGGGCAGGGCTCTGAATCGATATGTCCTCGCCTTGTGCTGGATGAGCCTGACCCGCAGAGCCGTTCTCGGTGTCATCGAAACCTGCACTCCGGTGCTGCGGTGTGAATCCTTTGGGAAGGTGCGCTTGTACGTCTTCGCGATTGTCCTGGGACCTGACAGGCTGATGAAGTTCAACCATCCCAGGAATGCAGACATCTATCTCGGAGTCGCGAAACGCAGTGGGGTGACCCAAGGCCTGGCTCAGTTGTCTGTCCAGTACATATGCTGCCCAGAATATGCGCTTTCGAATGTCACACATCTCATGTGGGAGCTGCACATATCGATACGGGCACCTGTGATACCCGGAATGGTATAAATTCCGAGTCAGCATGCCATGGACTGTCGATGCAGCCCTCAGCGACATCCGAGTTGTGAGAAAGAGGACGGCGGCCAGCATAGCTTGAAGCGAAGACATATCATGGCCATCAGATATTGACCCCAACGCGTTGATAAGAACGGAGTTGGACTGAATCCTCGAACAAGGCCGAAGTTGATCATAGTCGTGCGTCCAGGCGGCTACGTTGAATACACACTGAAAGGTGACCGCTCGGCACAGTCTCGCATGAGCGTCAGCGTCGCTGGCACCGGCACGTACAGTTGCACCTGTTTCCTGTTCGTAGAAGCGGTTCAATGCGCGGAAAAAGCCGGGGCCGTGTAGGAAAGGGAAAAAAGGATGCCAATGTTGAAAATACGACATCAAGAGTCTCCTCGCAGTGGCTGGAGGTGGCGCCAGCCCTAGGCCGGGGACATCGACATCATAGCAACGCGTCCCAGGCCAACAAGCGTCTCCTTCACCATCCTTACTCGTCGTGGCCGGGTCGATAACGTCGGCTGCAGCCTGTACATCTCGTGGTTCCTGGGTTGCTACGAGATGACTGTGCACCGAGCCTGGGTCCAGTGGCACCTCATCACCCGTGACCGAGTTGTCCCCCGGCTCTGATGGCGGTCCAGGCACATTTGAGAACGCCCGAAATACGGTGTTGGCGAAATAGACACCGCTGGCGCTACCGATAAACTCACTGCTGTCTGGCTGTGGAGCAGCAAATGATCCGATCTCAATGAGAGGCAGGGAGTCGCGAGCCGAGTTTCCCGCGCCGGTCCCGTAGCCGAACATGCCAGAAGTCTCGACACCCTGGAGAGAGCTTAGATAGACGAGATTGCGAACCTCAGTGCTGCAATGACACAATTGTGCAGTTCGCAAAACTGGGAGTCGCCATCATCAAAAGGTTTCCCCCATTGTCGGGCATTTTATGGTGTCGGCTATTCTTTCTACCGCGCTCCTCATTTCATCATGCCCTTCCCACGTCCCCACCGCACCTCGGGGCAATTGAGGATGACTCAAGTTGTCCATTTTCATGCTCATTTGCTTCTGTGCCCATGCATTCTGTCTTCTAGGGACGTAATGACAGAACAGCCAGCACTCTCGCACACCTCACCGTTCCAGTGAGGGAGTGGAAAAGAATGAAAGCTGACTGAGACGTTATAACAGACGAGTGATCAATATGTTGGTCGGAAGTTAAGATAATGTCGAAAATCGAAAACGATCACCAGCTGTTATAGTTCGGTGATTGCATATTTGACTTGGAACTTCGACAATAGGAGAATAAGCATTCCCAGTGGGCGCGCATGAGATCGTTCCCATCAAGTAGTACTTCAAGAGTGACGGTGGAAGCGGTACGGCAGGCCCCCGGGCAAAAATACGCGCGAGAATCAGTCTTATCATGATGATAGGTACTTAGCAAAGACGTCCAGGCTGGTGCTCGTTCAACCTCCTAGGCAGTCTTCATGAACTGGACTAGTGTTGCAAGTTGGGCGAGGACCCAGTGACTAATTCAGTGACCAGACCCTAATTAGCACAAACAGGAACGACCACAGGCTCTTGTTTCAAATGTTAGTGTGGAATTGGCCACTAATATATCTCCACCTCACACGCCCCCGCCTCAGGTTTGCCCTGGTTTGGACCTCTGTTTGCATCTGGCCTTACAAATCTGTTCTGAATCCTCCAATCTTTTGCCTATACTGACTGGGGAAAGCCTTCACGGTCTGCAGATCGTCGTAGTTTTAGTCAAAATGCACACATCATCTGCGCCGGTGTCGGTCCTACCACCAACGTTTGAGCAACACCACGATGGTTTCGGGGTACATTGCTCGCGGCCACGCATTTCTTGGCGATTCTCAGACTCCTCAGAAGGCGTTACAAATTGGACGCAAACAGCCTACGAGATTGAAATCTCGGAAAGGATTGGTGTCACTCCTCAGGTCTTCAAAGTCGAAAGTCCCGACTCTGTTCTGGTCCCATGGCCAAGCCCTGAGACGCTGTGTTCTCGTACACGTCGTCAGGTGCGCGTGAAGTGCCATGGCAGCTACACCATTTCTAGTGGGCATAAAAAGTCATCTGTCACCGAATGGTCGCCTTTTAGCATTCTAGAGATCTCGTTATTGCACAACAGCGACTGGGGAGCGCACATGATCACGGTGGCAAAGTCGTGGCCCCTCAACCCGGACGGATCTGCCATCCCACTCTCCTTTGTGAAAAGCTTCACTCTTCCAGTGCATTCTGGCAAGGTCGAACGCGCACGACTTTACATAACAAGCCATGGAACTTATTTGGCACGAATAAATGATAGCAGGGTTGGCAATCATTGCCTAAGCCCCGGCTGGCAGAGCTACCACAAAAGGCTTCACTACCAGGTTTTCGACATCGGGCATCTCCTACGCCCCGGCTCGAACGATATTCAGATAGAGGTGGCTTCAGGATGGTTTGCCTCGGCATGGACATGGGCTAGCAGGCGGTTCATCTATGGGAGTCGGCTGGGTGTCCTCGCGCAACTCGAAGCCTGGTACACGGACGCGCCCGCTCCGGCAACGTTGGTGGCTACGGACGACACTTGGGGTGTCTCACGCACTGCGTTGGCGAGCAGTGAGATTTACAACGGTGAATTCTACGACCAACGGCGAATCTTGACCTCCTCGCCAGGCGAGGTCGATTGCTTCACATGTGAGATTTCGCCTATCCGTGTGAGCAAACTCATCTCGCCAGACGCCCCGCCAGTCAGAGTGGTGGACAGAATAGCGCCGAAAGAAATATTCAAGTCGCGGTCCGGAAATGCTACTATCGTTGACTTTGGGCAGAACCTTGCTGGCCGCGTTTGTGTCAGAAGATTGCAGAAGCCAAACGGGTCGTGTGTGACCTTTCGTCATGCGGAGGTCATCCAGGATGGCGAAATCCAAACTCGTCCACTGCGCTCGACAAAAGCGACAGATACATTACTATTCGCCGGACTTGAAGTGGTCGACTGGCATCCGGCTTATACATTTCACGGCTTCAGATTTGTCGAAATCACCGGCTGGAGCGCCGACGACCGAGAATTTCCGTTAACGGATTCGAGTATCGTTGCCGAAGTTTTGCAGACCGATATGGCTCGCACAGGCTGGTTTTCATGCTCCGACGAAGATGTTTCTCGGTTGCATGAGAATTCATTATGGAGCATGAGGAGTAACTTTCTCTCTGTCCCTACTGAGTGCCCCTCGAGAGATGAGCGGATGGGCTGGACAGGAGATCTTAACCTGTTTGCGCCGACCGCAAATTTCCTCTACGATACGACGGGCATGCTGAGAAATTGGTTACAAGATCTGTATGAGGATCAGATGGAGGAGAGTCCACACTGGCGCAGGGGAGTGGTACCACTCTTCATCCCAAACTGCTTACTCAAAACGAACGGCATTGAACATGGATGGGACCCAATGCCAAATGGGGTCTGGGGGGACGCCTCGGTAATGGTTCCTTGGGAACTCTACCAGACCTACGGTGATGTTGAATTTCTGGAAGCACAATTCCAGAGTATGCTTCATTATCTGGAGCATGGCATAACCCGTGGCAAGGACGGTCTGTGGGACCCGGAACAGTGGCAGTTTGGAGACTGGCTGGACCCGCGGGCGCCTCAGAACGATTCTGGAAGAGGCACTACTGACGGTGTCTTCGTCGCTGACTGCTTTCTTATAGCATCGACAGGCATCGTTGTGGAGGTAGCAAGGTTGCTTGGCAAGCCAGACGTCGCGTCGCGATTTCAAAATACGAGTGAGCGTCTTGTCCAGTCCTGGAGGAGCAAATATCTCACAGAGGCCGGTCTGATTCTTCCGGACACTGCCACGGCCATTTCACTCGCTCTCTCGTTCAATCTCCTCCCAGACTCCGATGGTGATGCAATGCGGCATCTAGCAGTCGAGCGTCTTGCCCGAATAATTCGTCTAAACGACTTCAAAATCACCTCTGGATTCGTGGGCACTGCATATCTGCCGCAGGTACTGACCGACTCTGGCAAGGTTGAATTGGCCTATGCCATGCTTTTTCAAAGGCGATGTCCTTCGTATCTGTATCCAGTAACCATGGGCGCTACGACAACGTGGGAACGATGGGACAGCATGTTCCCTGACGGGAGCGTCAATCCAGGATCAATGACGAGCTTCAACCATCACGCTCTTGGAAGTATAGCACACTGGCTGCATGTTGTTGTGGGCGGTCTTGAGGCGATGGAGCCTGGTTGGAGGGTGTTTAGGGTCCAGCCTTGGCCCAATGTGAAACTGACTTGCGCAGCAACTCGATTCGAATCCAAGTATGGCCGGATAGCGGTCAAATGGACTCTGAAGGGGAACCATTTTAGTATGTGGCTGCAAGTGCCGCCGAATTCTAAAGCTATAGTGAGCATGCCGGGTGAGGAGAACGAACGTTGCATTGGCTCGGGAAAATATCGCTTTGAGAGTCAGTTTGTGCAAACGAACTGGCCGCCCAAGGCTCTGCTTCCGCCTTGGGGGAGAGCAGAATTCTAGTCCTGTAAGTGGCATCTTACGTTCGGCGGCGTCACTTTATAAATTACATGGTCCATTCCTAACCCCTCTATGAGGAAGTGAAGGCGACGATACTATGGGAGGAGCCCTACACCTTTGAGACTACTGTGCTCTGTCCCAGCTCGATCTTGGTTTCCTCCTTGACTTGTTCAGCGACGATGGCCCGCTTCTCTTTGTCAAACAAGCTATCAACCTCTTCGAGGCTCAATCCACGTGTTTCTACCCAGGTAGAGAAGACGAAAAGCAGCATGAGAACATCGAAACATCCGTTTACCATGTAAAACTTCCACCCGATAGCTTCAAGGCCAAATGGAACAGCCATAGCCACCAGGAGTCCGCAGCATTTTGTTGTGAAGGTATAGAACCCCATACCGACACTTCTTATCTCGAAGGATAGGACTTCCGGCGGATACAGAACCGTCAGGGGTGTGATGCCCCAGTTGTAGGCTGCGTTGTATAGGAAGATGACGGCGATTGTACCATAAATACCGGATGTATCAGTCGAGTTGCCGTATACCTTTGTCAGCCCACCAAAGATGAAAATAAAGGCGATCTGAAGAGCAAGGCTGGCAGAGCAGAGCCACCTTCGACCAAGCCGGTCCGCGTACCAGGACGAGACAACAGCGATGACCAAACTCCAAGAGGCAAGAATCACATTGATTTGAAGTTGGGTATTGGGATCCCGGATGCCGGCACCCTGAAGCATGTCGCCAAAATAAAAGGTGATGATATTTGTGCCTGGAAGCATGACGATAGCCGAAAATGTCGTGGTCAAGAGCAGACGTTTTCGATTCGACTTCTTGGAAAGTGCCTGGACCATTGACAGGTTGTGCTCCTTTTCGAAAGCGATGGTGTCTGCAATCTCATGGTACTGGACAAGCACCTCGTCATGCTGCCCGCCATTGAGGATACCAAGAATTTCCTGGGCCTCTTCATGACGGTCATGACTGATGAGCCAGCGTGGTGACTCTGGGACGAATTGGAGTATGCCAAAGCAGACGAGACTAGGAACGGCCTGGAGTAGGCTTGGGATTCGCCACGCGTAAGTCGAGTTGAGAGACTGAGTCTAGAAGAAAAGAATTCAAGTTAGTCCCTTGCTCACTCAACTTCTATCCCGCTCAGGGTCATCTAACTCACTGCATAACAGACGCCAGCAGCCAGCAAGGTGCCCACACCCCAACAAGCATAATACAAGCCAAGAGCAAAGCCGCGATATTTGACGGGGGTAGTCTCGGCCACGAGGGTCGGAGCAGCAGTCTGGGCCAAGCCCATACCCGCGCCGACGACGCACCGGCCGGCAATGAACATGCCAATGTTCTGTGCCGAGCCTTGAATAACACCCCCGATCAGCGCCAAGAGGGCGGACCAGTAAACGCATTCTCGCCGGCCTCGCCAGTCGGCCAGAAAGCCGGCGAAAGGCGACATGGCAGCGCCGCCAACATACGAGATTGCCGTATTGAGAGACTTGGTCGTGGTGGTGAGAGTGAAGTAGTTACTGTAAGTGGGCATGACATTAAGACTGCCCATCAGCGAGCTATCGAAGCCGACCAACTGGAAGCAAGGTGAGAAGTTGTCCCCAACAGGCACGGCGAACCGAACGTAGACTTACCACCGAATCGACCACCGACACCGCAATCAGGCAGACTATGAGCCATTTCTGGTCTCGTGGAACGAGGCGCGATATCTTTCGAGAGGACATCGCTCTGTCTGCATAAGACTGCCTTTTGCCAGGCAAGACAAGTCCAGTAGTCGCACTCAAGAACAAAGAATAAGGATCCGAGATGCGGGGCCCCGCCTCGTTTTATGTCCTGCACTAGAAAGTCGCGTGAGCCGTGACTCAGGGGACAAATTTGCTCCGTGATGGAGCGGAGGTTTGGTCTAGTCTAGGGGTTTCCTGCTGGTGTCCTCCAGTAGGCAGACGGGCCAATCAAGTAATAGCAGCGAGAAGCCCGAGCATGGGGCGGGGCCAGAATGGGCAGAATGGGCAGAATGGGCAGACTGTGAAGGCTTGGCTGGTGTCGCCGCCGCCGTCACCGTGTCGGGTATGATCATCCTACTCGCAGGCAAGTTTTGTCTCAATGTTCTCCTATTGCAGATCAGCAGAGGTAAGGGGGATATGCGCTAAGCGGTGTGTATCGCGTAATAGGGCAAGTTGGGGTTCCCTCTGAACCACTGACTGTCCATCCAAGCAAGAGAGCACCATCCAGAGGTCTGCAAATTAACAAGGTAGTGGAAGAAAAGGTGCATTGTTCTCCACCTCTTTCAGGGTCTAGTTCCTTAGGTTGAGCAGTCTCGGCGGGGTCACCGAGTTGCCCGAGGAATGCAGGGTTTCTATTGGGCCTTGGATTCATCCCACCTTTGCTCTTGAAGGGTGGCGGAAAGATGCGTCACGCTTGTTGAGTTATCAAGGTCAAGGGGAATGACAGCCCGTATGTCACATGCAAGGTACGTGTGACACCATCTTGGATCAAGACCTCATCGAGATCCTCGATAGAATATCCAAAGTCACATTAAATATGGCTTCAGTCCCAAGCGACTATTTGCAGCGCGTCTACGCAGGCGTGCTGGGCAAGCTCGTTGGCGTCTACCTCGGGCGACCCTTTGAAAACTGGACCTACCAGGAAATTCAGGAGAGACTCGGAGACATCAATTACTATGTTCACGACAAGTTGGGCGTGCCGTTGGTGGTCATCGACGACGACGTATCCGGGACCTTTGCTTTCGTCCGCGCACTTGAAGAACATGGAGCGCATCCCGATATCTCGTCCAAAGAGATCGGCAAAACGTGGCTGAACCAGGTGATTGAACGCCGCAGCATCTTCTGGTGGGGTGGAAACGGCATCTCGACGGAGCATACAGCCTTTCTCAACCTCAAAAACGGCACTTGTGCTCCTCTGAGCGGTGCGGCCTCGACCAATGGAAATACCATAGCTGAGCAAATCGGCGCCCAGATCTTCATTGATGGCTGGGCCATGGTCGCGCCGGGCAGGCCAGCCTTGGCCACACGATTTGCGGAGTCTGCCGCCCGCGTGAGCCACGACGGGGAAGCGGTACACGCGGCCAAGCTGTGGGCAGCCATGGAGGCAGAGGCTTTTGTTTCCAGTGATATTGATCATCTGCTCAGTGTTGGACTCCAAGCTATTCCCGCCGACTCACTCATCGCCAGGATGATTGCCGATGTGCGGGATTGGGCGTGTCAGGAGAAGGACTGGAGACAGACTCGCCAAAGGATTGAGGACAACTATGGTTATGACAAGTATCTAGGCATTTGCCACGTCATTCCCAACCACGCCGTCATGATCATGGCTTTGTTATATGGGGGCCATGACTTCCACACGGCCATGCATATCATCAATACCTCTGGCTGGGATACGGATTGCAATTCTGGTAATGTTGCATGCCTAGTGGCTCTCATGCACGGGCTCTCGGCCTTCCAAGGAGGTCCGGATTGGCTGGGCCCTCTCGCGGACCGAGTGATCATATCAAGTGCTGATGGTGGCTACTCCATAAACAACGCCTCTCGTATCGCCTACAACATTGCCAATCTTGGCCTTCGATTGTCAAACTTGCCGGAAATACCACCGCCAAAGAAGGCTGCACAGTTTCACTTCTCCCTTCCGGGTGGTGTTCAGGGCTTTCGGGCGACAGCGAACCAGGAGACGGTCTCTGTCAGCCAGGGGCTAAACAATGGAATTAACAGCCTCGTCATTCGTGTTGAAGGGTTGCAGAGCATGGATGGTACCGCCGAAGTCATGACTGACACTTTCACGCCGCTGGATATCCTCCAGGTTGACCGAAACTACGAGATGATGGCCTCACCTCTCGTTTATCCCGGCCAGCTCTTGACAGCGGAGGTGTGCGCGGCTGGGAGTAGCACAGAGGAAGCTACAGCTTGTTTGCGAGCTAAAGCATACGACGAGCAAGATAACTTGATCACCGTAGATAGCGCCGCCACGACTTTGCTACCAGGGAAGGCGAGTAAGCTCGAGTGGTTGATTCCCGAAAGCCTGCAGAACCGTCCTATTCAACAAATAGGTCTTGCCGTCAAGCCCAAACGGTTCCACTCAACTCTGGATACGACGGTGTATCTTGATAGTCTCCGCTGGGATGGGATACCTCGGGTGTGTTTCAAACGGCCAGCGAACAAATCCCAGAGCTTCTGGCGTCGGTCCTGGGTCAGCTCCATCGACAAAATGCACACAGATATGGGGCCATCATTTTTCCTCGCCCAAGATAGGGGGGAAGGCATCTTGAGCCAAGGTACTCGAGACTGGGACAATTATGAGGCGGTGGTCTCTAACTTTGTCGTCAACTTTGGCGGGCCAATGGGCATTGCCACCCGTGTTCAGGGTCTGAATCGCTACTACTCTCTTCTGTTCAGCAAAACCAAGCGGGTAGCTTTGGTTAAAGCCGCAGATGAGAAAAGGATAGAGTTGGCAAGCGAGTATTTCTATTGGGAGCATGATGTCAAGTATGATGTCTCCCTAGCCGCACAAGGCAATAAGATCATAGGTCGGGTCAATGGCATCGTTCTGGAGGCCATCGATACTGACTATGCTGGCGGGGCAGTAGGCCTGGTTGTGACGGATGGATCATTGTCGGCAGACAGCATCACCGTATCTCCAATAGCTCAGTAGAGCACAGTTCAGAGAAGACACTTCATATTTGTCTCTTCTGCTTTGGTGACTTTGGAGAGGGATGGAGTCCAATATTGCAACGTAATACACCACCGGGGCTAACGCCAGAGTTCCGTATCACCTTGACAGGTAGATATGTGACATGAGGCAAAAGGCGATAAAGGATGTGACTTCACGCCTGTGAACCGTTTGTTTGCAAGTCGCCACATCGTTGGCCAGCCGGCTGTGATGCCATCTCAACCCTTCATTCCCCGCCCACCTGCGATTAGACACGGGCTGCCCGGTGGCGTTGGCTCTTCTTGACGCATATCCAATGGCCTGCTTTCGTCTCTGTTCTGGCGAACCTGTACGTCCGCTCAGATGATGACCTCGTGTTTCGAGCGTGGGATGTAATAGATAGGGTCTGTCAGCATTGGCTCTCTGACAAAGCTACCAAGGGCATGTTGTGGAGGCCTATCTGCCAGTTGCTCGGCCGTGCACGACTGAATCGGGCTGCGAAAGAGAACGGGGCTAAGTACCAACAACTAGAGAGCCCAAAAAGTCGCTGTCTTCCACACAGCACTCTTATGGCAGGATCACGACTCGATCATTCAGACGCTTACCTCGTCGAGAGCCTTGCTCCCTCACATCCCGATAGTCTTCCATCATTACCCACCTTCGTTAGTGCCACGGATGGCATGCGGTCTGCGGAGCTTGCTTTAAGCCATGTGGATGCTGATGCTGACCATTCCATGCATTCAGAAAGCGTGGGACATTACCTAGAGTCCGGGACCAACACAAGGGCTCACGGCAGCCACACTAGGCAAACTGAATACAAGAAATCTAACATTATACAAGCTGCATGCCACAAAAGACTAATCTAACCTCTATGCATGCCCCGATAGACAAATCTAACTTCTACCAAGCTCTATAGTTTCGACCGGTACGCCCCTTGCTTGCCTTCGGGTCTAAATAGTACAGGAGATGCCGGATACGGATCAAAGACCACATCGTTAAGCGGATTGGTCTGCGATGCCCTGTGGAACAGATCTTCGTACACCTTGCCATCATACCGTCCGAGTGCACTGTCAAGTTGCCAATCCGGAAACTTCCAAGCATCAACCAATCTCACAGCATGCGGGCGAACATCCCCAAGGAGCGAAAGAGTCCGTTTCCTTTGCTCAGCTTGCATCTGGTGCAGCTCCGCGGCCGAGCCATAAGAATCAGGAGACCAGTGATGCAGAGTAAAGAGCTGGAAGAGCTTGCTGAGGAGATGCATTGTCTCAGGGTCCAACGACGAGATAACCTTCTGGTCCTGCAAGGCTTCGTAGAATGTCTTGACGACAATGTATTGTGCGAATGCAGTGGAGAGCTTCCAGAAGTCAACCAAGAGGCTGTTCCAAGGCTGCTTATCCTCATCGCGGTTCTTCAGAGCCTCGAATGTTAGCGATGCAACGCGCCAAGCAAAGGCGTCAACGAGGGTTTGATTGTTGTCGAGGGCAACAGCTGGGCCCTTGCCTTTCTCTCTGACAAACCTCTCCAGAACCCGAGTGATATCGTTGTACGAAGGCTTGCCCGAGATCACGGCGCGAGCAGATTTCAAGAGATAACGAGCAACTTGCTGCGTGAGCATGTAGTTGTCGCCCTCCCAAGTGACGGTAGGAAGGTAGTCGGCGTACCAGCTACCGATCCCAGAGAACGTGGAGTACCCGTGTCCACCACAAGCACGCCGGCACACCTCCAATCCCTCTGCTGCTGTAGTGGAAGAAAAGGCCTTGAGTGCGCAAGAAATAGCATGGAGATCGGCCAGGATGGAGCTTCCAGCATCCTTCTCGTTGGACTTGGGTCGCCCGTCCTGCTTGGCCATTCTCGCCTGGTTTGCGTTGTAAAGCTCCAACATCGCGCGACCAGTAAAGTGGAAAGCGTATGATGCCGCCAACAAGGGGAGAAGGCGGTACTGCACCATTGTGTAGTCGAGAACTTGGCTTTCGCCTTCCCCAGCCCCGTCAGCGTCGCGGAATTGGCGCCGGACAGCACAGTAGCGCGTCGCGATGGTGACACCTCGAGCGAGAACTGAGCCTGACTGCAGCACAATCCTTGACCGGATGAAAGTGAGGGTGCCATACACTAGGACCGGACTGGCGGGCTTGATATACTTGCCCGTGTCTGGGTCGATACCAGAGAAGCGGCTCAGGAGACTGATATGGGGGATCTTGACGTGGTTGAACAAGAGGAAGCCATTATCCATGGTGTTGTAGCCGAACTTTGGACCAATATCTCCAACGTGGATGTTTGGAAGCGCCTGGTGAGTCTTCAGGTCTCGGATTTGAACGACAAATGGGTGCGGGCCAAGCGATTTGCCGTTCAGGATGAGTTGCGCCACCACCACGGCGTGGTTGGCAGCCAGGCCTAGGGATCCGATCCACCACTTGGAAGCAGTCAAGTGCGGAGAATGCAGCGTGAAGGTCTTGTCCTCAGGGTTCCAGGTGGCAGTCGTCTCCAGTCCCCGAACGTTTGATCCGTGGCCAAGTTCTGTCTGCGCATAACAGCCGATGATTTCGTAACGCTGTGCCGGCTCCAGGAAGCGCTTGTGTTGTTCAGGAGAACCTTGCTCTTGAAGAGTCTTCAAGAACATGGATGCGTGTAAGCCATACGGAGTTGGCTCGCTGACGAGGTCGTTGGCCGCCTCGTACTCGTCTTGACTCCATTTATGCTCAACGCTCAGCTGCTGTAGTTTCTTGGCTCTTGCAAGAGCGACTTCCATCGCTTCTCTTCTGCCCCGGAAGTAATTTTGGGTCTTGTCGAAAACTGGATGAGCCTGGAGGATCTCGAGCAACCTTGACTGCCTCTCGAGGTTTTCACGTGTGAAGAGAAACTCGGCGAGCTGTTCAACATTCAAGCTGGATTTTGCCCTCTCCTGTTGAAGCAGTTCCGACCCCTGGGGCCCGGAGGGCTTCAGGGCCTGGACCCAGTCTGGGTTTGGCGGCGGCATTCTGGTCAGCTGTAGAGCCACAAAGACAGGATGACTGGAGCAACTCTGTGGGAAAGATGACAGCAAAGGGAGGGACCGCTGGCACTGTTCGTGGAAGCAGGGACGGTAGGGACGTTATGTAAGAACTCACTCGGCTATGCCAGTGGCAAGCCGTACGACAAGACACGCGTGTCTGAGAACGGGGCTAATGGGAGTGGGTCCATGGAGCTGGGCCGAGGTAAGTATCGAGAGTCGGCCTGGAGCGAAATCGGACCCGCCTGGGGAGTTTGATGGCGTCTTTGAGGTCGAGTGGATCTCTCCAGCCTTTCAAAACACAGGCTCCGCGCTATGCTGGCGGGGCTGTAGGTCATTTGAGCGGTGCGGGCGTGCTCCTCGGCATCGCGTCGGTGGCCGCGGTCTGCCCGTTTCCCTCAAGCACATGGTGCTGTCGATTTCCAGGCGAACCCGGTACGACTTAGGCCTCAAATATCATACATGTGATCGCGTTGATCTTTCCTGGAGCCAGCAAGAAGGATGTGAAAGAATCACGAAGCCTGTCTCAGTCTCCGAGTTGTTTGAAATGGAGAGTAGGATCCGTCCAGGTAGTATTTAAGTTAATTATGTCAAACGTCACTGTGGCCAGCTGCAATCCAGCTGCAATCCAGCTGCCAGTATCCACATGTTGAGTCAGCCAGTTGTTGGGCACCCGGCAAGCGGCTTACCGATGCCCCAAAAGCCTTGGAGACTTTCAGCTCAATTGCAGATTGTCGACCGCTGGTGTAAGCCCCCTTTAATAGAGATTGTCGCAGGACAAGTCTTTCACCGGACTGGTTGGAACGTGATTATTCTAGCGGACTCTTGCTAAAAAGCAACCAAGGCCCCGAAAACGAGCACAGAGGAGGTTGCGATAGCTCTTCACTTGGCCGAATTTCCATGCAATAGAAACGGTCTATCCTGGTCGCAGGTCGCAGAATTTCGAACAGCTTCTTGCTACTGTCGGCAAGGCGTCTTTACTCTACCTCCTCAAGTCTGGCAGCTACGCAGAGATGCTTCCACTTGGTAGGAGCGCGGCTCTTTGCCTTGTAACTAATCCCGAATGGAAGCAACCAAAAACATCCTGCTACCAAGCCATCATGCAGATTTTTCAATGGACCGATATTAACTCTCTCTTGTATATGCTACAAGAGTCTGTATGTAGTGGCTTATGTACGGCACCACCAGCATATCCCGGCCAAGCCTACAGACAGTCTCTCTTGCAGGAAGGACTGTATTAGATATATTCTGAATCTACAGTGGTGTAATAACCATTACCGCTCTAACTGTCATGGCAAGTGTTAGGATAGTACTATTTTGCACAAGTGCGTGGATGTGATTGATGTCTGCAACCTTCCATATACCTTCCCGCCCTATCCCAGTGCTAGAGGCGCGAAACGCGTTCAGGCCATCGTCAGCCACGGTTATTACGACCGGGACCACACGATTTAGCTACGACAATCCGACGCTTAACACCTTCCCGATTAGAGTTCGTAGAAGCGTGTACAACACTGTTACTAACTCTTATCACCCTATCGTACCCTTAACACTCTTAACTAAAAGTACCCTGTAGGGGGTTAGAGAAGAACTTGAAACAGTTAGAGCTCAGTACACTGTTAATTAGAGTTCTTAGTCGTGGTGCCTTGAGTATGATCCTGCAGCGTTCCAGTGATCTATAGTCCCTGCCCTCTCTTCACCCTACCTACATCGACAACCCTCCCTGACATCGCGCTTTAGAGGTATTTATAATGCCCAGAAAGCAGCATCTCATTGACGAGATCGGCACACTGCTGGCCGTTCTCAAACATATTGCCAGATCGGTCGTCCCATTGGCGGCCTCCGGAGCGTGACAGCTTCGTTTCCTTGTAGATATTGCCATGTACGCTGGTACTATCATCCATCGAGTTGCCAGTGCGTCCCTCCACTAAGGGGGATGCTGGGTAGCTGCCTCTAGTTTCCAGAACATGGAGCGTGACTTGGGAGAGGCTCTCTGTCCAGGATCCAGAGAATGCGTTCAGCACAGCCTCGAGGCATGCCAACATCCAATGTGCTTGCTCGGGAGCTATGTTCGCAGCGGAATAATGCAGATCTAAGTTGAGCTGGCCGTCCAATTGAGGCATAGCAGTGAGCCACACGTCAGCAGAATCGCCGACTCGGCCGTCGCCCGAAAATTTGCATTCAGCACCACCCACGTTGATGAGGTTGCCAAGGGACTCGTGATTCTGGAACACAATGATGGAGTTGAATCTGCTTGTAGGCCACTGCGTGCAGTCTCGGATGATGGAGCGATATCCCAGATGCTGATGCTCCATGGAATCCCTCGACTGCCGCTGCAGTTCCGATACGATGCCCTCTGCAGTCAAGTTCCCGTTGAGATGTACACGTACGGGCAATATATTGATACAAGGACCAGCAACCTGCTCGACGCCAGGCAGACGAGCGGAGTATCGATTTGCACTGATATAGCCGAAGATGACGTCCTGTTGCTCGAGCACATGTGCTAGAACAAAGCCCCATGCGGCATTTAGGATCATGGCAGCCGTGCCATTAGTCACCTGAAGGACCTTGGAAGGCACTGAGATGCGAAGCTTGGAATCTGCTGGATTGCCGGACACCGGCGAGCTGATGTGAGGTGACAGGGAGTACGACATTGACCCTCTAAGGAGGCCCTTCCAGAACTTCTTCGCGTTGGCCGTTTCCTCGCTGGTGACATGCGACACCCATTCATGGAAGCTTGTGGGTCTTGTCGCGAGGGCCTGGCCAGCATAAGCTGCGCTCAGATCTTGCAGGAGGCATCTGAGTGAAATGGCATCGTAGAGTGCATGGTGAATCCTCAGCTCGAGCTTATGGCAGGAGGTACCGCCGTCACTGCTCAGGTGGAAGTGCGGGAGAGTTTTGAATAGTCCCGACTGGCCGGAGATCGACCACTCCCTATCCTTGCTGCGGTCGTTTGGCCATGCGTGAACCTGTTCGACTGGGGGCTCCCGGAGAATAACTTGGAATAGCTGGGAATCATGCTGCACAAAGACGGTCCGCAGGATGGCATGCTGACGGAGGACCTGCTGGCACGCTTCTTGGAGCTTGGAGAGGTCTAGGGTATGCCCGGGCGAAGGTATAAGCGAAACACCGTCGTCAAACCCGTGGCCCTCAATATTGCTCACAGCGAGCATCCAAGCTTGGGTATCCGTTGCAGGTCTGACACTCTCGATATTTTCACTTTTCAACCACGTCCACTTCTTGCCCATTTCAGCAAGGCGCGGCATGGCATCCGACCCAGCGGTAATGGGTGCCTTCTTCATGCTGACCGGGTCATCCGCTGGCAGATGACCGGCGCTGGGGGAAGAAATTGTTTTCGAGGTCATGTCCGCCAGTCTGGAAGCGTCGAAAACATCCACAACGGAGAGTTCGCGACCAGCTTTCCTCAGTCGCGCGACAAGGCGCATCGCGCGGATTGAGTTTCCACCAACTTGGAAGAAGTCATCATCTGCGCTAATTACCTCTGCGGAAATGCCAAGCACCTCAGCCCAAGCTTGTTGCATGAAGACCTCACCGTCTGCGACCTCCTTCCTATATTCGATCGCATGGTGGTGCTCAAGACTGTGGGGCTTTTCCAGCGCACGAAAGGCTAGTAAGTCGGCCTTGGAAAGGCCGGCCGCTATTGCACGCAAGGACCTACGGTCCGTCTTCATCGATGATGTGGTGGGGAGCTTCTGAAGGTGTATGAAATAGTCTGGGACCATGTAGGCTGGGACGGTGCGGCTGAGCATGTCCTTCGCCGCAGAAGCTTTCTCCGGCAAGGGTTGGAGAAGCCCAATGCCACATCCTGAGCCGCCGTCGGTTGAGCCAGCCACGCCTGCAGAATCGAGGCCCTCCACTTGGAAGAAAGCCGCAAGGCATGCATCTTCACTGCAACTTGGCCGGATGACTTCCACCACCCAGTTCCAGCCTTGCTCCGCGTGATGGTTCAAATGGTATTCGATCTCGCCTAGCTCGATCCTCAGTCCACGGATCTTGATCTGCGTGTCCTTTCGGCCTTCGCAGATGAACGACTGCTCGCCCATTTGAGTGACTAGGTCCCCAGTCTTGTAGAATCGCTGTGAAGCTAGGTTCAAGGAGGTAAACTCTGGACTATTAGTCCATGCCGGTGGGTTGATGAATGCGGCAGCTGTCGCCTCTGGGTTGTTAATATAGCCACGGGCCACAACAGGTCCTTCAATGATGAGCTCGCCGGTTGTGCCAATCGACACCAGTTCGTCATGGTTGTCCGGGTCGACAACCCAAAAGCGGCAACATGAAGGGTATCCAACATCTTGGCTGTTGTCGCCAATGGCAACGTCCCTGCAGCTCACCATCACCGCGGCTTCAGCCGGGCCGTACGAGTTGGTCAGGCGAACATGCGACGCCCAGGTCTCCATGTTCCCCTGCCTCATTGGCTCTCCTATCAGCGACATCGTCCGCAGCGTCGGAGCATCTTCCGGGGTCAATAAGGTTGCATGAGTCGGCGTCGCCCAGAGGAAGTTAGCCTTGGTGCGATTGATCGCGCCAGCAATGTCGTCTGTCCTCTCCTTCTCTGACGGCATGCACAAGCAAGCCCCGGAGAACAGTGCGTACATGATATCGCCAAGACTGAGATCAAATGCGAAGTTCGCTAGCTGTAGCATCCGACTTCGTTCCGTTATACCTAGTCGCTGAGCGTGCCCTACCGCGCTGGTGGCGATGCTCCTGTGTTCCACCAATATTCCTTTCGGCTTTCCTGTGCTGCCCGACGTGTAAACAGCGTAGGCGGCGTCGCACGGCTTGACCAAAACGGATACGAGTTCGCTGCGAATCTCGCTGGCGCTCCGAGCGAGGCTCTCCTTGATTACATCATCGAGGTCGACTAGGACGACGGCTTGTGAAGTGCAGGCTCTCATCTTCGCAAGTATACTGAGCGAGTTTACGAGAACTAGCGAAGCATTTGCATCCTCCAACACTGTAACGAGGCGGTCTGGAGTGTACGTGGTGTCCAGAGGGAGAAATGCGGCGCCACATTTGGATATAGCTAGTAGACAGACGATTGCGCTTGCTGCCTTTTCGCAGGCAAAGGGCACGATCATCTCCACTCCGATTCCGTACTCCGTTAGGATCTTATACGCCAAGCAGTCGGACAACATGTCTAGCTGACCGTAGTCCAAGTTGCGATCCCAAGAGCAGACTGCAGGAGCAAGAGGATGCCGACTTGCGACGGACCGTACTCTGTGTGGGATGCATTCCTCGACTGCAGCTGGGGTTTTGGAGTTCCAGCTCTTGAGGAGTAGCAGGTCGGTGCCAATTTGAGCGGAGTGTTCTGACGTCGTCGATTTATTGGCTGCCATTATGGGCTCTAGAGACTCCAGCGGGGCCTGCTCCGGACTCTCGAGAATTCTCGCAATCACCGTTGCAAATGTCTCAGCGATGCGCTCGGCCATTTGCTCGGAAATCCGCGCACGCTGATATGAAAGTCGAAGGAAGAGCTCATTCTTGGAATAGTGGACATTGACCGAGATCGAATATTCTGTCGGATCCTCTCCTTCTATAGGTTGAACTACCAGATCCCCGTCGCCCAGCGAAAGGTCGGCTGGCCAGAGATGCTGGATGGTCATGATGGTGTCGAAGAGCGGCGAAGTCAACAGGCCAATGTCGTCATGCAACTGGGCCAAAGAGCACCCGGAGTTTCGCAGCCCGCGAGCTGCGTCTTCTCGAGCCGTTTCGAGCAGTCCTAAGGAAGTTGTCCTGGGATCTTCGAAATTGAATTTGCAGACCAGCATAGTCACCAAGGGCCCTAAAATGTCCGCTAGACCGTCTAGTCCATCCTCGTCGGATCGAAGACACCCGAAGTAGACGGATGGAAGGCCTGTGTACAGTCGCAGAACAACTCCCCACGCCGCTTGCATGAAGTTCGCAACAGTTATCCCTTGAGCCTGGCAGAACGCCGTGAGACTGCGAGCATCTTTGAACGGTATCTCTGGACCTCTGGTTATGTAAGTGGAATCCGCCACTGCGGCACCTGGGGCCAAAAGGCAAGGTTGAGCCCCCGCAACGTATGTCCTCCAGTACTGTTGCACAGCGTCCCCTTGGTTTTGCAGCCAGGCGACGTAGTCAGAAAATTTTCGCCCCTTGACAATGCTCTTGCGATAGGAATATTCTCGTCCGATATTCTCCCATATCGCTCTCATGGTTCTTGCATCCAGAATCGTGTGGCTGATGTCCAGGATGGCGTAGGCGACGTTACCCGGCCCTTCATATAGAGACAAGCGGTGAGGTGGTTGGTTCTGAACGTAATAAGCCGCCTTAGGGTTCTTGAAAACCTCTGTTATGTCCGAGCAGTTCACAGGCATCTGCTCAATCGACACAGAGGGTTCGCTATGCTTCAAAACAATCTGCTGAAACGCGCCATCCCCAGAGAGCCCGGTGGTGAAGATTGTTCGCAAGACAGGATGAGCTTTGCACAGGGCTTTCCAGCTATCAATAACCCTTGCCGTGTCTACTTTCGTATTGCTGCGGGTCGCAAGTCTGAAAGCGAAGCGATCGCGATATTCATCCCCCTTCCACTCGCGCTTCATCTGGGAAAACAGAATGCCTTCCTGTAACGCTGTGCAGTGATAGATAGACTCGACGTTCTCCGGAGCGACGCCAATATCAGCTAGGCGGGCATGGAGCTGCCCAAGATTGGTTTTACCGGGCTTTAGCAGTGGGAGATCGCTCCATGTCAGTCGAGTCCCCTCCAGGGGTAGCTCTTTGGCTAGGGTTACTAAGCATGCCTCCAGCTCTCGAATCCAGAGAGCAATTCGGTCTTGGTGAGCCATATGACCGTTGTAGTCGAGGGTGAAGGTGAGACCCCCATCTTCGCCAATATGGGCCAAGATACTCAGAAGTCCGACTTGTTCAGCGTCTTCCGCGCCTTTCAGTTCAATCGAAGCACGATCCAACAGCTTAAATAGAGCATCCCGTCGGGTCACCTGCTGCAAGTGTCCAACGAAGTTGAAAATCATTTCAACGTCAGACCTTCGAAAAGAGTCTGACTGTAGCACTTGTGAAGTGAACTCTTGTGTTGCCCTCGCAGACATGTCGCGATAATAGTCCTTCACGGCCATCACTGCATATTTAAGGGTGCTCGATGCATTGATTCCCGCCACAGCGAGTGGCATCATCGTGGTAAACCAGCCCACAGTCCGCGAAGGATCCATTGCTGACCCTTTACTTAAATCTCTTCCGTGCGCCTCGCTGTATAGTGCCGGTGCACCTCTTTCCGGGAACACTCGCCACCAGGATTGCAAGATCGCCGTGAGCATTAACACAGGAGGCGTTGTGTTGAAAGGGGAGTTGCATGCCTCGCCCATGATACGAATTGTTTGTTCCCGATCAAGCGCGAACCGTATATGTTTCATGTCAGCCATGATGGACACTCGGTCGTGCATGCCCCAGAAAGCAAGGTCAGCCTTGGGCCACACAGTGTGTTGCTCCCTAGAGACTGTCTGGAATTCCTTGAACGTGTTTTCTTGCTGCTGCTTCACCCATAGTTGAAAAGAAAGGCTCGGGGACAGAGAGTGCGTGTGGTCGCGAAGAATGGCCTCGAGATCTTCCCAGAGAATACGCCAGGAAACCAGGTCGATTACAAGGTGGTGAGCAGTCATAAACAGCAACGTTTGGCCCGCGGGGGCGAGTATTACGTCTGCTGCAAACACTGGCCCCTTGAGAATATCCAGGCTGGCTTGAGTAACATTGACAATATTCTGTATGTGCTCTTCGCTGTCGACACTATGAACGCAGAAGCGCCATGTTTGTGCCCCATGGGCAGGTAAAATCCTTTGAATAAATGTTGCGTTTCCTTTGTCATCTGATGAGGGCGAGAAGCGAGCCCTCAGCATAGAGTGTTGAGTAACGAGTTTTTGGAGCGCCTGTTCAACATGTAAAGAAGTGTCTGCCGTGGTATCGTCCACGTTGATCTCCAGAAGAAACGCTTGGTTGAAACGGTTGTTGGATGCTGGTCCGCGATTGTCGGCAAGAAACTTTTGTATCGGTGACAGACAGAAGTCCAGGGCCTCCTCTGCGCTCCTCAGTGTTGGTATGACCGAGGTATCATCGAGCGCCTCAGTCTCGTTGGCAGCTTCAGCAAGTGTCCCTGTCCGTAACAATGTAGCAACGTGGATGCGGAAGCCATGCTTTCGACAACGAGATGCCACTTGCATTGCAATTATAGAATCGCCGCCAAGTTTCACAAACGAACTCTCGCGCCCGATCTTGTCCTTTTCTACAGCCAGCACGGCCGACCATTCGTGCCGCAACGCTTCTTCTGTGCGGTTGGTTGGCGGTGTCAAGCGGAGAGAAGATACTCCGCTCTGTCCTCCATTGGCTCTGTTCCGGGCGGCTGATATGTCTAGCCCGGTCAACCAGTCTCTGATCTTGGCGCGATCGATTTTCGCAGATATTGTTTGCGGCAAGGCGGCCACGACCACCCATGCCGTGGGGACCATGTAGGTGGGCAATTTGGCTTTGGCAAAGTCACAGATAGCCTGTAGTTGCTTCACGTTGCCCTCGTCGAGGAAGACTTCCCGCAGCCCATCGTCAGCACCTTCGGAGGGGGAAGAATATCCAGAGTCACCGGAAAAGTTGAGAACGGCTATCAGCTCCTTACGGTCCGTCGCCGAGGGCCGGTGAACTGCAAGAGCGATAGCCGCAACAAGAGGATCTCTCGCGAGAACTTCCTCGACTTCGGCCAGCTCGAATCGTTGGCCGCGTATCTTGACCTGGTTGTCTTGCCGGCCTATGAATGCGATGCTTCCGTCATGGTTATATTTTGCCAAGTCACCCGTGCGGTAAAGCTTCCTGGGTAGGCTCCCGCGTTTCGGAACGAAAGCCGGCGGCGTTATGAAAGAGTTAGCAGTCTTGGATGGCTCATTGAGGTACTCCCGCGCGACTCCCGGTCCTTCGACCAAGATCTCGCCCACAGCGCCAATTGGCAACAGCTTGTTCGGGTTCTCGGGGTCAACGATCCATAGGGCGCCGCCTACCGGTGTCCCAATTGTGTCGGGAAAGACGGACGCGGGAGTGAGCTCCGCTATAGCAGCGCAGACTGATGCTTCGCACGGCCCCCATCCGTTGAATAGTCGCATCTTGCTTCCCCAGTACTGGGAAGCATTGGGCGGTATTGGCTCGCCAGCTGACATGAGTGCCTTCAGAGATGGGAGAACGCCCTCGGGCGTGAGATTCCGGAGGGCTGTCGGTGTCTGGATAGCAAAGTCGACCCTGGCAGAGTTTATGTACTCTCCAAGGGCAGATTCGCGTGCCTCGTTGGAGGGTATGCAGACGCATCCACCCACCATGAGTGGGCCCAGCATTTCCAGTGCACAAGCATCCCAGGCCGGAGCCGCGAATTGTAGGACGCGGGTTCCTTTGGTCCAGCCTACCCGGTTTGCAAACGCGGAGAACGAAGCTGCGAGCGAGCGATGCTCCAATACTACGCCCTTGGGCTGTCCAGTGCTCCCACTGGTGAACATGATATATGCTGGCCGGCTTGGGTCAAGCTCTGGTGACTCGGGCGAGGTAGGACGCGTCTTCGGATCGAGCATGATGATGTGGGATATACAACCTGCGATTTTCTCCTTAGTGGACGAGGTCACTACAACCCGAGACCCGACGATGTGCGCGATAGAATCTTTGCGGGCTTGTGGAAGAGAGACGTCGATAGGTACGCAGGCGCCGCCAGCTTTCATGATACCCAGGACAGCAACCACGGCCGACAGAGACCTTTCCAATGAGAACAGGATAGGCTCCCCGGGAGAGATGTCATTAGCTTGCTGCAGCTCCCATACAAAATTGGTTGCCATGGTTTCCAATTCGTGGTAAGTAGCTCTTCCATCCCAAGCATCCACGGCCATGCCATCTGGCGCGTAGCCGGCTTGCCAAGAGAAGGTACTATGCAGGCATTTATCCATAGTCTCTGGGAAGTTTCTGTTCCAGGCCATGAGCTCGAGAGTATCTGAGAAATTGAGACATTGCAATGCTCTGACTGCTGTGTTGGGAGGCGAGTCTATCAGCGCTCTCAGGCGATGCTCCATCTGCCGGAGAACTCGCTGCATCTGAGTCTCGGGAAGAACCGTGCTGTCGAACGAGGCTTTGACGAGGACACCATTGTCGCCCAGGGTACACGTGAGAACAAGACCATAGGCTCTATCAATGTCCATCTCTTCATCAAGGGCCAGGCCGGGGGTGTCCGCCTCATTTTCGGCCTCGTGGAGTATGTTGAGCACCGTTTGAAAGCTAGACGCAATGCGTGCCTCGTCGCTCACATTATGACGAATCCTTGCCATGCCATATTGCAAAGCAGGATTCGTCGACAGTAATCGCCGAGATTGGGTTCGCGATTTGAGCAGCTGCTGTATCGTCATGCCGGGTTTGAGATCTACCTGCATAGGGACGGTGGTAATTGTTGGTCCCAGAGTCGTCTCTGCACCGGCCAGGGCGGGGCTTCGCCCGGACATGACATAACCAAAGGCGACGATGTCGCTGCCACTGTAATCGGCGGCCGTCATGCCCCACGCAGCTTCGATGTATGCAGGCATGAGAGCCGGTGGGACCTTCGATTTTAGTGATATGTTGCGCACGGTTTTCCGAGATGCCTTCGCCGGGTGCTCGGGCGGGATGCTTGGAAATATCGCAGGCACACCTCCTCTGAACTGGGACTTCCAGAATGCGGCTGCTCGCTTTCTGTCGATAGCACTGCAGTACTGGGCAAACATTTTGAACGGTGCGTGCCGCGAGGGTGCTCGATTCTTGTAGATTTGCCACGTATCCGCGATGAGAAACTTGAGTGAGTAATGATCCGATATTGCATGGTGAATAGTGGTCACTAGCTTTCTCCCAACGATGGCAAACCTCGCCAGTGGCGTGGCCAAGTGCATCGCTGCTGACCGGTCATGATGGAGATATTGCTGAAGATCCAGATGCGAGGGCCGGAGTACGCAATCTGATGTTCGTAACCCATCTTTCACCACTACTTGGACTAACCCCAAGTCGCAGTCCACGATTCGCGTTCTTAGAGTTTCGTTCAGCGATACGACGCGGCGGAGGGCCGCACTGAACTGGTCCACATCCACAGTCACGTCGAGAGAGTGGACGAAACGTTGAATGTATAATTCAGAATCGGTCAAGAGGCCGCGTTGAAAAGGTGTACAAGGGTAGATGTCTTCGATGTCGTGCACCGAGATGCGGCAGTCCTCGGAGATTTTAGCAAGCACGTCGTCGCCGATGTCCCCTAGAGGTGCGGCACTATTGACCGCCATTGCAGACCGAAGAGCGGGAGACAGCCTAGGACAAAGGCAGAGAAGAGGTTAGAGAGTAAGAAAAGCATTGAAGCCCGGAGGCAAGGACATGTGTTGCAACTATCTCCAGACCAAGCAGCGATTCCAGACTGTGTTCAGTTCCTCAAGATGGGGCTACAGAAGGAGGTCAGGCATGTCCTTCATGAGAGTAGCAAGCCAGATCGCGAGAGTACAAGTACTAAGTAGATAGAACAAGAGGTCGAGCGGTGGGTTTAGCTACCAACCAATCACATGCCACCTTGCGGCTAGGCAAGACTGTCAACTAAGGGTCGGATCAATCGAATTCTATTCGTTGAGGTGTCTAATTCTACTGGAGAAAAGGGGAAGGCCGCCAGGGTGGCCCTAAAGGGCGGTGTGGTCGGGCAGAGACAGCTCCACATACTAAATTTGCCCTGGGGTTGTCCTTAGAGGACCTGTCCCCTCTGACAAATACGTACTTGTACTTGTACAAGGATCTACAGGGATCTTGATGACTGAAGAAGGCAAGTCATACCCGTGACTGCAGTTACGGCGTCTAAAAAGGGATACGCACAGTGGGGTGATAAAAGCGCCTACCGAGCGAATCGCGATTTTTGGCGTCACACCCTTGCCCCCAGCCCCCCTCCACCCCGCCGTCGAGGGATGGACTGTAAGCTCCCCGAATAACGAGGCTAAGGTAGTCAGCGCAGCATTTAGGTATGATGTTGGCCATGCTCGAGACCCGCGCCCACAGCGTTCAACCGGTGGCGCGGAGTGTAACCAGGGTGCAGCTGTAACCGGGGAGAAATGCAGGCCTTCCCGCCTGGAAGAACCTGTAGTTACAGTGGGGTGACAAAAGTACCTACCGAGAATCGCCGGCCGTTATAGAGGTAGGTTATTGGACAGTAAACGGGTACTGAACAAGCACCAACCCACTACGGATTTCATACCTGCAAGGTAAACGAGTATTGAAAAGCACCAATCCATCGCGGAATCGCCGATTTGCCGCAAGGAGAACCGTGCCCTGTTTCCGTTCCTTAGGTAGCTCCAGAGGATGCAATCAACCGTCGAGGGCCTTTCAATCCCGTCGTTTAGATCCACATCGCGATCCCATACGCCTCTCCCGAGCGCGTGTCATGATCTTGGCTGCGCCAAACGCAAACAAGCTGTGTTTCCCTTTCCGGAGAGCACAGTTCAACACAGCTGTGCTTTCAGTGGCTTCATACCACCTTTCCCCGCGACTGGCGCCTGCTTTCTACTCAACGCAAGCCTCCTGGAAGATCAATTCGAAGGATAACGCCTGGGCTGGTAAGGCGCGCGCCAAGTCGCTGGATCTGAGAAGTATGTGCTGGCCTGAATTGAACCCACGGATCGTAAACAACTGTTAGAGATCGAAGAGGACTAACAACCAACAACGTAAGGCGATGTGACAACAATCCCGACCCAGTCCATGCTTGCCGCAATTCAGTCCTGCACACACCAAGATGATGTTTACCAAGAGGACTCAATCACGTCAAATCTTGAGAGCAATGTTGCACACTTGGTTGGAAAGGAGGCCGGTTTATTTGTGCTTTCTGGTACCATGGGCAACCAGCTTTCTCTCAGAAGCCTCCTTACCCAACCTCCGTATGGAGTTCTTTGCGATAGGCGATCTCATATTCTCAACAACGAAGCCGGCGCGTAAGAACCACTGCATTCCTCTCCATAAAGAGATTGTCTCCGTGACTTCGTACTCACCAAGTCACGTATACTTTAGCATTTCATCCTTGACGGGCGCGCAGGTCCAGCCAGTCACGGCCAGCAACGGCATCCACCTGACCCTCGAGGACGTGAAAAAAGAGGTTGTGCTCGGAGACGACATACACTCGTGCCCCACGCGGGTTATCAGTCTCGAAAATACGCTCAACGGTATGATTATGCCCTTGTCCGAGATAGAGAGCATCTCGAGCTTTGCACGAGAGCATGGTATCAGCATGCACTGCGATGGCACTCGGTTATGGGAAGCCGCAGCTGCAGGCGCTGGTGCTATAAATGAGCTCTGCGCTCCGTTTGACACTGTTAATCTATGCTTCACGAAAGGCCTGGGGGCTCCAGTAGGAGGTATGATCGTTGGGCCAAAGAAGGTGGTACAGCATGCCCGGTGGATGCGCAAAGCAATCGGGGGCGGAATGCGCCAGCCGGGCCTGCTCACAGCGGCATGTCAGGTCGCCGTCGAAGAGAATTTTGGGAAGACGGCAGGCGGACAGGATGGGTGCCTTCCAGCGTCGCATGACCTGGCGCGTGCAATGGAGGCTCTCTGGGAAGGACTGGGAGGCAAAGTGAGGTATCCAGTGCATACTAATATCTGCTGGCTCGATCTCGAGTCAGCTGGCTGTAGCGAAGCTCGGTTTATTACACTCTGTCAAGAGGCAGGACTGAGGAGCTCGGGGGGGCGACTAGTGGCACATTACCAACTTGCACAAAATAAGTTGGATGTGCTACGGCGGTTGGAAAGGGTATTTTCGCAGGTATTTCTCCTAAAATAAACTGGCGAGGTTGTTCACCATTAGATGCATTACGAGGGGTTATACAACATTAGAATCTGGATGCGAATAAAGAGAAGATAGCAGTGACGGGTCTACAAGGGTTGGCACGTTGTTTACACAGTTATCTAATGCATAGAAGCTATGTCGGCGCAATACAAGGAACAGAGCATCGAAGCGTAGGTAATGTAGATGTTCTCAGTCTGTAAAAAGGGTGCAAAACATTGCACACGCACAAAGCTATAGTGACAGCATCAAACACTAGGCACCTGATTCCGGCCATTGAGATGCGAAGCACGAGCATGTTTGTCAAAAGCCATCTCCTCGATCGAGTCAGTCGTCTTCCTCTTCCTCGATTGTGGCGGGAGACTCTCCTTCGGTCCAACCCCTGCAACCTCACCTTCCTCCGAGCTTTCAGATGGTGCGAGGGGCAATTGAGGAGCCTGCTGCATCCTGCCTCTTTCAATTAGGTAGGTTTGAGGGCTCATATACGTGACCATGCGCGGCCGGCCCTTGGAAGGCTCGGATCCAATGTAGAAATGACTGCCGCAGCGTCCATCGACGAGCGCCGAGCCGCTATTGCCAATTCGTTAGTGACACATTTCGGGGAAGCAATAAGAGACATCGAGACAGGGAACCTACAGGGTTTGTCGCACCGCAGATTCGTACTTGTTCATCAAAGTATCGGATTGGTTTTGCGAGGCGAAATATTGTCGCAGCCTCGAGAGCACCTCCCCGTCCGTGGCGCACCAATGCTGTGGGCTCATGTACATCTTTACGGACTTCGCGCCCCCGTGGCCCAAAGTCATGTAGAACCCTGGGGTCGACTTGGCCATCACGTCGTCTGGAAGTCGGTCGGGTGCGTCGCCTAGGAATGTATCCCACAGGGCGCTTAGAGAGGAGAAGGCGATTTCGTCAGGGCTTGGCAGACGGCCACCCATGGTCAGGACGTCCAGGAGAAACTCCCGCGAAATCCAGGGGCTGCTGACGTAGATTTTGATGCGCGCGTTTTGAGGTTTGAGGCAGTCGATGGAAAACAGGCCGGTAGTGAGGTTCCACCGCTCTGTGGCCTGGTCTAGAAATTCGAAGGCTGACTCGACCTGCAACGATTCGAGCTGCTCGGCCGGCAGGGCTCGAATGGCCCGCTTGACACATTCGAGGGTGGATATGTCCAGCGCATTTGCGTTGAGGCTCGGCCAGAAATACGCCTTGACGGCTTTTCCCGACTTATTCACGTCGACCGCAACCGACGTGCCGTATTCGGGCGCCGTTCTCTTGTAAAAGGACGCCCCGAAGCCCTTGTGGCCAATGTTTGGCGGTACCATCATTGACACGAAATGGTTGTACCTTTGCCGCAATGTCAGCTATGTCTTACGCGACAACGGGGAGCGATAGTGAGAAAGCAAACCAGCTTCGGATAACGTACCACTCAAGGTCGAGACCCGGAATCAGGTTTTGACTCTTTAATGTCTTTAACCACGTCTCCGTGGGACTTCTCAAGGTATTACTATGAGTTCCTGCTGCGACAATGGGCTCGAAAGCGTAGCGTAGAATTGCTTCCTTGTCGGACCGCCATTCCCAGCTAAAGTCAATGGGAGTCGAGTCCGGGGTCTTCAGGCTTTGCCACGGCATCGACTCATCTGGAGCCGGGCCGAGTTGAGGGGCGACGAAGAGGGCATAGAACTGGAGCTCGCGATATTGCTCCTCTATGCTGTAGCCCGCATGCTCTATGAGCTTTGCGAACATGCGGCCCGTCCCGTCCCACCAGAACTGTGCGTCTTTGCTCTTAAAGCAAAGGGTGGCGCCTAAGGTCTCCCACGGCGTCATATCCGTCGCCATGTTTAGCAGCTGTCTGGTCGTTTTGGATCTGTCTCAGAAAACAAATTGAAGTGAAAACAGACTCGGGGATCGAAACAATCGGGGAGAGGAAAAAAGGGTACGATCGATAGACGAGGGCCACAGATCTTTGCACACTGTGGATATCACCGACAATGGGATACATATCCCTCTAAACGCCATAACTGCAGCCACATGATTCCTCGTTATCTTCAACTAATGAGACTGGCAAAGACAGGGATCTGCAGGGATCTTGATTACTGAAGAAGGCAAGTCATATCCGTGACTGCAGTTACGGCGTCTAAAGGGATAAAGTGGACCAAGACAGGCGTGTCAGTAAGTACCTAACATGCCATTATGGTTGTATCACGTCAGTTATAGGTGTATGTAACTGACTGCTCGTACATCTGGCTTCTAAGTACTTCGTACTTCACGCTGCAATGGTGGTCAGAACTAATTAACCGAGTGAGGGGTAGCCCGCCTCCTATTCGACTACGAACAGGAACATGTGCTATCAGATCCTAGGGGGCACTTTTTACTATTTTTACTCCTCCCACAGTTGTCAAGGACGGTTGTCGAGGAGCTCCGTGTCGCCGATACAGCATCGCAACAACTTCTCAAGTCTTCACTTTGCAAACAAAGCCCCAAGATGATAGATTTGTCATCCATCAGAGCGATCATATCACCAGCTCACGGCATCCTCTATGCGGTCATCGCCGTGATCGGTTACGTCCTGTACCGTGCTGCACTACCCCATCCAATACATGGCATACCTCACAACAAAGAGTCGGCGCGACGCGTCTTGGGTGACCTGCCCGAGCTGATGCGGTGGAAAAATAAACTCGGCAATGCATTCGGATACTTCACCGATCTCACCCAGAAGACGGCCTCGCCCGTCGTGCAGGTCTTCCTGAGACCCTTCGGTAGGCCCTGGGTCATCGTGGTTGATCCAAGAGAGTCCCATGATATTATGACCAGGCGCTATGCCGAGTTCGACCGATCGGCCTTTTTTGGCGATACTATGAAAGCTATGGGTCCGCAATTCCACGCACATTTCCCAACCGGCCGCGAATGGACCGTTCACCGTCGACTGATCGGAGACACCATGTCAGCCGGTTTCCTGCACAGCGTGGCCGGGCCTCAGATGTGGAAGGTCGCGCAGAGCATGGTGCAGCTCTGGAAACAAAAGACACGGTTAGCCGGTGACCACCCGTTCAACGCTGCCGACGACATCAAGAGAGCGGCGCTCGACATCATTTGGTCTGCCACGTTCGGATCCGAAACAGGGACCGTCAGGGCTCAGCAAAGTCTGCTCAGCACGGCCAAACAGCTAGAGCTCTCTACTGAAACCGATGCAGCCGTCGAATTCCCGGAGGCTGCCGACCCGCAGGCCTGTATGTCCATCGTAACTATCATGAACTCCATTCGCATTCCAGTCAATTCGCCATTCCCGCAAATCCATCATTGGTTCGCCCTGAAATTCTATCCTTACCTGGTGGTCGCCGGCCGTCATCGGGACCAGATGATCGGATCCGCGCTGAAAGCCGCGGAACAGAAACTTTCGACACAAAAGATAGAGGATGTGGTCGAGTCGACGGCTGGCCTCACGTCTGTTGTAGACTTGGTAATAGCCAAAGAGATGAAGATGGCCCAGAAAGAAGGACGTGCACCATCGATCGACAGCCGGGTGACTCGCGACGAACTCTTCGGATTCATGCTTGGAGGATACGAGACTACCAGTACGAACGTATGCTGGGGGTTGAAGTTCCTTACCAAGCACCAGGACATCCAACAGAAATTGCGAGCGGCACTTCGCTCGGGTTTCCCGCGGGCTTTCAGAGCTGACGAAAACCCGACTGTGCAAGAACTCTTGAGCACCAACATACCATACTTGGATGCCGTTATTGCAGAGGTGATGCGGTGCAGCATCGGAGCTCTGGCAGCCATCCGTGTAGCTACAGTTGACACGCAAATCCTTGGCCACGCCATCCCAAAGGGCACCGACGTTTTCTTAATGAATAATGGCCCGGGAAAGTTAATGAAGCCGATCGAGGTCCCAGAGTCTCTACGGAGCGATAGCAGCCGAGAGGCCAAGGACCGGACCGGCGCCTGGGACCCATCGGATATCGGCGTGTTCAAGCCGGAACGTTGGCTTGTAAATGACGAAGCAGGAAATTACACGTTCGACCCGCTGGCCGGACCTGCCCACCCGTTCGGTGCTGGCCCACGAGGCTGCTTTGGCCGGAAGTGGGCTCTACTGGAAATACGAATCATCTTCGTCCTGGCATTCTGGAATTTTGAGCTTCTGCCAACACCGGAATCGCTTTCCTCCTGGCGGGTGGGAGAGCAGAACCAGGCGGAGCAAATGTATCTCCGGTTACGATACTCGAAGAACACGTAGGCAGGCAGGATGGAAGACCAACAGATAGTATTGTTACTAATCGAAGAAACGGCATATACATCACAATGTCTGTAACTTGCAGAAACCCGTAGCATGCTGCATACAACCGTCGATCTGTGACATGTGGGTTGTAGTGAAGGGGAGTAGTAACAGCTAGTTGTGGGGGCGAGCATCATTGTACAGGGAATCACGCAAACATGTTCATATTGGACGCAATACTTTGGCTCGAAGCCCCGCAAGATACATGCGCTACGAATCCTCCCCAGTCATACGTATGCGTGCGTGTCTGGATGTGGATAGTGAAGGGCCGCTCGCCACTACACTACAATCAAATGAGCACACTATTACAAATTATTTCCGTCCGGAGGTTCAGTAGGGTAACCCCAGGTGCACTCCCCCCCTCCCGCCGCTTCTGTTCCCTTCTTTCCTAAAATCTGTGTTGCGACAAAGTTAGAGTCCCAGATCTTCCGACTTGCTGATCTCGTCTGTCAACTTTCCCCCTCCCTGGATATGGCAGGTCTCAATGATGTGTCGCGCACATTCAACCCGCTTCAACTCTTTGCCATCCTCGCGGGGTTCTTGGTGTCCTACTATCTGACCCAAGTCTTGTATCATGCCTACTTCGGCCCTCTCAGACGCTTTCCGGGACCCACAATGAGAGCAATCAGTGGACTACCGGCCATATGGACGACGATCTCAGGCAAAGACCACGAGGTTATACCCGCCTTGCACAAGAAGTACGGCCCCATTGTCCGCCTGGGACCGAATGAACTATCGTTCGCGGGAGGTGCCAAGGCATGGGCAGACATACATGGTCCTAGAAAAGGACCCTTGCCTCACAAAGATCCGGTTTTCTACCCGAGCAGCATCAACGGCGCCCAGAGTCTGATGACAGCGGGAGATGAGGAGCATAGCAGACAGCGGAAGATCATGTCGCATGCCTTCAGCGAGCGGATCTTGAGGGAGCAGGAGCCCCTACTCAAGTCGTGGGCCGCGAAGATGAAGACCAAAATGGCCGAGCGCACTGCTACTGGCCAGGGGATCAACATGGTCAAGTTCTACAATTGTGGGTAGACGTGGTCCTTTAGTGTTATACACAACCATAGAAAGTTTCTAACATGCCGTGGCAGGCACTACCTTTGACATCATGGCCGATCTTCTCTTCCTCCAGGGGCTCAATTTGTTGGAAGATGAGGAGTACTCTCCCTGGATCAAGACCCTCTTCAACAGCCTCAAGACCGCGACCATGGTCCTCGGATTCCGACGGTACAGCTCTTGGGTCAACCAATTCATTGAGTACTATGTCAAGAACAACGAACAGGCGCGCAAGGCGGAGAGTGAGCACTTTCGCTACGCCGCCGAGCGAATCGACGCTCGCTGGAACCGGTCAGCCAACCGTCCTGACCCCTGGGCCGCATTCTTGGGCGGCCTTACCCGTGAAGAGCAGCATGTCACCGCGTCCGCTCTCATGGTGGCTGGGACGGAAACGACAGCTACTGCCTTGAGCGGACTCACGTACCATCTCTTGCAAAATCCCGCAGTCGCAGAAAAGCTCAAGGAGGAAATCCGATCAAGTTTTCGATGCTATGACGACATCAATTTCGACAGCTTAGCCAGGCTGAAGTACATGGATGCGTGCCTCAAGGAAGCGCTTCGCATCTATCCTCCGGTTCCGTCCGGACTCCCGCGTGTGACCCCACCCGGCGGCTTGGTGATCTGCGACCATTATATTCCAGGAGGTACCATCGTGGGGGTGCACCACATGGCGACGTATCGCTCGCCAGATCACTTCAGACACCCTGAAAACTTTGCCCCGGAGCGGTGGCTGGGCGATCCCGAGTACGCTCGCGACCACCGCGATGCATTAGAGCCATTTCAGACCGGCCAGCGAAACTGTCTTGGTCAGAACTTCGCGTGGCACGAAATGCGCCTGCTACTTGCAACGGTACTTTTGCATTTTGACCTTAGCCCAGGGCCGGGATCAGAGAGCTGGATCGACCAGAAGGTATACATTCTTTGGGAGAAAAAACCCTTGTTGATCTGCCTCAAGGAGGTCAAGGCATAGTAGACCACCAACCCCATTATATTGTGTCTAGGTAGAGCCATAGCCAGGATGTAAGACAGTTTACGCGTACGCAATTAGATGAATATCATTGGCGTAGCCCATCCTTTTTTCTTCGAGCATTTCCTAGACCCTAACAGTGCTGAGGCCCATAGACATCAGTGAAGGCATCTGCGCACTGGGAAGCTCGGTCTCCGGCGAATAGGGCTTGGCCCGAGGGCCCTTTTCCAGTCCGACGGCGTCTATCGCACCCCGACGACACAAGGTTGGGTACGTTCACCCCAATCCTGCGGCATCCAGGAGAGAAGGTCCACTATACCGTGCCGTCTGCGGATGTGTCTACAGCTGACTCTACACACTCCAAAATCAGCTGTGCAATATGCACCAGCACATGCCACGTTTATGAATCGACACATCTCACCGGTTGCAGCCCCAGCACGTCTTTTGGGGGATTTTTTAACCCGTCGATGCTATTCGCAGTGATATTAACCAACGCTGCCCTTTCCCCACCATTCTATGCATGGCATAGCAGAGGTAATACGGGTACGACTCTTGCGCATCCAAGACATGCAAGTCAGCTTATGCATCTGCGCCGCACATTCCAATTGTGGCAAGTCGATAACGCCCGCCGTCAGCTGAGCTGGCCAATACCCGGTGGAGGTGACTTTAAAGTTATATAAGCGCGTGCATGCAAGATAGTGGAGAGGCTGGCCAATACCCGGTGGAGGTGACTTTAAAGTTATATAAGCGCGTAAATGCAAGATAGTGGAGAGGTGGGGTGAGAAATGATTTTGTATTACTTGTACATGGATATAACACGGGTCAATTCCGCACCCTGTGGAGACGGCTCCTTTCAATAGTGAGACGGTGTATCTGGATGTCTCTACATCGTGGTGATTCCTGCATTACGAGGATCCTCACTATGCGACATTTCGCCAAGGTCGGCGGCGCAGTAAGCAACAAGTCGTATTGTCATGACTACTCGAGAGGATCAAGCTATGTGCTGAGTGAGCGCCTTGCAGGCTGTAAGGGCAGTTTGAAGACAAAAGTGCGCCTGGGATCAGTATCTTGGTAGTTATGGTGCGCTTACCCTTTGCTTACCAAGAGTCAGCCAAGCTTGGATTATCAGACCATACTGTAGAATGTCGCCACCGAGAATGACGGCCGCCGTTGCAACGGTTAGCCGATCGAGCACCGAAGAGCTCAGCAATACCAAAAGTCGCGGGGGTCTCATCGAGTTGGCGAAACATGCTCCTCAACGAGGTAGCGTTCATCCTCAGCAAGCTATTGCCGGTCATCTTCTGTTCATAGGGAAATTTCATCTAGCGCAAGCCCGACTTCTTGCAACTTGAAGCACCCAATAGCCTTTTTGGACGCGGGAGCAAGCTTCTTGGTCTGCGGCTCGGTTAACGGGTCGAAACTCAGGCTGCGCGACCGAGGGAGCGCGCTGGTGAGATACGGCGTGTATCGCACGCAACTACATCTCGCCGCCCATCAAAGGCAGCGTACGCGCTGGCACAGGAGTCTCATAGAGCGCGATTGGTGTACCTGTCTTAAATGTCTAATGTTTACGTATCTGTAGCCCTCCTTACGCTAGGGTCCAATGTTTTTCATACTCTGTTCTACAGTCTATTCACCCAAGCATGAGGAACTAGTGCGTCTATGGAGCCAAAAGCAAGCTACCCGTACCCAAAACTACCAACCCCTATCCCTTTCACTTCTGCTGTGCGACGATCTGATCCGTCAAGGCCTGCAAGTTGCCTGCGCCGACGATATGTGTCAGTGCCAACTCCACCCCGCATTCTCTCTTGACCCAGTTCCTCAGCTCCACGGCTACCAACGAGTCCAAGCCGTACTCTAACAGACTACGGCTCGGCGTTACATCCTCGCGATCCAACATCGTGATGGATGCCACTTTACCGCTCAAAGCTTCAAGTACGCCTTCTTCGCCTGTGGGCATACCGCTGCCGGCCTGCCGGCCGGTGCTATCAGTTTCAGACACCTTCTTCCGTCGGACGGCAGACAAGTAGTGGGACCTGTTTTCCCAACCCTCAGATGCTGCCGAATCTTCTCGGACGAATGCAATAGTCCTGCTGTCGCGGTTCAGGCCCGTGGAGGCGCCAATGATGGCTCCCTTGATGATGTCGTGAACCTGTGCGACGGACAGCTTGATGCCAATGGTATCGCTGAGGCGCGCGCGCATGCCTTCCCGCTCAATGACGTACCCAGCATCGTCTACAATGGGGAGACTGATGGAGACACTGGGCAAGCCTCGACGAGTCCGATACTGCACAAATGCGTCGAGGAAAGTCGAGGTTCCGGAATATATGCTCTGACCGATGTTGCCCATGACGCCTGTTCCCGAAGCGAGCGCGACGAAAAAGTCCAGGTTGGGAAGGAGTTCATGCAGGTGCCATGCAGCGTCGATCTTAGGTCCATTGATCCTCTGCCAGTCCTCGAACGTGGCATTCGTGAACATTGAGTCGCGAAGATAGAGCGAGCCGTGGATTACGCCTTTCACCTGGGGCAGATCCTCGATCGCGTCCAACGCCGTGATTAGGTCTGCTCGCGACGCGACGTTACACGCGAGTGCGCGTACATGGATGCCGTTTGCAGGCTGGTTATACTGCTGTACGAGCTTCGCAACGTCTGGGTTGGAAGCGCCAGAGCGGCCAAGCAGGATCAAATTCGCTGCGCCGTTGTCCAGCGCCCAAGGCACCAGGGATCTTCCGATACCACCCGTGCCGCCGGTAATGATGTATGTGGCGTTCGTCCGGAGCAGCTTGTCCTGTTGCTGTAGGGGCGAGAGGCTGTCCGCCAAGACTCTGTCGGCCGGTCCCAGGATGGCAACAACCTTGCCCATGTTGTTTCCATTTTGGAGCTTGCGCAACCCAGACACGATGCTTGATACCGGCAGCTTCGTGATGGGTTGGATAGGCCCAATGACCTTGCGCTCCAGCATGTCCACAATATCGACTAGGCATTCCTTCAGATATTGAGGCTTCTTCATGAAATACTGGTCAAGATCCACGCAAGTGAACGTCACGTTGCGGTAGAACTTCCTCATGCCTAGATGGGTATTATCCAGTACGTCCCTCTTACCAATCTCGATGAAACGGCCGAATTCGGCGACCAATGACCTAGCGATAGCGGTTAGTTTAGCCCTATTGTCATCATCCATGCTCGATGGAGTCTTCCGTACCATGTCTCTTGGAGTAACTGGCCGCTCAGAGAGTTGACGATCACGTCCACACCTTTTCCGCCCGTCTTGTTCAGAATTCCTTGCCGGAACTCGGCTGTTCGGCTGGAGTAGATGTGGTCTTCCGGGATCGAAAACGTCTTTTGAAGGAACTCCCGCTTCTCTGCCGATCCAGCAGTTGCAAAGACAACCGCTCCCATGTTCTGCGCCAGGCGAATGCACGCCTGGCCAACGGCACCCGAGGCAGCATGAATCAATACGCTTTCGTCTCGCCTGAGGCGGGCGACGCGGTCTAGGCACATGAGGGCAGTCGAGTAGGCGGCGGGCAAGCTCGCGGCGTCGGTGGTAGAGATGAAGTCTGGCAACTTTCTTGCGCGGAGGCCAGACATGCGAACATACGTCGAGAACCCGCCCTGCTGTACCATGTAGAAGACGCGATCTCCAGTCTGAACGTGGGACACGTTCGAACCGGTCTGCACAACGGTCCCGGCCCCTTCCACACCAGGTAGGCTCCACGGGATGGCACCGAGTAGCAGTAGCAGATCTCGGAAATTGACACCTACAGCGTCGACCTTGACTATGATGTCGTCACTAGCCAGAGGAGTGGTGCTAGTGAGGCTATGTCGCTCAAAAGAAACTGAATCGAGATTGCCAGGGGTATCGATGGTCATGCGGAGCGCTTTGTGTGGGCCATGACTCTCCCATATGTCCTGCTCCTTGCGAATCAGCATACCAGCTTCAATGGCAAATGTTTCTTCTGTCTTCCGGAGTCTGCGGAGTCGGGGCACATGGATCATGCCATCCTGCCATACAAACTCTTGCTCACGGAAGGCTGCGTCTGCTGTGTCCCGTACGAGACTCTGGGCGAGACGGGCAACGATGGCGGCGCCTTGTATAGCATCGCCTGGAATGTCGCCAATCTGCAGGAACTTCTTCGTTCCGTCCTCTAGGCGAAGAGCGCGAAGGATGCCCTCTATGCGGGAGTATTCCGGGCTCTCATTTGTCGGGGTCACCCAGAGCAAGCCGTTGGGCTCGAGCAAAATACTCTTCAGCGTATTGAAATCATGCTCGGTCGCCAACTTGCTGAGAAAGCTGCTCTTGCCGCCGTCTAGGAAGATGCAGAAGCTATTCTGGGCACCATCGAACTCAGCTGTAGACTGGATCTGTGGTGTGGGAATGCCCAGGATATCTTCCACGGCCGTGGACACCGCTTGGGCTAATTCTATATCTTCCGGCGTGTCCATGGCACCGCAGATGGTGACCGACTCGAACATATCCGAGAATTCGTCATCCTCGTCCAGCCTTGTGCTCCAGTAGGCGTTCATGCTGTGTTCTGCAGCGCCAGGCCAGTCCCCGATCGCGCCTTCGATACCGGAGAACCCGGTCGAGAATAGCAACCGGTGCCATTTGTCCTGCGACATTATCGGGCCGCTCTCCGAACCTCGGAAGCGATCGGAAACTAGCCACCAGCCCGGAAGCAAAGTGAACGGCAGAGCAAAAGGATCGTTGCCATGCAAAAGCTCGAGCATGCCAAGCTTGCCCGTGCCCGGCTTGAGAAGAGCCCGAACATTCAGCATGGTCTCCTCGATGTTCGAGGTCGCATGTAAGACATTCGTTGCGATGACCAAGTCATAGGTGCCTACTTCGATGCCCTGGGTTGCCGGGTCACGGCTAATGTCCAGCTTTTTGTATGTCAACTGAGGCCATCTCGCGAGCTTCTTGCGTGCACTCTCGAAGAATCCCGAAGAAATGTCCGTGAAAGTGTAATTGGAGAAGAGCGGAGCAATGTCGTGCCCTTCGTCGTGCCCTCCCGATAAAGCTTCTAGAATGGGCAGCGTCGCAGAACCGGTGCCCGCTCCAACTTCCAAGATTCTCAGACTGGGGTTGAGCTCACCCAAACCTGCGACGTATTTGGACAAAGCCTGGTTACCCCGATGTGTGGCCATGTCATCTTCGTAATGCCGAGTGAGGAGTCCGTCCTGCATCATGACTTCCAAAGGCTCAACCTCCCCGCGCAGAATTTGAGGGATGCGTTCGCCCACCGCGCAGAGAAGCTCACCGGTAGCACTGCCCTTGGCGACCTCTTCGATCAGCTGCGAGGTGACCGGCATTTCGCAAGGCTCCGCAACTCGCTCTTTGGCCCAACGCAAGAATTTGACGAGGTGGGATGGCATGTCTGCCCGGATCCCGTCCTCGGTCGACTTCAGAGCGCGCTCTAGGAAATGCCGACCCACAGAAGCTAACTGGCGCCGCATGTGCAGTTGCGCATGGTCGAGGTTGTAGTCAGCCAGCGCTTTCGCCAGCGTGTCGCCGTCAGCAAGGCCAACATGCGGTATCAGGGTCTCGTAATAGCCCTTGGGGAGAGACTGCATGCTATGCTCAATCTCGTCACCAGGCTGCGTGATGCGCTGCATCGTCATGTCGACGTCGAGGCATGGAACCAGGCCTGACGACGCCTTCGTGAAAATGACAAACTGAAGTTCGAGACGGCCCGACTTTTCGTCCAAGCCAAGTTTACGTGTCACAGACATGAATTGCTGGCCGGCCGTTGTGGGAATGCTGTTCGAGATCTGGAACTTGGAGACGTAAACTGGCACAAAGGCGGGACGGGGCTGCTGGTGGTTCTTGCCAGCAACAACAATGGCAGAGTGGAACAGAGTGTCCAGCGCTGGTGGGTCGACAGTCACATAGGATCCTCGAGACGGCAGAGATAATGGCACGTCGATCTGCCGCAGCACCGTCTTGTGAACAGCAACACCCGGCGCCGTCCACAATGCTGTCATGTTCTTGAAAGTGGGCCCAAAAGAGACACCAGACTTTAGAAACGTCTCGTACTCCTCCTCGGCGTTGTCTGCTGTCGGTTTCGCCACGGACAAGAGCTCTTCAGCTGCGGTTCTCACTGGGCTCTGTACTGTGGCCATGTCTGCAACGCCAGCCTCAATGCGGCCGTAGGCGTGCGTGGTCCATCCAGTAGACTCTGCCCAGGTCATCGCCTCAAAGGACCAAATGGTGGAAGAGAAAGATCCAGTCCCCGTCTCCGCCGGTCTGAGTTTGGTGCTTATGTCGACACGCTGGTCTTCTTCGACCTTGAGGCCTCGCTTGACATGGAACTCTCGAATCAAGACGCTGGACAGCTCGGGCGTTGCGCCAGTTACCGCCCTGAAGGCATCTACTGCAAGACTCACGAACCCCGAGAAGGGGAAGAGGGTTTCACCCACGACCTTGTGATCCCGGATCCACGGCATCTCGTCAAGCGTGAAGACCTGGCGGAAAGTGTGTTCGCCACCCTCGGACGGCATCTTCCAGCCCAGCAGGGGACTATAGGTGTGTCCAGGATGCATTTTCTGGACAGAAATGGGTGACTTGTGGAGGTAAACGCGTTCTTTGTTCCATGCGTACGAGGGCAAGTCGGTCAACACGCGCGCGTTGCTCTTGTTCAGTCCGGTCACCGCTGCGAAGTCCAGGTTGCTCCCCAGCATGAACATGCGTCCGGCGAAACTTAGGACGGCTTTCACAGCACTAGTTCCACGCATAAGTGTTGGAAGATATGTCGCATGAACGCCGCTCATTGAGTTCAGCGTCTGGTTGATCGGGCCTTTGAGTGCTCCATGTGGCCCGACTTCGATGATGACGTTGGCTAGTTTGCCCCCAAGACCGTTCGTGGAGAGTACGCCCTGCACGGCCTCCAAGAATCTGACCGGACTCACACTGTAGATTTCCCCCACGGTTAGTTCGCCGTGCTCCAGGTCGGGTGTCAGTATGATGTGTGTATACTCACAGGTTCTTCGCCCAGTAAGATGCCCTAGTCAGGGAATCGGCACACTCTCTACGGCCGATGACAGATGAGAAGAAGAATGCTTGGTCGACTTTTTTCAGGTCGAGATTGGTCAATGTGCGATCAGCATCGAGGAAAGGCGTAATAGCAGTTCGGTAGGAGTCTGCGACCAGCTCCATGTGATGGGAATGGTAGGCCATGTCAACGTTCAGCCTGCGGCTGAAAAGGCCCTGTGCATTTGCAACCTGCTCAATCGCATCGATAGCAGTCATGTCTCCCGACACAGTCACGCTATTGGGACTGTTGATGGCCGCAATGCCAGCACGCCCAAGCTGGGCAGCAGACTCCAGCAATGTCGCCGCGGTGTCGACATCTGTGCCCAGGGCGATCATCCCGCCCCGAGGGTCGCTCTTCTCGCGCAGCTCCACCGTCGCCCGCCCTCGGAAGAATGCAACTGCCATTGCGGTCCGGAATGAGAGAAACCCAGCTTCGTATGCCGCGGCGATCTCTCCGGAGCTGTGACCAGCGACAATGGAAGGTGAAATTCCCCAGCTGCGGAGCAGCGTGACTGTTCCAATCTGAACAGCAGTGCAGGCAGGCTGACTGATCTCGGCCTCGTTGATGCGCGATCCCGCTGCCTCGGATTTCCCTAGCTCTTCTACCAAGGACCATGTCGCACCAAACCCCTTCAGATAGTCTTCCGCCTGGTGGAGTGCTGTGGCAAAAGGCTTATATTGGTGAAGCTCGATCGCCATTCGCGCATACTGCGCGCCTTGCCCGGTGAAGACGAAGGCAGGGACAGGCTCCTGGCCTGAGATCGACTTGCCAGTACTCGCCGGTGGAAGCGAGGACAGCTGCTGTGCTAGATCCGCTATAGAGTCGGCTGCTAGAGCAAATCTGTGCGAGAAGTGCGTGCGGCGTTGACTAAGGGTGAAGCTCAGATCGTTCATCACATTGTCGGCATCCGCCGAAGAGGCCCTGCTTTCCAGGTAAGAGGTGAAAGAGGGTAGGTATTGGGAAAGGGATTTTGCGGATTTGGCGGAGAATGTGAACAGCCTCCCAGAGATCCGGGACTGCGAGTGCCCGTTTGCGTGAGTGCCGTTCGTCTGACTAGGTCGGGAATGCCCGTCCACTTGATCCGCTCCATTGGACCTCTCGTGTCCATTCAAGCCTGCATGGTCATTAAGAGTGGCACGTCCGTTTAGCGAGCTGTGGTCATCGGGAGTGCCATGTCCGTTCACGCTGCTATGGCCGTTGGTAAGTCCCCTAGCCTTCGAGAGGTCGCCTTGAAACTCTTCCAGTAGTACGGCGGCATTGCTCCCACCGAAACCAAAGTTGGTGACACAGACGCGCTTATGGGCGTTGGTCGGCCATGGGACGGGGGCTTGAGCTACCTTCAACTTGGACGCGTCAATCTTGGGGTTCATCTCCTGGAAGCCTGAATTCGGTAGTATGGTAGCATGCTGTATCATCAAGACGGCTTTGACGATGGCGAGCATGCCACTAGCACTGAGTAGATGGCCAAAGTTGGACTTTAAGGATCCAATATATAACGGATCGTCACGGCCTTTCCCTATTACGTTTGCGACGGCACCGGCATCTATAGGATCGCCAACCTTGGTGCCAGTGCCATGCCCTTCCACAAAGGTTGTATCAGAAGGATCCAGGCCAATTTCTGTGTGTACCCGGAGGAGGACATCTTCCTGTGCCGGCTGTGACGGCATTGTGATTCCCCTTGTCCGGCCCGAGTGATTACCGACAGTATGTCGGATGACAGCCTGAACAGAGTCGCCAGCCGCGAGTGCATCGTCCAGCCGCTTGAGAATGAGACAAGCGCCGCCCTCTCCTCTGCCAAACCCGTTTCCCCTGGAATCGTACGAGTAGCACTTACCGTCGGGGGAGAGGGCGCCCATTGTGTCAAGCAGAACCAATGCGTTGGCGTTAATGATGAGGGATGACGCCCCTACAAATGCGGAGTTGCATTCACGCATGCGGAGGCTTTGGCAAGCCAGGTGGACTGCATATGCACTACTCGAGCAGGCCGAGTCGAGTGAAACACTTGGTCCCTTCAGGTCAAAGAAGTATGACAGGCGGTTCGAGGCCATACAGCCCGAAGTCCCAGCGGCAGAGTATTTTGTGAGGGTGCTAGCACGCCGTTAGAATTGTCGTCTAGATGAAGAGAGAAGCACAAGCTGAGAACTTACGGGAGATCGTCTGCGAGTCTCTCACCGTACTCGCATCGTTCCATCGCAGCAAACACGCCAGTAGTGGACCCAGAAAGCTCATGCAGCGGGATTCCTGCGTTCTCCGCAGCTTCCAACGCGCATTCGAGCATCATACCTAGTGTTTTGAGGAATGTCAGTACTCTTTCTCGCTATGTCATGATTATGGGAGAAAGATTGACGCACGGTGCTGTGGATCCATCGATGTCACCTCTTCTCCGTTCATGTTGAAGAAGGGTGCATCAAAGGCGTAAATGTCGCCGGGAAGAAAATGGGCGCCCTTGGGCGCGAAGACGCCGGCCTTTTCTGAATCATTATAATTATAGGCCTCTTGTTCAAAGCGGTCTTTCGGGATGGGCGAGAAGGCTGATTTGGCCTCGGCGAGATACTCATAGAGCCCTTTCCGACCAGTACCCGGCGCCCTGTATGCGACACCGACTATGGCTATCGGAGATCGAATCGAGTCTGCCATGGTAGCTCCGCTCATTATAGTCTGCCGAGCAGAAATGAGCGTCAGGCAGAGAACGAGTTATTTTGTATGGAATCGGAGAAACAGGGACAGATGAGCTCGTGGGAGTATGGGCTCTTTTTTCTGCGTCGATTCTAATATGTAGGTAGTCCTCTGCCCTGACAGAGAACCGGATCGGCTCTCACACGTGTCGGGACAAGTCCGCAGTGCATGGCAGAGCCTTGCTTCTGGTGAGCTTGCAAGGGCTGGATCCCTTAAGGTGTGCCATTATCCAGAGTAAAGACTAAATCTTACCGCCGGGGTAGTTACTAGCCGTTGTCACTGAACATGGCCCTTGCTTCCCGAACAAAGGCCGGGTGACATGAGGAACATTCCTTTGCTTAGCCCAGGCAGTCTACAGCCGTCTAATACATGCTAGTACGCACCTGTTCTAGAAAGCTGCGGTCTTATTGTCTGGGATACCCGCCTGGGGTCTATGACCGCAAGGATCCCTGCCTATCCCTTTAGACGCCGCAACTGCAGTCACGGATATGACTTGCCTTCTTCAGTAAGCAAGATCCCTGCAGATCCCTGTCTTTGCCAGTTTCATTAGTTGAAGATAACGAGGTATCATGTGACTGCAGTTACGGCGTTTAAAGGGAAAGCTAGTTGATGCGGGATTCCTGCGGCTAAAAAAAGACTGGCCAAGTTCCATGTGCAAACTTGAAAGGAGCCGTCTCCACGGGGTGCGGAATTGACCCGCGTTGTATCTGCCTCGTATTAACGCAATCACTCCCGTAGAGACATCCAGGTACACCGTCTGACCGCCTCGCCCTATCTCTCCACTATCTTGCATGTGCAAATGTGGAAGGAAGTAATCACTACTGAAGAGACATCTTACATCTTTCTATACGTACTTAGCGGCAGAACGGCACAGCTACACTACCTGTTGTACGAGACAAAAGTTGGTGTTTAGTCTCACTCCACCTGTGACAGGAGCGCTGCGTGAATAGGATAGCCACATCTAGAGGCCGAGAAATATGAACCCCGCTAATGAGCTATGTGATTAAACGATTGAAGGGGTGGATATCACAGTGGTAGACCGGTGTCCGGAGCTTCTGTCATTACCTTTACAGACCCGCGAACCACCCAGCATAACAAGCTGACACAACGTGCCCAAGATGCTCGATAGATTCTTTGGTAGAAGGCGTGTCCAGCCTTCCAAGGTGAATACAGATGAGGTCTCGCCAGTTTATCCACAAGACGGGGCGCCGAATTTACCCAATGTGACCATGATTGTCACATTCCGCTTTCACGACGTGCTCGAGCCGGAGAAGTTACATGGCTCGCTCTGTCGTCTGGTGGAAACAGGTGGCTGGCGACGGATCGGAGGACGGCTGAGGAAAGATGTAAGCTCAGGCGGTCCGAAAAGCTTTGGACCAAGCAAAGTAAAGATGGTTAACTGAAGGAGTCTCTAGGCCAAGGGAAAGCTGGAGCTTCACATTCCGCGACCCTTTACTGCCGAGCGACAGGCTGCCGGCATGACACACACGTCCTTCGACACATGCATCGACGACCACCCGCTGGCGCGCCAGCTCCCGCGCCCGACTCCTGGCCAATTCTCGATGCAGCCGGCTCCTAACCAATTCCTACCGCTGGCTTTCGGCGATACTGGGCCCAAGGTGCTGGAAGATTGGCTTTCGACTGATGCGCCGCAGGTCTGGATTCACATTGTTTCCTTTCGAGACGCAACGCTCGTAACTTTGAGATGGTTGCACTTGACGTCAGATGCAATGGGCATCTCGCACCTCGTGAGTGCTTGGAGCCAGGTCTTGGCCGGGAAAGAGGACGAGATCCCGCCAATGCTATCGCTGGAGCACGACCCAGTAGGCGACATTGTGCGTGGGGGAAGGCCGGGCAAGGATGGCGGGACAGTGCCAGAGGAGAGGCTGGCTCTGGCTGACAAGCGGGTAACAGGCGTGAAGCTATTCCTCTTCATCGTCCGTTTTCTTGTAGACCTGTTGCTCTATCCTAGAGCAAAGCAGCAGATGATGTTTTTGCCGAGGGCTGTGGTACAGAAGCTCAAGAGCCGAGCCCTATCCGAACTCGAGGAAGACTGTTCCTCGAATATCGGCCCGGCGGCGGAGACTGTTCTGGACAGGAAAACGGGGAAGCCCTTCCTCAGCACCGGAGACGTCACGGCGGCTTGGCTCGCACAAGTGGCGGCTCAGTCCATACCGCCGACCTCTCGTCGTACTCACTGCATTGTGAGCGCCATGGACCTCCGCGAGCGTGTACCGTCTGTGGTCGACATAGAAAAGGGAGTCTATGTTCAAAACTTTGCCTCTACGGTCTGGACGATGTTGCCAAGCCAGGTGGTCCATCCTCACACCCCCAGGAGCGCATCCCTCGGGAAGTTGGCGGGCAGGCTTCGCTGGGACGTGGCACAGCAATCTACAGAGCCACAGATTCGGGCGGCGATCCGCATGGAGTGCCAGAATCTAGAGGCGACCGGCCAGCGGCTATTGTTTGGCGACCCAAGCAACTTCCTGACCGTCTTCACCAACTGGACCAGGACGCGCTTCGACGAGGTCGCCGACTTCAGCCCGGCGGTGGTCCTCCCTGCCGGTGCCAAGCCAGACTGGCCTACAGAGACACTTCCGGGCCGGGCGGTCTACTTCCACGGGTCGGCGGTTATCGCTGGTGAGGATACTCAAAGCCTCCTCGGGATATATGAGAACTCCACTGGGGATGTGTGGATCAATGGGGTCATGCCACCCCACCTGTGGTCGGTTGCTGAGGAGGAGCTACGCAAGATCTAGAGCTTATTCGTCATTTCAGCCTACCGCGGTCTTGCCGACCAGACTAGAGGGAAGAACTATATAGAGGCAAAGTGTCGTACAAAGATTGCTATCAAGTGCTATATTCTTTGCTTGAACCTATGCATATTTTTGCATGTTTTATGTAAGGTAGCGCAGCCTCCACAGAGAGAATGTACTCCCTTGATGCTCCCTACATCACGTGGGAGCCGGGCCTTATTAATCTTGGGCGGCAACGCACGCAAACATAAACCCCCGCCCCGGACCTCCCTCCCATCCCTCCTTACTACTCCTCGCTTTCTCTCCAAGTACTTATCACCCAAACCACGACCGAAAAAGTCAAGCCTTAGCCCCTAATAAGCACGATATTCTTTCAATATGAATTGTTTTGGTAGAAAGGTATATTATATACTAGCAGTTAAACTACCTATAATACCTAGAGCTATGTCTGATCCTCTATACAGAAGTCAAAGCAGAAGTCAAAGCCGACAGGTCTTCCACCTCCACCCCCGGGAATGGCAAGAGGTCCTTACGGCCTATATGTGAAGCCTCCAAATGGCAACACGAAGGCGTGGCAGAAAGCAAGACGTCAGAGGAATGGTGCACGGTGGGGATTGTTCGCCTGGGGATCAAAGGAAATGAACAAGTCGTAGGAGTTTGGCTACGCAGTGGACGCAATCTCGAGGGCAAACCTTACAGTGTCAGAAAGCTGGACTCTTTTTGGAGGGGGTGAGGGGGATCCTAGCTAGTAGGGGAAGGTAAGACGACTGCAGGTCCATGTACTGCCACTAAAGTGCCACCCTCGGGAGTAATCCTAGCGGATACGCACGCCGCAATGAGAGTAGCAGCCAGGTTTTGTACCTACTTGTATCTTCATGCTTGGGGGGTGGCAGTGCTGCCGCTGCGTATGACGACGGCGCCATGGACGTGGACGTGGACTTGGACGGCGAGGGCGGCAGGCGGGCTGCAGAGCGCCAGAGCTGCAGCGCGTGTGGCAAGGCCGTCGTCTAGCGCTGAAACCAGTGCTACCTGTCAGCGGTGCCAGTGCTACCTGTCAGCGGCGTCAATGCTACCTGTCAGCGGTGCCAGTGCTACCTGTCAGCGGCGAAGGACCCCGCAAGGAAGCACACCCCAAAAGAGCTTTTGGAATGTACTCTGCATGCGTTGTAGGATTGCATCCTTGCGTAGGGGTCCCCGATTGACCCCCTGGGGCTTGGGGACGGCGTATGTACATTCGTTTGTGCCCGAAGAGAGAAAGCTAGAGCACTTGGAGGTTGTGACGACCTCCAAGTTCGCCAACTACCGCCAGTCAGTCCGTCAGTCAGTCCGTCAGTCAGCCAGCCAGCCACAAGAGCTTGGTGCTATTCCCCCCTTCGCGATGCTGGACCTCGAGATGTCTTCTACCCGGGTCGTGGGCATGGTATTCCTCGCCGGCATCTTCGTGCTCATCCAAAGACTGTCCACGCCTAGGCTAGAGCCTTCTGAGCCGCCTCTCTTGAAGCCGCGGATCCCCTTGGTCGGCCACATCGTAGGTTTGCTCTGGCATCGCATGAGCTATTTCCAGATCATAAAGTGAGGATGGTGGCCTTCTCCTGAGAGTATCGCTCCGTGGGTGCTGACATGGCGGATAGCAAGAGGAAGCCAATGCCTGTCGCAACGCTCCCTATACTGCATAACAAAGTCTATGCCATCTGGTCGCCCGACCTAGTCCAGTCCGCCCTGCGTAACAAGCAGATGACCTTTGATCCATTCATGCTGGATTTCTCCAAGACCGCTCTCGGCTTGAGTGACCATAGTATGGCTGCTCTGGAAGGTGATGGTGGCCTGGATGAGTCCTTGAACTCGGAGACCATCACGGCGATGAAGGTCGCCATGACTGGCCAGAACCTGTACCGCACGAACGTCAATGCACTGGGCTCTATCAAGTCTCGCTTAAACGTTATCAACGAAGAGGGCATCACTATTCCTAATCTATACCTATGGCTGCGCGAGCTGATGACGCAAGCGACGGTTGAGGCGTTGTATGGAGAGGCGAATCCCATGAAGCACGACCCATCTCTAATTGACGCGCTCTGGTAAGCAAGCCCTTGACTCTCGTCGATCCCCTACTCGTGCGTACAGTTCCTGCTGCGAAAGACGAGGCTAAAACACAAATTATGTCTCCAACCAGGGGGTTCGAAACAAACTTGATGCCCCTCATGATCGGTGTCTTACCCGGGATCTTCGCCCGTGTTGCCTCTCGCCATCGCGCAAGGTTACAGAATGCTTTGTACAAGTATTACAACGCCAGGCTGGACGAGAAACCAGATGTGGCTCAGGTCACAAAAGCCCGCATCAACCTCTTGCGCGAGCATGGGTTCTCCATGGCCGAGGCTGCCAAGGCCGAGCTAGCCTTGCCGTTCGTAGCCACCACAAACACGATCCCTATCACATACTGGATGACGGCATGGATCTGGCTGGATCGGGATCTCGTTCAGTGTATCCGCGACGAGGTCACCCAGATCATCGCCTTGGTCGATGGCGGGGACAGAGCAGACGACACGGCAGCGAGCGGCAGGAAGTTCAGACGCCGTGCTACTCTCGATATCACTCAGCTCGAGGAGAAGTGCCCGTTGCTGGTAAGCTGCTATCGAGAAACCATGCGCATAGGCAACCAGCTCATCGGGACGCGGCGGGTCATGCAGGACACCGTCCTCACTGACGCGGACGGAAGGTCGTACCTGTTCAAGAAAGGATATGATGTCGTTTGGTCGGGCAAGTACCTCCATCGACAACAGGATACCTGGGGCAAGGACGCCGAGGACTTCTCTGGTGCGCGCTTCATGGCGGCCAAGCTTCCAGATGATCTGCAAAAGAAGAAGAAGGCATCCTATGTCCCGTTTGGGGGCGGGAAACACCTGTGCCCGGGGCGAAACCTTGCTTTTGCTGAGATCCTGGGTTTCACGGCTGCCATGGTTGTGGGCTATGAGCTGGACTGGCTGGACAAGGCCAACTCGAGGTCGCCCACAGCCTTCCTGGTGGGGGCGATAGCAAAGCCGTCGCCGGGTGAAGAGGGTTCAGCGACACTCAAGAGACGAGAGGGTTGGCAAGATGTGCAATGGGACTTTGCCTGTTGAAAGTCAATTTTAGCAGGTAAGTGCCAGTAATTCTATAGTCCTATCGGTTAGGATGCCTATACCGAGGGCCGACCTAATCATAAGGGATGTGTCTTCTTCACCAACTTAGTGCCTGGCAACTCAGACTACGCTTTCTAGAAGCTGAACGACTCCTGTCCTAAGGCCAACCTAGCTAACATTCAGAAGCAGGTCGCTGCTGGCTTCTAGGTAAAAACAAGCTCGGACAAGACCTATAGCACCCTGCTTAGCAACGACACCAGGGAAGGGCCGTGGAGCACTTGACATGGCCCCGTTATAGCGGACCTTGCGATCGCGGCGGACGTCGTAGGTGAGCACCACCCGCTTTCGCTTGCCGAGCAGGGACCTAGGGCTGGAGTCCGGGCCATAGGGTGCAGCCGCAGATGAGGCGGCGACTGGCTCTGTTGCTGTGTCATAGAATTAAGACGCAGGTACTGCGGGATCAGCCTGTGTCCTATACGCTTCACTTCTCAATGTCCTTTACCTACAGACCATTGGGAGATTTGCTGGTTCTTTAGGGTTCAATGCCTTTCCCCACTTGATGTGTGTCCTAGAGTCTAATGGTATATAGAGTCTCATGGTCTGTGTTAGCCCCACACACACACAACAAGCACACACGCGTCAGATTCGCGACACACACACACACACACAGGAAGAGCAATAAGAAGCAGAACAACCATATAATATCAACCCTTTCTTCTCTCTTATCTCATCTAGAGTAAGATTTAGCAAGATGTCTGCTTCAATATCATACCAGCAGCCTCTACCTTTAGATCCAGATGACTGGACATACCTTCATTCTTTTGGCCTCTATTTAAACCATCCTGAACCCGCTATTATTTATATCTATTGTGGATATGCACTCAAACCAAACGGTGTCCATATCAGTCGTCACCTAGATGAGCGGCATCAAGTGCCAAAAGAGAAGCGGCAAGGTATCGACGCTGTGGTCAAGCGCCTAGATCTCAGCGATCTGAACGACCTCCCACTCAGGCCGGACGGCTCCCCTGCACATCGACACCTCACGCTCCTCTCAGGCTATGCTTGTAAGGTCTGTAGCGGCTTCCGCACGACAAGCGCGGACATAATGCGACGTCATCTCTCGAAAGAGCATGACTGGGCCGGGCAGCAGAAGAAGAATGGCAGGTGGCCAGATGCTCTAACCATACTCGGTCATCCATCTCTACTAAGAGAGGAATTGAAACTCCATACAAGAAAACTAGCGCCATTGATTACAGGGTTAAGTGAGGAATTGAAATTCAGTTCAAGTGATGAATTGCTCTAACACCAGTAAAACAGATAAAAATAGCATGTAAAGAAAGGTAACAATCATAACAACATATATATAAAATATACAGCCTATAGATATAGAAATATAGTATTATGATTGGATTGAAGTTTTTATTGTGGTCTATAGTATAATTAGGATGTGAAGGTCAATCCCTATATAAATTTATTAGTTATTAATAGAAGATGTCTATATATCTATATATAGGTTATTGCTAATCTATAGTTCTATAAGCTAGAGGTTAAATTACTATTTCTATTGATATTAAAAAGGATAGGAGGTAGTTTATTATAAATATTATATATAATCAAGCTATATTATAGAGCTATTTATCTATTTACCTAAGTACCTATTTATTATTTACTAATAGTATAAATATAAAGTGATTACTAATAAGACTAAGGTGTATTTAAGATGACAATATAGCAATATTAGCTGACAGCAAGCTAATAACATCAACTAGATAGTATAGGCTATCCTTAATATAATTAAGACCTAGGTTGAATTACAGTAATAGATATTTCTACAGCCTAGTATCAGGCTAATCCTATATATTAACCTACCCTAGTAGGATGGATTAGGTTATTATATATGCCTATATATTATATAAGATATATTCTAGATATAAGTATATTATTAGGCTAAATATAATTAGATAAATGACTGCTAATAGGGCTGATATATAGAGTAGATAGAGAGAGGTTTAATACTAGTATTATAGAGAATAGGTATGTAGTACTAGTAGATGTTCCTAAGCTGTACTGCTAGTAGTTAGTTTAAGGTTAGGTATAGTAAAGAGGTTGATGAGCAGGTAGCAGAAGATGTACTATAGTAAGAGTTAGCTATATTTATTACCTATATCTATAAAGAGGAAGAGCAGGTATTTATGGCTAAGACTAAGGCCTAGATATATAAGACAGATAATAAGTAGGAGGCAGACTGATAGTTATAGTGATATGGTTGGTTATAATATTTAGCTAATACTGACTAGGAGTAGTTATAAGGCATATTACAGCCTATTAACAATGCTAAGGTAGTATTGCAGTAGATATAGTAGAGTTTAGACTATATATTAGACAGTATGTATATAGTAGCAATATAGTATTATTAAGGCAGCACTAAGTTATTTAAGGTTAAGTATAAGAAGATGATAATTACACCTAGCAAGTTGTTCTAGCTGTTAATAGAGCTAGATTTATAGGGCTGGTATAAGGAGGTGTAGAAGAAGTTATTAGTCATTTAGTAGTATATAGAGTTATAGGATAAAGAAGGCAGGATGATAGAGAGTAGTACTAATATATATGACAGTAATAGAGACAATAGCAATAAAGATGATAGTAAAAGCAGTATAGCTAATAGTAATAATAGAGAAGAAGGCAATAGTATAGATATAACTAGTAGTCTAGTATATAGTTGACTAGAGTACTATATAATAATCTAATAGGCTAAAGTATAGTAGGGATTTATTAATAGTATTAATAAGGTTATTATAGGTAAGGACATAAGATCTAGTAAGGCTAAGATAGACTAGATATATTTAGACATTATTATTAAGTTTTTAGACCATCTATTTAAGAATAATAACTATTATAAGAGCATTATCATTAGTATATTAGCTATTATAGGGTTAGACCTATATAGAGGATAGGTTAGGGTTATTAATTACATACTGATTTATTTAGCAGTAATTAAGATTAGCCGGTATTTAGTATTATACTAGTCTATATTAGAGCATAAGATATAGATCTAGTAGTAGTAGTAGGGTATTAGATGTGAGTAGTAAGAGGTAGAGGAGAAGGCAGATAGGTTGTTTAAGATTATATATAGGAAGATGTGGCGGTTTATAATATAGATTCTAGATAATAAGGATATAGAGCTGATACTAATAAATTAGATCATTAATATATAGATATATAGTATATATATCTAGTATATAATACTAGGCAGTAAGACGATTGATTAATAAGGCGACAAGATTATATATAGGCACATCTAGTTAGGTATAGGTAGATTGTCTGATATAATATATAGTTTATTGTAGGAGGTATAGCAGATAATAGCTAGGTTGACTATAATTAAGGGAGGTGGGGAGGAGCTAGAGGTAGATATATAGGGGGTATTGCTATAGATCCTATGGCATAATATTAAGGATTAGTATAGTAAAAGTATGTTAGGGCATGTATTTTTAAATGATGAAGCTAATAAAGTATAGATAAAGGCTAGCTATAGATAGATTATAAAGTAGATTTTAGGTTTGACAGTAAGATAAGAGAGATAGATTATATAACTAGTTAATAAGGATTACCTCACAACAAACTGTAATTCGGTTCTTCTTAGACCCGAATTGAAACCCCATACAAAATAAAACGGCGCTATGATTACAGGGGGTAGAACCGAATTGACAAGCAGGGGGTAGAACCGAATTGGTTTC